CTTCGCTGTTTTTATCTATTCCCTACGTAATGAAGTACCTTAGAATGTGCGCAATAATTTCATTTCTGAAGAGTGCCATATACATATATTCCTGTTAAAACCAAGTCGTTTGAAGTCGTCATGCTTGTAGGAAACTATAATAAAAGTAGTTTCAGTAAACCTTTCGACATGTTTGAAACAAATTAACCCAGACAAATAATTCCCGCATGAGCCCCACAGCATCCTGCCCATTACAATTGCCAGATGTAGCGAATGTCTTAAATTTTTCGCACATTTCGGCTATATCCAAAAATATATGTATTTTCGGAAAAAGCCCGGCAGTCGCAACATGTGTCGATGCCCGGGGATTTGCGTCTGGGTATGCTCCACTAATAAGAGCAAAAATTTAGTCCAAGAACGATCGCCACATTTCTGAACCGCACCACCGAGACCCCAATACGAAAAATCGAAATCGAGAAAACGGAACGATCATAAAATGCGAATAAACATGCTGAAACTTAAATTCGAAAATATGCAAACTTGCACTTGCTCCAAGACAATTGCTCAATAAACGCAGCGGATTCCAATCATATTTTACTGCCGATATGTAGTTAGGGTTTATATGGTGGTTCCATAAACAATTGAAGGTTACAACTCTGAGTCATCCGGCCAATCTGGTGAGTAAGCCACTTGCACTATGCAAATTTGAAAGCGAAGGAGAGAGGCACTGATGAATACCTTAGACCAGCCGTCTAACGTGTTTCCAATTATGCAAATCTCATCATAACATAACTTACTCGAACGATAGATAACCAAGTTTGGGATACTTTCAGTAATAAGTTTTCAATTAAAAAATATTTGATAAGAGGCCGCAGAACACCCAAGTTGGTGAACGCTGCGTGACTTAATTGCTTTTCGTTGTTGTGCTGCGATTGGCGCTAATTGAAGACAACTTGTTGGGCAGCTGGCGATGGATGTGGATGTGGAGATGGTGATGGTGGTCACTGGGTTGCTGGTAACTGGTGACCGGTGGTCAGTAAGCGGAGCCAACTGCAACCTGTCCCCCGGCATCGGGCTAACTTTGTCATTGATGATTACTGCACACCGAGAAAAACAAAGTCAAGAAATGTTTCCATGAAATAGATCATTCTTTTTTTTTGACCATGATATACAAAAACATTAACATTTCTTCAAAACTTTATAGACCTACATTGGCTTTCATTATGTCTTATTATTAAATATTTTAAAAATGTTTTTTATTTCTATAAAACTTTGGTCGTTGGGAATACCAAGAAAAGAATTTAAAAAAAAAAAAATTGGTTGGTTATAATCTTATAATGTTCTGTCTGACATAATTGTATATTAATATTTAAAATAATCTTTTAGTATATTGCAAAACTTCCCAATAATGCTAAAATATCATATTGATAATTGATTTTAAAATATAGTTTTTTGTTATGTTACAAAGTTGTAGTTTTTCTCTGTACGATTGCCCCCAAAGCCAGCAGCTCAAGAATTATGCGTGGCCACCAGTTCCCAGAGCCACGTTGTCTGGCGATGTCATTTCCATTTTGTTGATTTTCCTGTTCACTTTGCACTAATCGATTTCCAATATATTTACGCTTAGACGGCATTCACATGCCCATAGAGTACAACAATGTTTTTGCCACTGGGGCAGAGCTTATGTTTCTGGTTTTTATAAATATTCAAAATTATTCAAAAAGTTACGAAACTTTTGATAAATGGTTTTCTGAACATGGCCTCAGCCTGTTTAATATTAGGCGAGTAATTAAAAGTATAAGAATTATTCACTTGTTTGCATTCCACGAATTTCAGCATGAATTGACCCAATTTTCGGGTACAAAATTAAGACATTTCAATTGCTGTCACTTAACACCAAGTTCAAGTTCAATTGGGGAGCGTCATTTACGTAGTTTGATTCCAAAAAAAAGTATAAGAGTTACATATATTTGTATTCTTCAAGAACTTTTCTGACTCAACTTCTCTGAGAATAAAACTACAGCTATATCTGAATCATCTTAGCCACTCTTATCGGTGTGAATAATCGAAATCCACTACCTGAATCACCTGAACATTTATTCCAGACATGAGTAATGTGGAAAATGTGTTTAGAATATTAGTTTTGGATTTCCCTGAGAGCATAATTCATGGATAATTGGCAGAGCTAACGACAGATTTGGACCATAAACCTTTTTCCCCGGCATCATCAATAATTGATTAAGCATATTTCATACGCGCTAGCTAAGGCTAATTAATCAATTTCCCTCTAATTGGCAGAAAGTAATTGCATAGAAATTGATCAAAATTGTTCGCGCTTTGCGAATTCGCAAATAACACGTATGCGACGCATGGGAAATGCGAAAATCTCTCTTTCCACCCCATCGATGTGCAGCGAAGAGTGAAATTCAATTTGTTCCAAAAAAAAAAGTAAAAAAAAGAAAAAAAAGGAAATGCGCGAAATAGTTTCGGTCACAAAATCGCAACCCGTAATTGCATTTCGCTTTAAAGAGGCTTTAAAATTATGCAAAATGCATTTGAGCTGCAGGCACGAACCACGACGACCATCCATGTCAATGACAGATACCAATCCTCCGCCATCCACCCGCTGCCACCTACTGCCACCCACCTCCCACCGCCCCTTTTGGCCCCTCGGAAACGGCAGCAATTACAGCCACAACAAGTGAAGCGAAATTTTGGCCAGAGCAAAGAAACCGCTCCGCACACAATATTCCCTCCTTATCCAATCACATTGCACTCGGAAATAAAATGTTGTCCAACCTAATTTACCTTTTTATAATATAAAATATGAATTATATATTTTTCTTACTATTTTAAACAAAAAGTGTAAGTAATGTTTGTTAAAATCTTATATCTATGTTATTAAAAGAATTTATTAGGTTAAAAGAAGGATCTAAAATATAATACTTGTTTTATAAATTACTATAAAATGTAAAAGAAAAAATTAATTTGATATGTGTGAATTTAATTGGCTTTAATAAATAATTATATAATTTTTTTATTTAAAACAAAAAGTAATTACAAACTATTAAAATTTGAAAATAATATTTACTTTCTCTCCCCCAGATAATCTGCGTATTTCTTTAAGTGCACTGCTCAGATTGTTGCAACTTGCAAGTGCAGTTGTCGTTGCTTCGATGGCTCTGCCAATTCTTGTGCATATATAATTTTATGCTTATGCTCATGTTTGCCTTATGGAAATGCGAGATTTTACCACATAAGAAAAAAAACCCGAGTCGTAGAAAAAAAGGGGGAAATGAAAACACAGGCGACTTTGGCACTTTGGACTTTGAGCTTGCCCATGTTTTTTATGCAAATTATGCATAATGTATGGAAAGAATTTTGTGTGGACACACGACAAAGTTCAATTGTATCAAATTGGTGGAAAAAAAAACGAAACGAAAAATAAACTTTAAGACGGGCAGCAAAAATAAACGAAAATCGAGTGCGACTCCATCAATCATATGGGCATCAATCAGAGGCGGCAAGAAGAGGGCGAAACTTTGAAGTTTGCGGCATGCCGCATTCAGTAAAGAGCAATTTTGTGGTCCATTTCAATTAGAACACAGAGCCAAACAGGCCACAAAATGTGGCAAGCAAATATAGGCGAATGTACATCTTATTTACAAAGAGAGCTCATGATGTGAAGGCACCCAACACTTTTCCCAGGAATTTTGGCCAAATAAATTCAACTAAAGTTCAGCACTTTCACATGCCAAATGATTCCAATAAATTCAGGTCTGATCTCACTTTTTATTCGAGTGGTATTAATACGCTCTTGTTATAGCCGATGAGCACACTGATGTCACTTCCACTTTCGTCTCGTTTGCAAATTGCACTTGCAATGGTGAAAAATGCAGCGAACAAATATGAATAAATTCACAGCGGAAATGAGACATTTCTTTGGCCCATTGTAAACTTTTTGACTGACGGCCAAGGTTTTAGGGAAACCAAGAACTTGCTAGCTCATCAGTTATAAATAGAAATTACAAAACTACCTAATCTCAAACGATATCATTAATCTTATCTTAAATGCAGTAGCAATTACAATTGTTGAAGTTTGAATACTTATATCCTTTTATCCCAATCTAAATAATGCATTTAGCTAAAGCCTTGTGTGTAAGTTAATTTAAATAATGATCTGGGTCACACAGCTTAGTTAGATTTAAAGCTCACATGTGGTTAAGAATTTTTGAATCCACCCATCTGCAGCCAGTGCCAAATGTTCAGTGTGCAGATATGCTAACGAGCAGACAAACAGATTTTGGCATGCTTGGAAGAAAGCTATTTTCGGAGCTATTTTTAAACGCAGACAGACCATAAATTTATGGAGGGGGATTCACAAAAGGTCAACTGAGCATGAAAGCCAAAACTCTGACTTTTAACACTGGTTTAAACGAAACTTTAAATTAAATCAACAATAATGTTACTATTAATATAATATTTTCTTGTAATCAACGATTTTTATTTGTATACCCTTACAAGATTTTTTGTGGTTCCCCTACAAATTACATTGTATCTTTCTAGAATTAGCCCTTTGCTAGATTATTCGTCGGGGGATTAGCATTTCGTGCACACAATTCCCCAATTTATCATAACTGACACGGCGACTGCAAAAATTGGGCATCAATTTGATGAAATTCACACGTATTTAGAAACTGTCAGAAGTGCCAGAGTCGCGTCATTTGTCTCATTAAGCCATTATTTCCGCTTCTGATAGAAATGCTCGCTTGACACTTCTCAAGAGCAATGGCAATCTTGGCTCAATGTGTTCGGGATCGGGTGGCCCGAGTATGAATGACATCATGGATCGTTCTGCGATCGTTGTGCGAATATTCCATAGTACTATATGTCTGAAGCGCCGCAGATCGCGCTCAATGACGCTGTCTCCATTAATCACAATCGTACGTATCAGAATCGCCGGAGACAGCCTCATCATCAATTGCAGCAATATGCCAAAGCCCACACAAAAAGATCAAATATGCACTGGCACGAGGGCGAATTTCAATTTTATATAACATTTCGCGACGTCTGATGGATGACTGGTGGACGCTTAGATGGTGGCGAAGGAGTCAATCAGTGGGCCAGGCGGTTGCAGACATTCGATTTCAATTGGTGCTACTACGGGAATGTTGGGATGGGGGAACGGGTCATCTGTCTGCTTGGATGACACTACTTCAAGGCCCTGTCCTTCGCAGCACCGAAGTAAAGAACCGACCAGGACTTGTCCGGTATATCGAACACGCTTTCCCGCTGGTAAACACTGGATGGTAAAAAAGAATAAGATCTTAGGGATTTACTTTTTAAAATAAAGGTCCATATAGTTATAATCCTTACAAAGCTAAAAAGGGATTTGTATATTTTCCAGATTTTTTGATTACTAATTATTATTAAAATTTAATAAAATATGGTCATCAAATACTAATTCTTGTTCAAAAATATCTAAATTACTGGACTATATTTATTGCAATTTATTGTCATGATTTTAATGCTAATAAATGGTCAATTAATTCTGATTTTATACAATTTCTTTCAATGAAGATCAAATTAATCTCTTGATTACGCTTTGAGTAATGACAAGACAAAATGATTCTATGTTTAAAGAAAATGCGAATGTTAAGAACTTGATGCTTTTGAATTTGTATTAATAATCTTTATATAAAACCTCACCTGACCAATCGCTGGCGTTGGTGCTCAGGAATGCAGGTCTGCTTGGGGGTCGGCTTCAGTTCCAGGGCGAAGTCACTCTCGGTGGGATCCATAATCGCCATTTCGTCCTTGCCACTTTTGGATACCCCACGCTTCTCACCGAATTGAGACGTCATGGTTCTTTGTTTTGGGCCGAAAAAAAGACAATCGGGTTTAGTGAACGGGCAATTTATAGTTAAAAGAATTTTAAAAATCTAAAATTTACACTGCCTTGTATCGAAATAAAAAGTTGACTCACAAAAAATAAATATGTTTTGCGTATTATTTGTGAGTTTCAACTGAATGGGTGCTATCGCTTGAACTAGTGTTACAACTTATAAGACAGAAAAAGCAAAGGTTTGAGAATGAAATATACGTCTACTTTGATTTATTTGTTTGCCAGTAGCCACAAAAAATAAACCCTAACAAGTCGGTTAGCTAAATTAAATGCCTGCAGAGTTTAGCAATCCAGCTCCCTAAAAAGTAGGCAATAAAATTATTATACATTTTGAGGAGGCCTAGAAGTATGCTATGCTTTTTGGAGATTGCTAGAAATCTTGAAAAATTTGGGTTTATTGAAACATCATCTTTTTGAATTCTTATAAAAATTATTATAAAGAAGAAAATAATCAAATCTAGGTATTGTTTAGATTTTTCCCTGTTCTACTACCAACCATTAAAAATTAAACAAAAAATTCGTATAGAAAAGTGATCATAAGATTGTTTTATTAGATACAAATCTATCCAATTAGTACGGTAAAATTTAGCACTTGTTGTCGATCGATCATCAGTAGACCTGCACCTGAACGGCCAGGAATCTGCGGGCATTGTTGGTCATCTCCGTGATCATGGCCATGGGCAGCACCATGGCGCACCGACTGCGGCCGACGTGGCCCACTTCGTTGGGAGCCCGGATATCGTAGATATAGCCGGTATTAACCCCAACGCAACCGGCCATCTGGGGACCTAGGGTGGACCAAAGCGAAAGGGTGGCCATGGGTTGCATGCCACGCGGCACAAATCCGGTTAACCAGAGAACGAAGAATTCTATATCGGATTGGGACCTAGTACGGGATCCCCGGGTATTAACACCCAAAGCATTGGTTAAATAAGTACGGCCACTCATCACCAGGACGGGCAGTAGATCACGGAGATCCTCGGCCTGGGTGTCGATGATCTTATCCCGCACCATATAGACCATGTGGCACTTGGGCTTGTCCACCATCGTCATGTTGGTGTCCAGAAAGAAGGTCTTGGTCTCCCTAGCCTTAATCCTCTCCATGGTCAAGGATCGATGATCCAGCAGCAGATGGTTATTCAAATCGGAGACGAAGCACAGCCGCTGGCAATCGGAATCGGGACAACGAACGGGGGATCGCGAAACGTCCAGTTCCTTGGTCTTTTGCAACTTGGTCATCTGCGGTTTCTTCTCGATCAGTCGGATGAGTTCCTTCTCCGAACAGGCTATCGTGGAGAACTGAGCTCGCGGGGCATTCAAGCAGACTTCCATGGATTCATCTAGGCTCCTGATTAGCTTAACAATATCCAACGGATCGTTGACGAAGCTGGAAAAGAGAGCTCGTTGCGCCGAGGACAAGAGAATGCACATCCTGCGCGGTTCACCCAAGGGCTGGGTTCGCTCGAAATTATCCCTGGGTCGATAGCCACTGGGCATGTAGAAGCCAACATTGGCAGGGGTTGCAAAAGGATTTCTCAGCTGATAGGGCAGCGGTACATAGATCCTTTGCTTTCTGACAACTATACTTTCTCTTTGTGTCGTTGATAGGGTAGTTTCTAAGTTGGTTTCCGTATCCGAACCCGAATCACTTTCAGTCACGGTTTCCGTATCGGTTTCGGATTCTAAAGAAGGGTCTAATGTTTCAAGGCTCTCTTGGGAAAACCGATCCGAATCCAAATCCTTGCTCTTTATATATGGTTTATCCTCTTCGTGTAGAGCCTTCAACAGGGTTTCCAGACTTTCTTCCTTGTGCAACTTCTTGCCTTCTGTTATTTTCTTTTCCATTTCCGCTTTAGACTTCAAACGTTGTAAGGTCATATGTGCTCCTCCACTCTGTCGTTTACTTCGTCCCGAGGAAGAGCGATGTGTCCTTTTCTCCAGGACATCCAGTTCCGTTCGGGCCGTCTCACATTCCGCATCCAGCCGGTTTCTCATCAAGGCCAACTTTCTCATTTGTCGCCGTTTCTCGAGTAGCTTCTTTTGAAGTTCCATATTGCTGGAATTCTTAGGCCGGGAATCTGGGCTCTTTGCCTGCTTGGAGGTCCCTGGTTCGGCGGAGGATTCATCGGCAGCAAAGCGACGCTGCAACTTCTTGATGTCCTTGATGGTAAGACCCGGCCCAGTGGTTATGGAATAAAGATCAGAGCTCTTTACCCGCTTGGTGGAGGTTTCAGATCTTTGATTCTGGTCATCGCGATGCTTGTAGGTTCTGGCATATGGATTAACAGGCGACAGGCGACGATCTAGTTCGACTGGTAGTACGGGATTCATATGCCTAGGCGGTGTGGATCGCATTAGTTCGATGCCCTTGATCTTTCCAGATCTTTTACTTCGTGATGGAACCACTTTCGCAGGACTTGAATTACGTAGAGTGCTCGCATCAGATCGAGTACTCGTCGCTGGGGAAACATTTAATGGAGTCACGGGTGTTGTGACAGGATCATCTTCAATATGCTGATTGCGATTCAAGTTGCCATGCCTATTGGGCAGTAAATTGAAGGATCCACCGTTTCTCGGCGGATCCACGGCCTCGACGGCCCAATTATTCATATGGTTAGCCAGACTGGCGGCCTGTTGAATCTGTATACCCTTTCCGGAATTCAAAGTTGATATCCTGCCAGTTACCGAATCGATCGAGTCCAAACTTTGTCTGAAAAGTATCTGAACCGATTCGCTGGCCGCGTTGTTCTTCATAAAGAAGGTCAGTTCGTTGCACAAGTTGCACCAACTGGAGGCGCCCTCTATGTAATCCTTTCCGGAGTTTTGGAATTTGTCGGCGGTGCAGGGACTTAAGCAATTTCTTCGATTACCGCAGCGACTGCACTCGTACATACTCTATCCAGACCGCGATGATGGAAGGCCAATAGAAACACTAATAAGACAATTTATAAAAGCGCTACCGAAAATATACAAATAACAGTGTACAGTTTTTGGTTCGGTTCCCATTAAAAGGGAATGTAAACAATGTAAAAATACAAAAGGGTTTTTGAGTTTTCGAAACCTGACAACTGGATGGGAAAACAGTTGATTTAATGATCTCAATTATTAGCTAAAAATATTAAATAAAATATTTTATTAAAGTAAATACCGAAATAAACATTTATTTTAATATTTCAGAACAAAATTCCATATTTAGAATCGCTCAACCGTTTTTCTAATGCAAACATAAAGCATTTTATTTTCAAGTGGCTTATATGGGATTTTTCGGTTGATTGGTTATTTGCTTTTCCGGTCCGGCCCCTTGGAGATACGGAGACATCTTCGGTCACTCAGGTGCTGGACCCATCCATTGACCGTGAAATCCGACGCCGAAGGTCAGGAGGGGACGTGCAAAAAACACTCAGTGAAAAGCAAATTCGGGGAACCTTGGATACCCAGACCAGCCATGCTCCAGTTTATACGCCTCGAGCCGGAGCTCTCGAGCGCCATCGAGATTGTCAAACGCCCCGTCAAGTGGCACCTGTCAGCAGGTGAAGACAGAAATGAAGAGAGGAGAAGCGCTTAAAAATGGATAAGCGTGCTTTTTTTAAAGGTGATGATTAGGTACACTTTTTCATAAAAATAAACAAAAAATTATACAAAATCATAAATAAAATGTTTTCCGTTTTTAAAAATATTCTATTCATATTATATTTTTTTAATAATTTATTGCGAATTTATTCTTTAATAAATAATTGCTTTATTTACTTTATAAATGCTGTTATTAAATACATACATGTTTTAAGATCACATCACAAGCTCAAGAGTCACAAATAAATATAGGGGGTTTTGACAGTTTTTAAACCACTAACAATTCTTTAGGTACGCGTATTTACCATTAAATGATATATACATAATTAACAAAATACATATTTATTTAGATAGGAAATTACACAATAAGCTTTTATTTTTCTTAAAACTATTTATACATTATTTATTTATTTAGTAGGTGGTCTTCCTTGTGGGCTTTAAAAATCGTAATGACTTTCAGCAAGGGTACGAAAATAGCCAAAAGCGGCTTACACTGAGACCAATTGAGGCTTGACTTGAATCGGATGGGATCGAATTGCTTCGGCGGCCAGTGGCGATGAATCAGCTTGAATATTCGAACATTTAGCCATTCGAATGTTTGTTTGTTTGATTGTTTGCTGAGATGCACCAAAATCAAAATCAAAACCAAAGCCGAAAACCGAAAATCGACGACAAATCATAGATGGTCTGCGCAAATAACGGAACCCGCCCTGAAGCCCACTGTTTGAACTTTTTCGAAGGTCTCCCCTGAAGCTGTACTCGTATAAATATCATTACATTTTAGTGTTCCGACATCAGACGCTCCACAGCCAAACATCCAACAAGATGGTAAGCATTCACCAAGAGAACTAAAAGAACTAACAAGGATAATAAAGGATATAAGGAGACCATCACAAAAAAAAACAAAATAATATATTAAATTAAATCTTGCATTCTTTTATAATGCTCAAAATTTATTTTTTAAATGCTAGAAACTGTTGAGTTATTTATAACCAACTAAAAATTACCTCGAGTACCGATAAAGTGCTCAATAGTAAACATAGGTCGATTAAATCACTAATAGACTTTTAAATAGTTAAAAAAAATTCCGATAAAAAAAGATGATCAATAAATATAAAAATTCTTTTTTTAGTAGGGTTCCATTTTAGTAATGATCTTGGATTCCATTTCTTAAATATTAGCTTTTCGATAAAGACATTTTTTGCAGAATTAACTTTCTAATATTTTTGTATTTATTTTAAATTTTTAGTATGTTATTTTTATAATCTTAAAATTTAATAGACAATATCATATTAATCCCTCTTAGAAAACCTTCTGCCTGACCCTCGCTTTGTGCGCCTGCCTGGCGGCCGCGGATGTGTCCCACCTGCAACCTGGCAGCAGCTACCTGCCGCCTCCTCGTCCGGAGCACGCAGTGTCCATGAGCATCGAGCAGCAGGAGCTGCGTGAGCTGCCCGAACAGGTGGAGTACATGCGTCCGAATGAGCAGGGTCAGATGGAGCCGATGCCCAGCAGCCTGCTCACACCTCCCGCTCCAGTGGATCAGCAGGAGGAAGCTGTGCCCTCCACTCGCTACCTGCCACCCGCACCAGTTGCCGCCGCTCCAGTCCAGATGGATGCTGAGCCCATGATGATGCCCCAGATGGAGATGGCTCCCGAGGAGGTTGTCATGGAGAAGCTGCAGGAGCAACCAGAGCTGGCCAACCGTTACCTGCCCCCCGCACCAGTCTCCGAACAGCAGTTGACCTACCAGCAATACCAGGAGCAGATGCAGCAGTTCCAGATGCAGGAACAGCAGCAGCAGGATCAGCAGCCCCAGGAGGAGCAGCCCCAGCAATTTCAGGATCAGCCAGCTGCGGAGGAGGAGCAGCAGATGCCATACATTCTGGATGTCCAGCAGCCCATGGCTCCGTCCGATGTGGAGACCCAGGAGCAACTGGAACCGGAGCCCGCCCACGAGCTCCGTGCCGATGGCTACCACTACAAACAGGCCGAGGAACACCGTCGTCTGCGGCATTAAGTCATCTGTGGAATTGAGTCACCGAATGACGACATCGAGTCACCCGGTTATGCGTCATCCGATTGTTGTTAAATGTTTAGCTTAGTTCTTAGAGAACCGATTAAATTTCGACTTTGAAGAGTATCTGCTTTTGATTATTTCCATCTGGTTTCTATTAGTCACAGGGTGTGTAAAACGTGAAAGAATTTCATTCTTTATTTAGGAATCTTGGATAAAGAATAGTGTGATTTTAAAATAGGAGTTGAATTTTTGTCTACATTTTTAAGGACTATAAAGTTAAAAAACAGTAGAAATTCTTAAAATATCTTGATTAAATAAAATCCAAAATTTTTATAACCATAATTTGGGTTTTGGCTAAATACAAAATCTTTAAACTACATTATTATTTAAGATTAGAATGACTTTAAAGTGGCATTTGCATTTTATTTCTAAAGAGTTAAAAGCAATAAAAAATTTTTAAAAAAAATATCAACACTCAAAAATCAGAATTTAATGGAAAATCCAAAACAACGATGTAAATTAAATTTCAAAAAATTAGGAAAATAAAAAAAATTTTAATTTCATTATCATAACACCTGACACCACTTGGAATACAATCCCTTAAAAAATTAATTTAAAGCTTTATTAAATTATACCCCTAATTCCATATATATTATCCAAACAATTAGTAACTAAATCCTGAGCCTCTGCCGCCACGAATACCTCACGAATCTCCTCAAGCGCCGACCTCCTCGCCGCCCTCCTCCTCCTCGTTCTCGACGGTGGCTCCCTCGCGCAGCATCTCCACCTTGTGGATGCTGAAGTCGATGTTGTAGAACGGCACATTCAGGGTGACCACCACGCAGTAGAGGAGCACCTGGAGGTGGCGGGTGCGCAGCATGTAGGAGGCGCCCTGTTGCTTGGGGAACAGCGGATGGTCCTTCTCCTGACAGTCGTACATAAAGTAGCCGCCATCGTGGCCGGGACAAAACCCGATGGCCAGCGATCGCTTGCGCACACTCACAATGCCGAACTGGTAGTGACTGAAGAAGTAGATCAGAGCTTCGGAGAGATTCATCCGGTTGAAGGTGGGCACCCGGTAGAGTTTGCCATAGCACACATGCTCGATGTGGACCACGAAATTGATGGTGTCCATGGAGCAGTCGATGTTGAGGTTCTCCAGCGAGAACTCGTAGTCCTCCTTGCTGATCTGATCGATGCTCTCCTTGAAGTAGGTATTCCCGCTGACCACTATCGTGTCCAGGAGATGTGGACTCCAGTCCATCAACCGATAGACACTGGCCGCACAGCAGGCCATCACATAGCAGCCCAGATACTGGCGACCCCGCACATCGTCCTCAAAGACCGGCGCCTCCGGATGGAGATTGCCCCACAGCGACCACAGGCGTCCCTCGATCTCGATGTCGAACTTCTTGATCTTGCTGATCGGCAGATTGCGATACTTGCCAGCCGTATTTCGGCGATTCAACCGGCTCCAAACGGGCAAACAGTTCTCCAGTTCCAGCCATCCCAAAGATTCGTTGGTGGCACAGATCTCGTACTCGGGTCGGCCGTACTGCTTATTCGTGCAGGTCATGGGTATCGAGAGATCGGTGAGGAGTTGCAGAATCCTGGCATTCGGTGCCGCCTTCTTGTGCGAAAGCACATCCACCAGGAAGAACTTGTACAGGTTCTTCTCCTTCCAGTTCTTCACGGCACTCCGATCGTCGATGTACTTGATCACCGAATCCACATCGTAGAGGAGAACCCAGGAGGCGGTGTTTCTTTCAGGCCAACGTTTGGGTCCCTTGGGACAACGCTTCTTTTTCTTTCCACCTCCCTCCTCGGCGTCGTCGTCATCGTCGTCTTCCTGCTCTTCATCCCCTCCAGGCTTCTCCATGCTGCCATAGGGATCAAACAGGTGAAAGAACTCGTCGTGGTAGATGGCATAGCTCCCATTGGGCGTAAAGATAATCATGTATTTGCGCTGGTTCAGCAGCTTGCCGAATTTCTTCTTGAAGATCATTAGGCCTACTTCCGGAGAACCGGGTTTCTTCACCGGCGTTGGGGTCCACATGCCCGCCGGCTCAAAGCAGCGTATCCAAATATCAAACTCATAATCATCTATGGTAACGTGGCGAACTACCCGTTCGAACACCGATTCCAGTTCACAAACTCCCGTGGAAATTGCCTTGGCATTATTGATCACCCGATCGATCCTGTAGGAATTCCATTGATTCAAGGGACGCAGGGAGCAACTGATGATGGCCAAAGCGGAGGCAAAGTAGCAGGGCTTGATGGTCTTGAAGGAACCCTTCTCACGGCCCTCGAGCGCCAGGCTGCCCTGGATCTTGAAGTTGCAGTCCTTCTCGCGCATCCTGTAGCCGAACATTATGGGACGAGGCTTGTACGCCCGACGAAGCTCCTTGGGCAGCTTCTTGCCCGGTCGGTGCTTCAGCTCCACCTCCTCCTCGCCCTCGCCTTCCTCCTCGCCCTCCTCCTCGCCGACCATGTCCTCCTCCTCGTCGTCGCCCTCCTCTCCCTCGCCCTCGTCGATGCCAATGTCCCGGTATTCGGCTGGAAAATATATTAAATAAAGTTATTACAGTCGATATATGAAAGAAAATTGGGAAAAATTTAACTGGAGTTTTTAATTTGTAAAATATAAATCTTAAGTATTTTTAGGTTCTTTAATTATTTTTATTCAGCTTAAAACTTTTTTAAAAATTGTAAAAAACATACCAGACAATCACTACACAAATGTTGTCAACAAAAATAAGTTTTAAAATGGATTGACAATTAATTCTATTCAAAGGGTTTGATTTAAGAATTCAAGCGTTTAAAATTGAAAGTTTCATTTTAATTAAATAACCTATAGGTGATTATAAATTCATAATCATAATCATTTAAAAATATTTAAATTAAGGTCGAATATATAAGATTCCTTGTTAATCATTATTACGTTAAATATTTTAAATCATTAAAAAAAGATTTTGATATTTAAAACAAAGTTTGAAACATTTAAATTAGCTATAATTTATAGTAATCATATTTACATTAAATATTTCACGTCATTAAGAAAAAGAATTTCATATTTAAATCAAATTTTAAAACATTTAAATTAACTATAATTTATAGTAATCATATTTACATTAAATATTTCACGTCATTAAAAAAAAGAATTTCATGTTTAAATCATTAAATAAATAATTATATTAAACTTGTTTATTTAAAATTAATAAAAACCGCAATGGATGAAACGCATACCGAAAAATATTTAAATTGAATATGAAATATTAGTATTTTCTTTTCAGTCTATAAACTTACGTTTCTTTCCCTCCTTTCTGTCCTGGTGCTCCTGTTTGGCCTTGAGGAACATCTGAATGCGCTCGTTCTCCTTCCTGAGCTCCTCGTCGATGTAGCGCATCTTCTCCAGCCGCTGATCCCGCAGCTTCTTCTGCCTCGCCGTCTCCTGTTTGACCTCCTTGTCGTCATCCTCCTTGCGCCAGGGTCGGAAACGCCCATGAATATTATTGTCCACCATTTGGACGCAGGCCACGATGAAGTTCATCACCGAGCAGCCCTGTGGATTGCAGCCGAACTCGATGCGCTTAATCAATGCATCCAATTCCACAAAGCGGAGGAGACAAGCAGGTCCAGATCCACCCTTTCGATAGCCAATCGCATTGCAGGGGAATCCAATGAACATGTACACGAAGTTATAGCGCTTGAAGATCACGCAGGAGAAGCGCTGGCAAACGAGTAGCAACCTATTGTTGTCCACCAGGAGATCCACCAAAACCTGGCGCAGAGGCACCATGATCGAGGACTTGACCACCTTCTTGACCTCCAAACTGTAGTTGCTCTCGCCGATGGCGATGTCGGGTAGTTTTTTGGCCAACAGGCAGGCCAAAATGTACTCATAATTCTGGTAATCATCGCCAAAGCTATTGGCCGACTCCAAGGAGAACTCGATGAGATCGGCATTCCAGGTGGATAGCTTGTACTTGGAGGAAACGGCCATGGCCACCAGCCCGGCCAGCAGGCCACCCAGCTTGGCCATCTCCTCGTCCAGCTGGGGAAGCTGCGTGGTGCCCATGATGATCCAGGAGCCATCCGGCAAAGCCTTGAAGTTGCTTTTGAGCGCCACTTCCTCCTCGACGGTGAGCACTCGCTTCAGATCCTCCTCCTCCTCCGCCGCCGCCGCCTGGCCAAGTTCATAGCCCCGCTTGATCTTCAGCCGCAGCGCCTTGAGATTCTCCTGATCCGTCCGCAGCAGCACCTTTTGCGCCGGCTTATAGAGATACGGCCGCTTTGGTTGCGGTTCAGGCAGTTCCTTTATAATGCTATTGATGATCATGTTGATCAGCTCCTCCACCATCTCCTTCTCATCCACCGTGGGGAAGCGATCCTCCTCTGGAATACTCTCGATACTCTTCTTCTGCTTCAACTCCGGCAGCGGTGGCTCATCCGTGAAGGTGGGCAGACCCATCTGCAGACCCGGAAACTTGTTCGTCTGCGGGGTCATCACCTGCAGCGGACGAATGCAACCCGTTCGGATGCCGTGGATAAAGAACTTGCCACCACGTCGCATCTTCAAAGCATTCTTGTAGATCACGCGAACAAAGGAGTCGAAAGTAGTGTGCATTTGCAGCACGGCCAGACCCTTGATGGTATAGTCATCGGGATCCACCACCAAACCAGTTCGATTTCGCCGGAAGGGATCGAAGACATAGAAGAACTCCCTGTCCCGCCAAACGGCCATCACCGAGTTGTCAATCTGGAGCAGCGCCGATGGCCATTGGGGCATATTAAACAACTGATGCAGAGCCATCGTTAGCTGGGATTCCAAGTAGCTCTTGCAGTCCGCCACATGACCATTGATCATGAAGGGATGCTTGCGAACGGTGGCCTTAAAAGCACCCATTAGGAACATTTCCGGCAGATCCACGACATTCAAGTGGGGCTTCTTGTTCTTCCACCGCTTGCCATCCAGTCGGAACTTCTTGCGAAGGGTTTTATAGTAGGCCACTCCATACCGAATGATATCATCCACAGTGCCGGGCTTCCAAAGTTTAGCCAGCTCAAACTCCGAGTAAATCAGAGCTATCAGGGACACAACCAGCGAGGCATTCTTCTCATTACCCGAAATGGGCTGGTGAATGCCACCCGTGGCCGCTGTTTTCACCGCAAAGTTCTCGTTCACCACGGCCCACATTTTGTGGAACTCCTCGTTCTCCACCGCCTTAATAGGTGGATCCTTCAGTTTCCCATACTGCGTCAGAGATATCTCAAAGATATTGAACTCATCCTGCGGCTGGAGGTCACTGAACTTGGTGATCAGGTGCACCAGATGCTCAGTATATCGAGTGGCCATCAGCGAACACTTTCCCTCCTCGAAATCCCGCTCGCAGTCCTCATCCCGTCCATTGGGATCGAAAATGTAGTACGAGTTCAGGCAGCGCTTCCAGATCAGCAGGAAGAGATCGCGTGAGGTGAAAATACAGGCATTGTATTTGGAAAAGAACAGCGAAAGCGCCTTGAACATGTTCGGTTCGTTCTTGAGCAGCCCGGAAAAGTGAATCTTTATCTCGACGGCTGCATCCCGTTCCGCCACCTGTTGAATGATATCGAAGTCATTCACCTCCGACTTGTAGTTCAGGTCGGCGCTCTTTTTAGTCAACTTGACACCGCGCTTGAGGATGCCGTCCATGGTGGCTCCTGTCCAGAAATCGGGATTCAAGCGAAAGCTCTCCACGAAGGCCACTATAATGGCGCCGATCTCACTGGGTCGATTGTAGTATCTGTTTTTAAGGAGGGGGAGGTGGATTAAGATGCTATCTTACACACGAAAAAAGGATCGATTTTACATTATTTAAGATCAATTTTAATTAGATATGTGACCAGGTAAATTTGAACTGGTCGAAAAGAGTGTTTCATGTAAAAGCGATATGGGTTTTGCGTGACCTGAAATTTACATGGCCATATCAATGTTTTTTTTTATAAAATATCAGACATTCTTGATAAATCCTTATTATACAGACACTCACTGCAATCGGTAAGACTCCTGCTTCGGTTCCGGATAGATATTTCGATTTCCGAACACAATCTCAGCGGTGAAGGTCTTTTCCAGCTGCTGTGGTATATTATAGAGCGTGAGTTCGCCGTCCTTTTCTACAAAATTTCAATGAAGCTAGATTAGGATAGCCAAGGAATATGTAATCCCTTCCTTAAGTACTCACCATATTTGGGCAGAGAGGCGGCGATGAACTCCTGGTCCATTTGCTCTTCGCGCTTCTGATAGCCCACATTCCAGGTCCACAGATCCTGTGGACTACAGCCCTCGATGATATCGTAGGTCTTAAGGTTCTCGCCCTCTAAGCCCTCTTGCAGGACACGCGGATTGTAGGAGGGAAAGGGCAGCTCCTCCAGTGGGCCAACTTCGGTTTCGTTCAAGTAGATGCGACTCTTGGGACGCTTTAGCTCCAACTGCGCATGGAGTACAATTATATCATTATTTATTTAAGGTAATCTAAATTTTTAATATGCAATTACGGAGAAATTAGGTTTCGTAGCAAAGTGGGTAGTTAGTAATCGTTGCCTTACATTAGCTAGCTTTTAATTAGTCATAATTAAACACAAATTAATTAAACAGTAATAAGATAACCTATAAAACAAACATTATATTTCCTTGATTTAACTTTTCTTCTTGTGCAGTTCAACAAAGAGGTTTAGTTTAACCCAAAAATAAAGTTAGGATATGGCCAGCAAATTAAATTATTCAGAGACCCAATAGTCTTGGCTGGCTATTGGGTAACATATGGCCAGTTATCAGCGCTTGGGTCTGTGCAAGCTCTGTGCTTTCACTCGGCGACTCTGTTTTCCTGGCCATGGCCATAAGCTTTTAATGCGGCTGAAAATAGCACGCATACGCCACCGATGCCCGTCGCCCCGTATATAGGAGGCACTTTTGTGCTTGTCTTGGTCTGGCTATGTTATAATATGGTATGGTATTTACGGGAGGCCTGTTTTTTCCTCCTCTGTGTTATATTTTTTTTGTATTTTCTGCGCTCATCAAGAAGTTAGTAAGCGGCATAAGGTAAGCACGAAATGCCAACTAGACTGACTATAACGACATGATGTCGCCGCGCTATATGCGGTATATGCGCTATATGCGCTATATGTGTATGGGTTCGGGGTGCGTCCGTATGGGTGAGTGTGCCTCTATGGCTGGCTGGCCACGATGACGGCCACCAAACAACAGAGGCGTCCCATGCACAGAGCAGTAAACAACGAACAGCGCTTAGTGCCACATCACGGAATCTTATCGCTCTCGTTCGACTCGACCAAAAGCCAAAAACCCAACCGAAACCGAAACTGAAACCGAAACCGACTAACCCGAGACCAGAAACCCGGACCACCGAGCAAATACGAAGCTGCCTCGGCTGTAGAACAAACAACTCATCTAGTTGCTGCAGCAACAATAACAACAGAAATCGAGACATATAGTACAGTACGACGGACCAGGTGAACCAGGTGAGCGGCGCAGTATCGCGCAGTTATAGCATACGACCACGTCAATACCAATACCACTACCAATACCAAAGCGCAGTTGCCAACAGTACAAGTTGGTTCCAATTCCAATTCCAACTACGCAACCCTCTTGAAAAGGCGTGCTGGCAAAATGTCAAACTGGGTAGGGTTACGATGGGGCTGCGGGGGAACTAAAAAGTGGGGACTGCAGATCTTGCCAAAGACAGGTGTGCTGGGATGTCCACTTAATTATAGCGCTGATATGGCAAAGCAATGAGTGTATTTTGCTTAATATTTTATTTTAAGAATGATATATGATATGAGATATTGGTTTTAGTTCTGTTTTTAATATTATTAGACATTTTTAATATCTAGTTAGATGCTAAGGACATGTTTTCAAAGGACTTTTCTTAGTTTTCTTGCTTAAAAAAATATGTTATATGATATGATCTATTGGTTTTAGTTCTGTTTTTAATATTATTACACATTTTAATATCTAGTTAGATGCTAAATACATGTTTTCAAAGACTTTTCTAAGTTTTCTTGCTTAAAAAATTTATTATCCTTAATTACAAGGCTAGATTTATAAGATATATTTAATTTTAAGAACTTTTATCTGTTCTTACTTAAGAGACAAAATCCACGTAGCCTCAGTTTTAAAATCCGTAAAAGGAACTGATGAACTAATCAACTTAAAGGCAGCTGTTTCCATCAAAGATGCTGAGGCTGCAATAGCAATCTGGGTGATGGCTTTGAATTCGAATTAAAATTGGTATTTGCCAGGTGCAGCTGCCCAACGAAAACTCAGATACACATATACGGATGCCAAGCTAAAGTGTTCGGCAAACAAGCGACCGCAGGCGGCGCCCCTGAGAAAAGGGAATGGCTGCAAAAACAGAGGCCTTTCAAAGGGGGGTTTATACAATACTGTAAACTAATAATGTAGAGCCAAAGAAACCATTCAAGATTTTATTATAATGAGCTTTTTGAATATAATATCGGGATTTATTTTTTTAATTTCAAATTTGCCTCCTTTAATTTTCACACATAATCCTTTTAAAACCTTTTTTTTATATTTTATATCGGGATTTATTTTTTAATTTAAAATTTGTGTCCTTTATTTTCACATTTAATCCTTTTAAAAATTGCCTTAAAGAAGGAAGCCTGTGCTACCTACATACATTAAATATTTATTTTCCTTGCCAAAGTAATATATTTTTGGTAAATTCCAATGATTACCAGATTTAAAACCAAAGATCTTATATATGAATCAGAATTGCTTCATGTCTATTGATAAGACGCTAGCTATGAACACCCGTAAAACATCAGAGTGCGATTATATCGCTTCGAATACGAAACGAATCGTTCAAAGAGTAGACAGGCTCTTATCTCCGACGCAAAGTTAATTAGCCAAGATAGAGAGAGGTTTCTGCAGCGAGCCAAGCGAATAGGAATCGGATTTTAATCGTTAACCCAGCATATAGCCTTGCCACCCCCACCCCCCTCCTGGCATAGCCCACGCCCCTCCTCCCACAACAAAAATTGAGACATACCGAACAGCATACGCGGAAAACGCAAACGCAAATGAAACAAAAGCGAGGCGACTGCAACCGCACTGCTTTTGCATATGGCCACTGCACAATGCACTAGACCAACAACGGTCACAGATGCGGTCAAAAACATAGTGGTACGGCGACGGTTTGAAACAGATAACAAACTAATATTTTAAAATTGGTCAGTGCTAGTTGCCTTGTTAAATACTTTGTATTTGTAAAAATTAAACTGTTTAAAATGTATTTTTGAACATCTAAATACGTTTTTTTTTAACAAACCAATTAAGAAAATAAATGAAGGTCAACTAATTTTAAAAATATGTAAAATATGCTTCGTTTATAAACAGTGAAATATATACAAATAACGTTTTAAAGGATCGAAAACTTTATTTTTTGTTTAAAGGATACAACTTTTTTATCATTTTTAATGCATGTAGGATATCCTCTAATGCATTTTGAAAAATCAGGCAACTTCATTAAAACGATCTGATATCCTCTTTTTATATTCGATACTAATTGTACGCTAGTGATAGTCACTTCTGGTCTTTTAAATACTCTTTTGCTTGCTTTTCTATGCCCAAGAATGGGTTCTTATCTGCTCCAATCCAAAAACCGTAAATCAGATGAACTAAGACCTTTGACAAGTGGTGTAATTCTTATATTCTTTAACTTCTAACCCATTTTTTTATTGGAAGCCACTATAATTTTGACCTGCTCTGTTCAATAGGATGAGATTCCTCTTACTTCAAACTGCATAACTACTAAATAATTGGTATTGGTGTACGTTTTATATTGTTAATTGTTGTTTGTAAAAGTATTGCACTGTGCAATAGGATAACGAGAAAGAGCGAAAACTAGTTCAGGCTTATTTAAAGCCGTTTGGTATATGGTTTAATTGCTACGGCTTGTTTTTAGTGAAAGCCACTAGTATTTTGACCTGCTCTGTGCAAAAGTAACAGCTGCAAGTGTCGTTTGTGTTGCTACAACAACAAACACCACGCAAAAGGGACTGAGCATAGTGAACCGTTTTTATTTCATACGGAGCGCGCAAAGAACGCACACACACATTCAGAGGCGAAGAGCGGAACCAAAAAAACAGGGCACACAAGTGTGTTATTACTCAGTAATTGTAAAAATGTCAGAGCCGCAACAACAAAAGCTAATATAGAGGCAAGCGAATTTGAGAACGTGCCGTGCCAACACTCATGAAAAGTGACTAATAAACGCTTAGCTATTTGCATGGACAGTATTAATAATGCTTTTATTTCTGTTTTATAGCGATATATTTCGTTGTGGCAGCTTCAAAGGAGTCACACAGACACACACTCACTCGCTGTCCCCCTCTGACGCATGATCTTTGTGGCGAGAGAGAGAGCGAAACAACAACAACAGCGCAAGAAGCTGCTGCGCAGTTAGCTGAAAAGAGGAAGAGAAGGAGGAGGATAACGAAGGAGGAATAAGAGAGCTAAAAACTTAAAAATACTATTGAAATGGCAGCTATTGCGGCATTACCAACAACTACGTTGCGACGCAACAACAACAACAAAGGGGTAAGTTGTCTCAGGAAGAAGCCAGATACGTACGTATGTATGTATGTATGTACGTTTGTTAACTTGGCCTTTAAGCGGTCCGCTGAGGGTGGTTTTCACAACTTGCCTCAAGTGGACACGCGGCCGTCAGACAAGCACGCGTCTAAACTGGAAATATACATATTTACAAATGCAAATAAATACGTAAAATGGCTCCATCGCATAATCGGACACCTACTTTCATAAAATAAACATGCAAAAAAATGAATAAAATGGCTTAAATTTGTCGTTGAGCAATTTCTTTGCTTTAACCAAGGACCTAATGCTTAATATCTTCCAAAAGCATAAAAAAAATGTACATATTTTCAAGGAAAACACCAGTTTTCCAACAAAAACAACAAAAGATCCGATTTTTAAGGTTCAACGACTAATCGGACACTCGCTGAATACGGGTTTTTTTTTGGAATGTCTGCAAACTTGGGGTTTTTGGTATTGAATACTTTTTAGTAGAGATTAAAAGAAGAAACCATCACTACACTGCAAAAAAAATTGAAATGGCTCCAAGAAAAGCCATTTTTTATTTATTAACTTCGTCAGTTGATTGGAAACCTCAATTTCGAACTTAAATACTGTTCGGAAATTCACTGGATTGGTCGGAGAAGTCAAGTCTATTGTCCAGGACATTATTATGAGGTTCCGGGATACATTTTAATATGACAATAGAGGCGGGAAAGGCCAAATCAAGATGTTAATGACGGCATAATTCCAAAGTACCTTAAGATTTTAAAAGATAAAAAATATTTAAATATTTTTTTATGTTTCTTTTGTTAATCTAAAAGTGCATTAAACAACCGACAAAATAATGTATCGTTTATAAAAATCGGTTCACAACTTACCTAAAAAATGGACCAAACTATAACCAAACGGATAATTGCTTGGTCAAAAAGCACGAATTCCATACAAATTTCAATAAAAACGAAGCTTTCAGCTTAACAAGAATTTTCTCGAACCCATCTTTTAGGTAAGTTGTGACACCGATTTTTATATACGATATACGAAATCGAAAAACTAAGTGTTTTCGTTGAAAACATGTAATTTTTGTTTATGTTTTTGGAAGATATTAGCATTATGTATAGGTAAAAGCAAAAAAAACGACAAATTTAACCCATTTTATTCATTTTTTTTGCATGTTTATTTTATGAAAGTAGGTGTCCGATTATGCGATGGAGCCACTGTATGTAGGCTTTATAGGCTTTATTTTACCCTTGAGCAATAAGCATTGCAACCAAGGACCTTCGCGTTCATATGCATGTAAATATGTCATGTTCAGGACCTTTTGCAAGATCGTTTAAATTTTGGCCTCTTCAAGGACATTTTGCAAAGATTTAATAAATTTTTTTAAGTCAAAAAATTATAAATATTGAAAATTTAAAATCAATCAAAAAAATTGTAATGATCTTAAATTAGCTTAGTTATTTATTTATTTCCTTCTTCTTTCTAACGCTACGCTTAAATACATTCATATTTTTCAATACCAAAATTAATATAGCATTTATTTTTAGCTCACACTGATAATAATTATGTATCTATTTTTTGATACATTAATTTTTTAATTTCTATTATTTTAATAATTTTAAATATGGAGATAATTAAAGGAACAATAATCGGTAATTCGAAGAATTTAAAGTAGGATTTAAGATAAAATTAAAAAATATTTAATGAAAAACTTCATAGTTTTCTTTATATCTTTAAAATAGTGGTATCTTCTATTTAGTAGGACATGCCAAATATTATGAACGCTAAATTTTTAATTGATCTTTTATCCTCTTTCTTTTTCCCAGATCAAATCGCGTCGCAACGAGCGTAATATCCTTACTTTCTACGAAAAGATTGCCGTGATCCGTTACTATGAGGAGACAAATATTTCGAGAAACAGTCTGGCCAAGATGTTCCACTGCTGCGCCACCCAAATTCGCCGCATCCTGGACAAGAAAAAGGAGCTGCTCCAGCAATTGGCCACCTTGAGCGAGGCGGATGCCTCTATAATAATTGAGGAGATGACGCGCAAGCGCCGTAAATTCGAGATGAGTGCCATTAGTTTCCTCCTTCACGAATGGGTGGAAAGATGCACCCAACTGCACTTGAACATCAGCATTCGGAACCAAAAACTCAAGGAAACAGCCATACGAATGGCAGCAGTTTTGAATCTGCCCTCGTTTAGACCCTCCTATCGGTGGCTAAATCGGTTCCGTGGAAAGTACAAGTACGAGGCCGATGAGTTGGGCTACCAGGGAGAGAATGCCCTCAACCAGGATCTGCCTGTCGAGGACATTATTGTGGAGTTTAAGCATGCACTGCCCAACTTTATGCAACGCGAGCTGGCCGAACCCGCTGAAGGTGTCACCAAAGGACCTGTCGTACCAGATTTTGTCAATCTCTCCAGTGAGAATAGTCTGATGTCTGATCATCACGAGGAGGATGATGGAGTGGAGGTGGTCACCTGTGAGCCCACCATGATGTCCTCGCCAGCCAGCTCGCCAGAAGACGAGGAGGGAGGGTGGGGAGAAGAAGGAAGGCCAGGAAAATGCCGACGATCAAATGAACGCCGGCACTAGCACCCTACTGAATGGCGTCTTTCCGCACCTGGCCATCATCCATCAGTTCGCCCTGATGAACTCGGATGTACAGGCACTGGAGCTCATCTCCCAGCTGGGTGTGCATATGCAGCAGCAGGCTGTTTCCGGAGCTTATCACACCCTTTCGCTGGCGACAACAGGTGGAGGTGCAGATGGACAAGCAGATCCGGGGACAAACTCTTTGCCGGAATTGCCACCGGGCAGCATTTACGCAGATATCGATGACATAGAGTTAATCGAATAGGAGCGCCAAATAGAAATCGAAACTAAGCTAGCCTAAGCTTCAATGCCATAATATAGTCGTCTAGTATTTATGATCTACACACTTGAAGGTGATTTGATTTATTTCATTACGAAAGTACTTAATAATTAGACATCGGATTTTAGGTGAAATCGTTTTTTTTTTTTAATAAGATTAAAAGCCACATTTGATTGGTTATTTTTAAAAAACCTAATTAGTTTTTAATAATAACTTTAAATCAAAGTTGTAACCAATCAAATGTGGCTTTAAATCGTATTTAAAAAAAAACGATTTCACTTAAAATCCGATGTCTATTAATAATTTATTATTTAAAGTTATAGTATCGCTATTTAAATGAGCTTGTATTTAATAAGTTGTAAATCAAATTGGATTTGATTTAATGAAAAATCAATAAAAAAGCACTGCTTAATGTAAACGTTTAAATTGAATAATATAATTGAATAATGGTTTGTTAGCCTTTATAGAAAAATCTAAGCTTACCATGCGCTTGTCCGGAATAATGATCATGTCCGAGCTGCATTCGGGAGTGGCCAGTTGTGGCTTGACCTCGCCCTCCTCCTCCTCCTCGCCCTCCTCGGCCTGCTGCTCCTCCTCGCCCATGTCCATGGGACTGTTGAGCACCACCAGGTCCTTGGGACATGTCCTTTCCACCCGGGCGTCGTGCTCTACCAGGCCAAAATCCTTGCGGGCTGCCAGCAGGCGCTCTCGCATCTCGGCGTGCGTCTTCAGCTCCGCCTGGGTTCGTTGTGGTATGATGCACATGGTGTACTCGTCGTAGAGGGCACATTGTTTCTTGTAGGGCCTAATGAAGCGCGACTCCTCCGCCTTCTGGTGGATGCGACGCAGCTCATCCTCGATGGTCAGCACTTGGGAGATCGTGGAGTTGGGCGGTTTCTTTTGGCAAACGCGATCGCGGGGCGGACAGTTCTCCGCCTTCCATTCCGGCGACGTTTCGTTGCCCAGAAAGGTTCGCACCTCGTACGGATTCGCCGATGGACTGCACTCCGCGTTCACTTCCACGAATTTTTTCAACATTTTTGCAAAACACTATCGATTTTGCAGGAGTTGGGAATAAAACTAATAATTTTGTAGCACGACACGTTCGTTATGTTTCGAATCAGTCATACAAGTGAATAGATTCAGGTTGTTAAAAGAAAGGCATGGTTTACTATAAAATTTGAAAGTGGTTTTGAAAACAAATTATTTGGGGTGGCGTTATACCATATAATTTATAAATTTTAGATAATAAATACGAGAATTTATAGTTTTTATAAAATTTAAGAATAGTTATAATTCTTTACAAAAATGATTTGTTATAAAAGTGTTTAAAAAATGTAAAATTTACTTTTGAAAAATAAATTTACGTTTATTCAATCAGTAAAAAAAATGATATCCAAATTTTTAAATTAATCATTAAAGTAATAAAAATAGTTTTTATAAGTGTTCGTTTACTTTTTTATTTTAAGTTTTTAAGATCATCCTTGTTTAATGACTTCGTATTCAAACTAAATTCAAATGTCCCGCGGTCAGCACCCGTTCACAATAGATCACTTCGTTCTTGCTGGATTTATTCACTTTATAGCCTACGGTCACTCGGAAACAGTGGTGTCATTTTTGTGTGAGCAAAAAATGCTCAATTCCAGGGAAAAGTTTTAGTAAGCGTTTAATGTTTTAACGCCTATTTTGTTTCAAATTTTGCTTTAAACAGACTTACTTGGCTAAACACCTGCTCGCTTTCGGCATGTGACCAAGGTTTTAGCAGCATTTGTAGAGCAATTAAACCCATTTAGCTATAAAATTTAGAATTACCGCTAACAGCTAACAGACTTAAAAAAAGCCAACTCTGACGGGAAAAAAGCGGGCATGACACCACTGCTCGGAACATCTGAAAAAAACAACAATCAGCGCTCGATGCAGTATTAAACAAAGAATATTTTTCGAATTACTGCCTCGCACGGGCCAAAACCGTTCAAGATGTGGATACAGCCCAAGGAGCAGCTCCTGCCCTCGGCATTCTGGTGAGTTCCAAACCAAAACCACGGCTAATTTGGGGGAATGCCGAAAAGCCAAATTAAACATGCCCGCTTGCGTGTGTGGGTGAGCTGGATGTGGTTGGGGCATGTGTATATGCAATGTTGTGTTTATGGAAGGTGTCTCATGGAATGCAATTATCACGAAGTGCAGGCCGCAAGGAGAGCCGCAAATCACGTACTCCGGCGACGCATAAACGACGTAATTGCATTTGTTGATAGCTAATTGAGCCAAAAGTTCAAGACTCCAACTCTTTGGATCGACGGTTCTGATTTCGCAACGCAAAAAGAGGCAGCTGTGTAAAGTCAGCTTGAAAATTGATTTCCAACTGTTTCCTGCTGCGTAGAAAAAAAAGAGACCCCACCCCCTGGAAAATTCCCCATAGAATTCTCCATTTTAAAGCGATTTTTTTTTCGTTCCGCCCACAGGATTGCCGAGATGCACTCGAGATATTTCGTCCTGCAGAAGCGACGTGGTCACGGGGAATCCCGGGGCTTCGGCTCCATGCTCGTTGGAACCTACGACAGCGTGATGAACACCAAACCGGCTCCCTATCGCATCCTCCACCAGACGCCCTCGTCGGAGGTGTCTTACGGTAGGTTCAATAACTCGGACTCATCCGCTTTATCAGCTGCAGTTGCTCGAGTCTATGTGACCGTGAATCATCGGGTTTTTTATGGGAGTATGCCAATATTTCTTTCATCCAGAGGTTGCCTTTTAGCGCTTACGTAAACGAGGAACGAGGCTGATTACAAAAGCTGCGGAGGCTGGCTCATCTCTTTTGTTATTCAATTTGAAATATAATAATATAAGAAAGGAAGGCTGTGCTTGGAGTAGGGAGCTTAGTGCTTGGAAAACCCTACAGAATCTTTATCAAAACTTAAAGAAAACATTAGAACTTGAGGTCTACTAAGTTTCAGCTAACTATTTCTATCGCTTCTGTGATAAGTAGTCTCAAAAATTATAACATTGCCTCATAAATTGTAATCAGAATTTCTAAAAACTTTAGAAGTTGGGGTCTATTAAGTTTCAGCTAACTATTTCTATCGTTTCTATGCTTAGCAGTCTCAAAAATTATAACATTGCCTTATAAATAGTAATCCGAATTTCTAAAAACATTAGATCTCGAGGTCTATTAAGTTTCAGCTAACTATTTCTATCGTTTCTATGATAAGTAGTTTCAAAAATTATTACATTGCCTTATAAATAGTAATCAGCATTTATAAAACCACAAAAATATGCTGATATGACTTATTAATTTCATAAGCATAATCAAAATATAAGCAATTTTTAATGTATTTGCTTACTTCCCAGCTATACAAATCATATTTGACGTTTAATAACCGTATATGGCTTTGGTTTAATGGTTATATCTTATCTTTTTATCTTATCTGTTTTATTTGATTTATTTAATTATCATAAAAAACAAATTTACACAAAAGAAATGGTTCCCAGTTGCATTTCGCTTACACCAACCTTTTAATAACTGATCTTTAATATTACCAACCACATTAAACTATTAATTTAAAACCCATAACCCGCAGAAATCGCCATTGGCATCACCCAGAGTGAGATAGTCAAGGACTGGGAATGGCTGCAGGCCAATCTCTTCAAGGTGCTGGACGAGATGGAGAATGAGGACGAGGTGACCAACTTCACCATATGCAAGATCCAATCGCTCTACACACAAAACAACCAGGATGACACCGGCGAGTCGGCCGAATTCAAGGTGATGAAGTCAAAGTTCAGGCAGATTTTCAAAATGCCCGAAGAAGAGCGGGTAGTTAACTCCTACTCGGCCACGTAAGCATCAAAATTTATAATATTTAATTGAAAATAAATTATTTTTAATAAATATTCAATTTTAGATATGTGAAGAACAAGATTCCCAGACAGGGGCAGCTCTACATTTCGCTGAACCACGTCTGCTTTTACTCGTATATGCTGGGTCAGGAGATTAAGCGCATTATACGCTTTGCCGAGCTGGAGGACATCAGCCGAAATGCGAATACCATCTATCTGAAGACCACCAATAACATGACCTACAACTTTACAATGCTCTTTAACGCCAGCGAGGCGCATTCACTGATCGAGCAGCTAAATAAAATGGCCATACAGCAACTAATCCATGATCCGGATAGTCCGGTGGTCGATCACGACACATCGAATTTCGCACGGCTGGGCACCAAGACATCCAAGAAGCCCGTGCTGCTGCGCGATTTGACCGCTCGCCAGAAATCCGAGGAGTTTCGCATTTACTTCCGACTGCCGCAGTCGGAAATAATCGACGGAAAGATCAAGGCAAACATCTGGACACCCTACTCGAAGCGGTTCAATTCCGGCTTTATCTATCTCTCGCCGAATTTCTTTTGCTTTCGCAGCGATGTCAAGGATTTGGTCAGCGTGGTTATACCGATGAAGACTATTAAGGTGACTAAATATCAGAAAAATCAGAAAAAAAAAACCGAAATGAAATAGGGTTATTTCTACATTAATTCATATCAATATGTCAATTTTAAGATTCAAACATATCAACATGATATTTTATCATATTATAAAAAATACCAAATTTTGTATTTTTTGAGCAAATAATCTTTATTCATATCAAAATGATATGAATAACTTGATTTTTAAGAAATATCAAATTGACCATTACCATTTCTTTTTTTCCGTGTATTATTAAGTTGGTTAACGCTAACTATTTATTTTTTAGAGCGTGGAGAAGAAGGATGACGGCCAACAACGGTTCGAAAATCAAATTGTCATCATTACATCAGAGAATGTGCCTTTCATGTTTGCTCATATCGTGGACCGAGATGTGCTGATCTCCAAGATCACAGATCTTCTTGCACGAATTCATGTGTAAGTGTAGTCTAAATTAATATAAAATTAGAGCTCAGTAATTCAAAACTCTCTTCATTAGTCCCGTGAGTCGCGAACGAGCCAAGTACGACATTTCGTGGAGCAAGCAGACCGCTCTGATGAACACATTCAAGACGCAGTTCAGCGCGGAGATCATACAGAAGCAGGAGGAGAAGATGGTGCGCTGGGAGGCGCATTTCCGGGACTTTGGACGCGGCATCGGTATGTTCCGCACCACGGACGTGATAAATCTAATTGTGGAGGGCATTCCGGACAAGCTGCGCCAGGAGATCTGGCTAATCTTCTCCGGGGCAATTCACGACAAGGAGATGAATCCCGGACTGTACGAGGATCTGGTGGAGAAGGCGGCCTGCATCAAGAATTGCTTTGCCCATGACGAAATCGATCGGGATCTGCCCCGTTCGCTGCCCGAACATCCTGCATTCCAGAGCACCGACGGCATCGGAGCTCTGCGACGAGTCCTGCAGGCCTATGCGCTGCGCAATCCGCAGGTGGGCTACTGCCAGGCCATGAACATTGTGTCGTCCGTGTTCCTGCTCTTCTGCGACGAGGAGAACGCCTTCTGGATGCTGGCCAGCCTGTGCGAGAATCTACTGCCCGATTACTACAAGGATAAGGTGGTGGGCGCCCAGATCGATCAGGGAGTGCTCAACGAACTGGTGGAAACGCATATGTCGGATTTGCACGGTCATTTAGAGCAGCTGGGAGTGATCAAGATGATCTCCATCTCGTGGTTCCTCACCATCTTCATGAGCGTCATCAGCTACGAGAGCTCTCTGCACATTTTGGACTGCTTCTTCTACGAGGGCGCCAAGATCATCTTCATGATCTCGCTGCAGATCATCGAGTGGAACAGGGACAAGCTGCTGCACTGCCAGGACGATGGCGAAGCCATGCTGGTGCTGCAGAACTATCTGGAGGGTATCTACAACCCGGAGTACCAGGTTCCTCCGACGACGGACAAACGGAAGCAGGAGCGCAAGGTCCAAACGCAAACGGTGCAGACTCTCATCCACGAGGCGTACACCAAGTTCGGCGAGGAGATCACCCAGCAGCGCATTGAGGAGCTGCGCAACAAGCATCGCCGGCTGACCATGCGACAGTTTGACATTGACAACGAGAAGACTATTGTAAAGGCCTACGTCCAGAATCCCTACTTCAGTCGCAGTGAGCTGCACATGCTGCTTACGATTATCCGCGAGGAGAAGCACGCCCTGAAGTCCCTGCAGCAGCAGCAGCAGAAGGCCCAGTGTCCACTGTCTGAGATGCCCCAGTTGGTGCCGCAGTCGCCGAACAGGGCGATCCAGGATGCGGGCGCCTCTGGCGGTAGATACGAGGCGTATAGTGTGAACTACGAGGTGTTCCACACACTTTTCACGGAGCTAACCCCTTGGCGGAAGTGCGTCAGCGTTGATATTGGCGAAAAGTTATTCAGGGTGAGTTATTTGGTTTGATTTGCCGTTCGAATTTGAATGAATCAGTAAGTTTTTGTCTCCCTTCTCCAGCTCACAGATAAAAAAGGCACTGGTTTTCTGGACTTTGGCCAGCTCATCAACGCCTTGGGCCTGGTGTGCTCCACCAAGAACATGGAGAAGCTGAAACTGCTGTTCGTACTGCACCTGCCGCCGCTTTTGTCCAAGGCGGAGATCGAGAGATCTCGTCGCCCGCGTCCACGGACCAAAGACGATGCCGAGGAGGCCTTCGAGGCGGAGGATTTCTTCGAGTGGGTGTTTAATTCGATTATTTAATCAACAAAAAATAACCCTTGTTATCTCTTTTGTAGCAACGATGCCTCTGAGTCGATGGAGGCGTTGCCCTCGCCCTCGGATCACAACTTTGATGCCGACGACTTTGCCCTGATCAGTGCCACCCAGCACCTGCACAACCTGGCCGGAATCTCGGGCAACACGTTCATGGACCTGTCGCGCACGCCCAATCTATCGCTGAACTCCAACACCTCGTCGTTGGCGCAGCGCAGCTCAACCTTTTACGTGGACCTGCCGGCAGCATCGGCACTCCAGGGTACAGCAACATGCACAGATGCTGGGCGGGACGAAGACGGTCTCCAGGGAGAGCTTCGCCAGCAGGGCCGTTACGAATCGATTGACACATTTTCGGATATTTCAGATCTGGGAGCGGTAGCGGTAGCAGAAGTGGGAGTGGGAGCATCCTTGGCCGATCGAAACGCCGATCAAATGCTTCTCAATGTCGAGACTATATCGAATTTCTCACAGATCAGCGACCTGGTTGCGGCCACGCGGCTCGAACGCGCCGACTCGAATGCCACGGACTCGCGGAGTCTCGGTAGCCTTGGCTATCTGCTCGATCAGCCCGATGAGGGCGCCTCCAGTTCGCAGCACAGCATTCCGCACATGCGCAAGGAGAATTTCCAGCTGCTGTGGCGCAGCATTGTCGAGATCATGGGTCTCGTTCAGGATGAAGAGATGCAAAGGGCTTGTAAGTGGAAGTTTTCAAATAGAGATAAACCTTTTTTTAAGCATTATTTTACTTATTTAGATGAGAATCTCCTGGAGCTGGGCAACAGCAACATAAAGAAGGAGCCCAGCCTGGAGAGTTTTACCCAGCTGAATATGGGAAGTGATGAGGTGGGTCCTAGTTTATATTTCAATAGGCTGTTGATAACCCTTACAGATTATCTTTTGCCAGCAACCGGATAGCAATGGCAATCCCACCACACCGGCAGCCGAACCCGTGGGCACCACCCGCCTGTTTGTGGCCCTCGAGGAGGAGCTGCGTCAGGCGAGCGGCAAGACCAGAACGACAACGACCAGCAGCGGCGACAGCAGCAGCAGTAGCACAAACATTTCCGAGTCCTGGCACATATCCATCAGCCAGTTCATCGCCACGGTTCTGACCGTCAACAGCATTGTCCGAGGTTTCCAGACGCCCATCCAAATAAGCGAACAGATCGAGCAGCTGCAGAAGAAGCGGCGCAAGTGTTTGTCCACCAATTACTGAATACCCTAAGTCCTAAGTCCCCTACCCATACCCAATCCTAGCCACAAAACTGTATTAGCCATATATATGATCCCCGATCCTTGTGCAATGCGGCAAGCTTTTAAACGTATCCATGTTTTATGTATGTATATTGTATTGCCTCTACCGTTAAGTTAAGACAATTGTTTGTGAATATAATTCTATTATTCCTATTATATATATCTATTCTGTTTGTATGCGATTATTCTCCCTCTATATAATTCTTGTCGTAGCACGCAAAATTGATATTTTTTGTGGAAATGAATGAAGGCTGAAGATTAAAGGACAAGATCACCACCCAACACAACCGACAAGGAGCAACACTTCCATCACCATCGAAGCCAAATGATTCGTTACATTAATAATTATATTCATTTCCTAAATTAATATATCTAAATAACGATGGATTCGGGTTTTTCGTACATCCTTTATGTACTTTTTGAAAGGATACTTCACAAAAGGATAAGTAATCGTGGGTATTTCAGAAGTTACTCAAATTATACATCATTTATGTACTTTTCCAAAGGATACTTTACAAAAGGATAAGTAATCGTGGGTACTTAACATCAATAATATAAAATATTTTGAGAAGCTATATAAGTCGTCCATCGGTTACTTATTATACTACTCTTCCATTGCAATCTGTTGCGAGTTTCTCCTGTTCGCCGCAGCATGTTGCCGCTCGTGCTCCGCCGTTCGCACCAGACACTCCTCGTATGTCCACTTGGGGAAGACTCGCTTGTACAGGTACATGAAGGCGGTGTCGTAGGATCGCAGCTGGCCATCAAAGTAGCACTTCATGTGGCCGTGCGTGCCCAGCGACTCCTTGATGTGTCCCATTCGGCCGCACTTGGTCCTTAGTTTCACCGGCTTGAAGTACTCCACGTCCTCCTTGTAGAAGAACATGTATCGGATCGAGGCCGACTTGCGATTGATCCGCATGGGATGGCCGCTGAGCACGACGCGCTTGAGCACGATGCGATCGGGATTGCAGGAGAGCAGGCGGCCGCGGGCCACCAGCGCCAGCGTGGAGTCGGGATTCACCTTAAAAGCGAGCACGGCGGCCGGAGGGAACTGAATGGGGGCGTAGAACGTGGCGCAGATGGTCTCGTACGGACGGAAAAAGCGTTCAAACTGGATAAAAAAACCATGTTAATATTGAGTCACTTAAAGATCACAAGGGCAATTCATAGTATGAATCATTAAATTTTTGTTTTATCATAGTATGCCATGAAATTTCTGATTTGTTTAATTCAATTCTATGTGAAATAAATTGAATTCTAATTCATTTCGAATTAAATTAATGAATGAATAATTTTTATGAATTTTTTGAATTTGCTAGATTTGTTTTGTGCTTTCTTTTGAGAACAAAAATTGGAAAATTTTTAACAAATCAATGTTAACTGCATAGTAAATAAAATTCAGGCAGATTTAATCACAAAATGATGGCCCTTTTTTCTTCTGAAGATATTGTTGTTTGAATTATTTCGGAATTTATGCCATTCATTCATTCAATTCTATTTAACTCAAAATTCAAATTGATTAAATTCTATTAAACTCAAAATGCTAATTAATTCATTCATATAAAACAAAAAATTCATTAAATCCATTCATGCAGGGCCCTGAAATTCATACCTTATGCTTATCCCCATTGGTGTGCTGGCTGTAAATGGGATTGACCACGAAGCGACGATAGCCGCACTGGATGATCAGCTGCTCCTTGGACTTCAGCGGCACCTCGGAGTCGGGCATTCGCTGCAGGACGACGTTCATGACGCACATCTGGTGCTCATGGGGCAGCATTCCGTAGACAATAATGTTATCCGTCAGCTGGGCGGACTTGAATGCGTTCCAACGGCTTTCGGGCACATTGATTACATGCAGAGTGACATAGAAACCGGGCTAAAAAATATTTAACAACTTTGTAAGAGAATTTCCATGGCTTAAATGGTGATTAACCCTTACCAGCACACCCTCAAACTCCTTGGCCTCGTTCAGAATCCTCCGCTTGGTGCGGTCAAAGTTCTGGAACTGATAGATGCGCGCATAGTCGGCGGGCAGATTCTCCTTGGCATCCCAGGGCGATGTCCTGAAGGACTCCAACCCGCGATATTTCTGGAACCGCTCGTGGGCGGGCACATCCCGTGGGGTGTCTATCTCATCGGGCCACAGCTCATCCGAGCGAGCCTCCTGGAGCTGCTTGAGGGTCTCGCGCTCCTCCTGGAAGTCAATCTGCTGATCGTACTTCTCGTCGTTGACGGCAGCCTCCGAGGCCACCGAAGCACTGTCCTGATATTCCTCCGTGTCCGAATCCCGCTTCTCGTACTCGTCCTCGAAGGATTTGTTGTCGCACGACATGAAGTCTTCTTCAGAATCCTCCTCATCATCGTCGTCGCTCATGTCATTGTCTTCTTGGCTCTCCGGCTGCTCCACCTCCTCAACGTCGGGAATCCAGGCGGCCTGGTAATCGCTATACCCTTTCGGCACCCGCTTCACCAGCTTCATCTTCTTGGTCTCCTGCTGCGAGGCGGCGATCTCCTCCTCGGTGGGCCACGTCTGCTCCGCGTCCATGGGATCGGGTATGTTCTCGCTCTGCAGCGAGGTGCGCTTGGCGGGATCACTGCGATCGAGCAGACGCACCTCCGCATTCTCGCCATCCCTAGATTTATCCAGTTTATACGGATCCGGTGGGGCGACCACCTGACTCAACTGAAAGTCACCCAAACCGGGAATGTGAACCAGGCCATTAACGTTCAGGGATTGTCCACGAAGGAAGCCGGTGACTTCCAGGGTGCCCAGATCGTCGCTGGGATCGGAGCTCGGCTTGAACTCCACCACATCGCCGAAGAGATGCGGCCGATTGGCCACGTTGTGCAGAATGCGCTTCTTCTGGCCGCCAATGCGTCGCATCACATTCAAACCCTCGCTGGCCGTGTCCAGCTGCATGATCTTCTCCTCGGGCAGCAGCTTCGAGATGATCTTCTGGGCCGCCTGCTTGCTGGCGGGCCGTCGCTTGGGATTGATGGACTCCAGATCCATCAAGGCCACCACAGGAGTGGGTATTCCCTGGGCGGACATCATGTTGAAGATGCGCTGACCCCAGCGATCGAAGATCTCGTCGTCGCCAAAGGCGGCCGAGGTCAGCAGCAACGTGGTGTCGCACACCTTGAGGTAATCCAGGGCCACCAGTTCGTTGCCACGACTCACGGGCGGGATGACAAAGGCGAAGCGCTGCTTGAATCGCGGCAGATTCATGTAAACAATGCCGCTGGGCGAGTTCTCCACCACCAGTTCGGAGTCGCAGCTCTGGAGGATGGCCAAAGCGGACCTCGGATCGATTTGCTCGTGCATGGGCAGCAGGCAGACGAGGAAGGGAGCGGTGTTCTGGCCGCCCAGTTTGCGCTTCTGTTCCAGAACCTCATCCCGTTTGTTCTTCCTGAGTTGGTTCATCTGGTTGCGACGCTGCTCCTTGCGCTGCTGCTGCTTCTGCTTGTGGGAGATGGCCTTCAGCCCGATCTTTCCTGCGGGCGGAACAGGAGGAGCATCATTAGATTTATCCCCTAATCCCTGCGAGATTCGCACTCACCCTTCTGCGCATTGTCGATGGCTCCCTTGGAGCGATGACGACCCGTCTTGTGGGCCTTGTTCGCTTGCTTCAGCGGCCCCGGTCGATGGAACGCATGATCCGCCATGATTGCAGGTGCTTAGTTCAAGAAAATCCAAATCCAATCAATTTGCGCTGTTTTGTTTTCCCAACCAACAAGAGCACATGTTCTAGTGAGTATGACCGTAGTGGAAAAATACTTTAAGTAACATTTTTCATTTTCAAATATACCGAAAATATTGCAAACGGACTAACGCCACATGTTTACTTTACTTCTTGGCGGGAAAATAGTTTATTTTTAAAAATGTAAATTAAAAAATGTTTAGGTAATATTAGGTTTTATTTATCAATTCATTTCGGCTAAAAGTATGAAATTACCAACTTAAAAACTGTTCCTAACTAGAGACTAGAGATAATGTTAACTAATATAATTTTCTAGATAATTAATTTTTTAATTAATTTATTTCATTTGCTCCAATTGTTTTGCATTGATGAACGTAAAAATCAAAGGATTTTAATTGAAATATATATCTGTGACACATCCGATATTGCTTGATAAGTAGTTTTTAAAAATAATTAAATTTAATAATAATTTGATAATTTTTGCGTTTTATGGGAAAGTATAAATGATTCGAGAAAAACACATTTTAATTTTATGTTGCTGTTTAATATAAAATTTAATTTTTGACAACTACAAATTTGTGTATTCTTTGCACTTAACTTGAATAAATATTTTGTGGTTTTTTATATTATGATTTCGGGTCTGTAGAATTGAAGAAACAATCTTTATACTAATTAGATTTTTATCTTCTTCCGAAGACAGCAAAAAATGATTTTGCCCTATACCTTATCTCTTAAACTTGTAAACCTAATATAAACTTAAAGTGGGACAAAAGTAAATTCATTGAACCGGCAACAAATGCGATCTAAATTCTAATCCTTGCGAAAGCCCGGTGGCAGGGTGACATCGAAAACGATGGGGGCATTGTTGGGTAGGTAATTGATGTCACAGGTTGAGGCGTTCACGAAGATGATCCTGCCGTCGCTGGTGATGCCATAGCCCTCGTGGACATGGCCGAATACATGGTACTTGGGGCGCACCCTCTGCTGAACTGTGCTGAGTAGCTCCACGCATCCGGCTCGCACGCCGGAACAGCAGAGATCCCCGTGACCCACGGGCGGCGTGTGGGTGACCAGGATATCGATGCCATCCGGTACCTGATTCCATTTCTCCAAGCAGGCTGGCCCCCGTGGCACATTGAAAGCCCAACGGCAGAATTCCGGCTGCCAGGGTGATCCGTAGATACGAATGCCCCAGATCTCCAGCAGCTCATCCTCCAGATAGCGACAATTGGTCAGGACACCGCGGACATTCTGCGTCTGTACGGCGCTCTCCAGATTCTCCTTGGCATTGCCCAAGGTGGGCAGATCATCCAGAATGGACATCCCGGTGTGCTTGCTGCTCGACGCATGATTCTTTTGAAAGGGATGCGTGAAGGTGCGATCGAAGCTCAGCTCATGATTGCCCGCAATCACGATCTTGTGGCGATGCGGCAGTGCCCCAATCCAGGTGTTGAACTCCTCCACCTCCTCCAGCTGGCCGCACTTGGTGAAATCGCCCGCATGGATGAATATATCCCCGTCGGGTATGTCGAACTTGATGTAGGGCGTCAGGGAGTGGGTGTCCGACATGCAGACCACTCGCGCCTTGTTGGGCGCCACCGTGGTCGTGGGTGGCTTCATCGTCACCTTGATCACCCGCTGCGTCTTGCTGATCTCCCGCCAGGCGGCCGTGGGATCCTGGCTCAGCGGATGTACTGGCACCTCCATTTCGAGAGTCCTGTAATTTAAAAAAGGTGAGTCGAATTTCTATAAATAGAACCAATAACAGAACTAGGTTTTTAAGATCTTATTTCATGAATTTTAATGCTTAAACTTGAACTGATCTTAAATTTATTAGGAAGTAGAAATATAAATAGGTTTTAAAGATCTTATTTCATGGATTATAATGCTTAAATCTTAAACTTTCTTGACTTTATAATTCATTCGATTATAATTATAAATTTATTAGGAAGTAGAAATATAACTAGGTTTTAAATATCTTATTTCATGAATTATAATGCTTGAATCTTAAACTGTTCTTAAATTTATTAGGAAGTAGAAATATAAATAGGTTTTAAAGATCTTATTTCATGAATTATAATGCTTAAATCTTAAACTTTCTTGACTTTATAATTCATTCGATTATAATTATTAATTTATTAGAAAGGAGAAATATAACTAGGTTTTAAAGATCTTATTTCATGAATTATAATGCTTCAATCTTAAACTTAAATCTTTATAATTTATTGATTATAATTATTAATTTATTAGGAAGTAGAAATATAACAAGGTTTTAAAGATCTTATTTCATGGATTTTAATGCTTAATCTTGAACTGTCTTGACTTTATAATTTATTCGATTAGAATTATTTATTTATTGTTAGAAATATAACATGGTTTTAAAGTCTTATTTCATTAATTATAATGCTTAAATCTTAAACTTTTTGACTTGATTCGCTTATATTTATTAATTTATTAATAAAGCATACTAGTAAATTGAAGAAGTTTATATTGATTTTTTAGTGAACAATAATATTTTTAAACAACATTTTAGCGGGAAATCAGTTCTCATAAGATAGTAAGACCTATAAAACGTGGCTATAAACGTTATCTGAATACGGTGGTTATAGGGAGGTTTAATTACTGGAAATTAATGGGCAAAAAAGATTTTAAATTAAGCAATGAAGTTGGAATTGTAGAATTAAGACTGCATTTCGAAAAATAAGAAAATAAACTGGGTTGTAAAACCGATATTATCTATTTAACTATGCAGAATTTCGAGAACTGGTAAATAAAACCTAAAAACATTGGTATCCCTTGCTATAAAGCGAATTAGAGTACCCTTTATTACGTTTTTTCTTAAAAATATACATAATTTAACAGATTTTTAGGTTTACTCACTGTTTTTATAAATATTCCTGGCGATTCTTAGCTTCTTTGCTTGTCGTCGGTTTCTGATTGTTTTTTCATTGTTGTGTAGGCCTTTAAGCACTCATTGCAATCGCCGGCGACATGGTCGAGCCCCGATTAGCACGCATTTATTTATGTTTAGTCAAGTATTGGCAGATAAATGCGATACTAATTTGATAATGGCAATCAAAATAGAAGAAAGTGCCTGTCGAGGAGTGACGTCATTGCCGGGGCGAACAGCTGATTGCCAATAACGTAACGTAAGCTTACGTAACGTAACAAAACGTAGCTGCCAACTGATTTTCTACGCCATAACGCGCTGCCAACTCGTCAAAACCTGGTCAAAACAAAAATCAGCTGCTTGTATATTTTTCTGCTTCTTCACTACGTGTAAATTTTCGTTAAACAATTTAAGCAAAAAACGGTCTAAAAAAACGCATAAATCAAATAGGAAAAAGTGATTTCACGGTGTGCAAGTGTACTTAAAGATAAGAACAGTGTTTTTTGGGTGTTTAAAGGCCAGAAAAGTGGTCACCTGGTGAAATTAACCTCTTGGCTAGCGAAAAAATGGCCGCAGCTGCCACTTTCGCAGACGCGTGTTGTTTTTAGCCATAAATTATAAATCAGGGACTGCAGGCGAATAAAATGGATCAATTGGAGCTGCAGGAGGATTTGTTTGCCTTGGAGGCAGCGGCTGCAGGTGAGTTTTTCGCGTTTTTAACTCCTTTTCTTTGTTTTTCAGCTGCATGGGAGGCTATTTTTGGGTTTTAAACAGCCTTCGGCTTTTTTTTTACTGGGCGCAGCTCTTGCACTTATTTTTTAAATGCTCTTATTGCCTATTGTTTACGCCCACTTATTGTCTGTTTCTGTGCGTTCGCGTGCGTGTGCATCTCACTGCATTTCGCTCACTCCTCCAACGCGCCTCATCTCCCCTCTCCCTCCCTTCCGCACACACCTTCAGATCTTTTGCATCTGTTTATCCGTTATCCGTTTGTTTGTTTGCTTTGTCTTCCTCATTTGCTAAGTGATGATTCACTTTGATTGCCGGCCATCTCTCTCTCTCGCACTCTCTCACTCACTCACACTTGCCCACCTAATCAAATCACATAATTTATGGTTTTGATTCACTGTACCGCTACAGTGGAGCAAATTGCCATTGAACAGGATGCGGTTTGTTTACTTGGGAAAACTCTAAAAGTTAAGAGCCCCAAGTGTTTATCCACATCTTCACAAAGAATCGCCGGTTTGTTTGGGTGTCTTTGAAAATATTTATCTCTCCTCCCGATTTAGATAAAAGTGGGAAAAGTTAAGAGATAGTTTATGAACTTTTGATCCAAATCAGAAGGTTTTGTCGCTAGGCAGTAATTAGTTATGAGACAACTTTTAAAGAAGGTATATTTGTAGAGACAGTCAGTTGCCAAGCAACCTTACTTTCAAATGTATTCACAAAGTTTGCGGTTTCCTATCCCTTAGATATTTTTAATAACCTGCTTAAATTAACTTAAAAAATTTCTATTAAAATGGAATCTGTTTTTCTTAAAAACTTTTTAATGTTCAGAAATATTTTACAAATAAGTTAGATTGCTTCTGATTTAATATTTTACAAATATTTGACTGTCATTTGAATAAAAAACATCTTTTATTCGTTGTGTTATTCTTTTTTTGTATTCCTATTAAATTTAATATATAAAATTTAAGAATATCTAATACAAACTTAGCTTGAACGATTGCTCTTACATAAACAATTGACTTATACCCACTGTTGACATAATGCAGTTTTACATCTCCTCCTTTGTCTTCTTTAATTTATTGACTCAACTTTTCTTTTTCTTTTGGCGCACAGCAATTTTTCATTATATTCTGTTGAGATTGATTTACCGCCATGTTGAGCCGGGACGCGAACCAATGGGCCCTATCTCAGCGTCCCCCCAGAAACACACCCCCCAAAACAAACCCACCCACTTATTTGTACGCTTTTCATTCACAATCCCAACAAAAAAGGCGGGAAAAAGAGTGCCAAATAAACCTTGATAATGACATTCAGCACTAGAGAAACAAAACAAACGTCTGGCGTCAATGGGTGGGATTGGATTTTTGCTGTGTTTCGGTTTTGGTTTTGTTTTATGTTTTTGTTTTTGTTTTTCGGGATGGGGATGGCGATGGCTTGCCACCACCACCTGGCAGTTATCCAACGGATTTTGTAGCGCAGTGTGGCAAAATTAGAAAATTCCGCCAGCCATCCAAAGTCAAATGTCGAGTCGTCGTTACCATCACCTGTGCGAAATTGCATAAGTTCGGGCTCCAAACGCTCGTACATCAGCCCATTTTCGTTTTCATTCTCAGTCACATTCTCATTTGTTTGCCCGCCGCCGCCGTCGTCGAAACACAAAGTACCAGGGGGCACTAAAAATAATACGAAAAATCTGCCGAGAAAAGTCTATAGAGCCTCCCACTTGAGGCCGAAAAAATCAAGTGCGTTCCCAAGTGTTTTTAGCGAGTGTAAAGTGCGTTCCGGTCGCGTGTTTACCTTCTCGAATCGCGTGCCAGTCCATCATTTGGTAGTACCAACCTACCAACTCCTAGTTATGCGGTGGGCGTGATGTAATTTGCAATAAAAGCAGTTAACTAATTCGCCAAACCAATATTGTACCGATGGAAAGTGCTTGAGATTGTGCTGCCCAAGTGCTAATTTCTCGTACATGCATTCGACAGTATGACTACAAAATCTGGACGCGTATATAATCAATTTAACTGTTTGTCGTTACAAAATGCCCCTCGGCTTTGTTTCTTATTTGCCCATTTGTTTGTTTATTTATTTACTGTGTTGGTGTAACCAATTCGCACCGAGTTTGTTTAGAAATTCGCCAAGGCAGTTGGGAATTTCATTTCAATAATGGAAAATACTTTGGGTCCGGCCAGGAACGGGAATTAAACACAGTTGAACTTCGGTGCCCCGAACTTTTATCCAGTCGATTTTATTGATCTTTGCTTAGAGAACTGTAATTTAGTTTTCAAAAATGTCTTCAAAATTCAAGAAGTGGTTTAACATTTTTTTGTAAAATCCAGTTATGTATAATTTTTTAAAAGTTTTTTAAATGCATATATTTTGATATCAAAATTGAGTTCAAAGGACTAATTTTTGTTTAATTTTTTTTTTAGAATTCAAATGGTATGGAAATGTGAAATGAAATATTTCCATTTATTAACATTTTTTATATCCAATTATAATTTACACAATTAATTTAAAAGTTTTTTAGTGCATACATTTTGATCTTATAATGTAATGAGAAAAAAAATTTTTTGTTTGATTTTTAATTTTATTTTAGAATTCAAATGGTATTTACTAATCTATTTATTGTTCGTATTAGGAATATAAAAATGTTTTTTTTATCCTACCAGAATAGAGAGTTCGATTGAAGAGGTTTGACTGTTAATTTAAACCCCTTCTTTTAATCCCTTCTGGCGAATCTGAAAGCACTTGCCTTGAATTGGATTTCCGTGGTTCCTAAGCCCGCGGAATTCGGGTTAAGGACGTCCTTTGAAGTGCTGCAGTTGTAGCTTAGCTCCAGCCTTGGCTTCTCTGCGGGATTTCCACGGCGAGGGCGGAAAGTTTTCCACTTAGCACTTCGCTGCGGGAAGGCGCTAGCCTGGTTCCCCCGCAAATTGAAGCTAACGCGACAGTTACTCACATATATAACCCCACTAGCCGTGCTAATCAGTTGGAATCTGCCGAGGAGAGAAGGCAAATACAAATGAGTAAACAAACAGATGGTCCTAATCATCGCTCATTTCCCGTACAACGCGGCGTATGAGTGTTGTTCTTGAAAGAGCTCAGCTGATTTTCATTTCGCCGCAACGGGGAATCAGCTGTTCCCTTCGCTCGGCTCTCTCGCAATTGTTAATCATAATTTTAAATAGACAATAATCGTTTGTTTTGATTTCGAGCTTCCAATTTGCGAGCGTGCGCGAGTTGCTCATTTTTTGTTGATTTTCGTTCGTTCTTTTTTTATTCTGCTGCCATTGACGTCGCTCGCTCTTTTATTTTTTTTTGTTTTTTTCTGTAGCTCGTCCGTTTTGTTTTTTCGATTCGTTTTTCGCCGCAGTCGAAATTCGTCCGCCGTTTGCCTCGCATTTTGCACTTTGCGGTCCGCTCGAAATATTTATTTTGGACTTAACGTGTGCTACTCTTCTATATATACCACTATATAAAATATATCCGTCTATATGCTCGGTTCTATCGGTCCCACAAATAATTCGATTCCAATGGCCAACGTAATTTGACATCAGCCAATAAATAAAGAAATAAAAAGGTGTACAAGTTTCGTTTTGGATTTCAAAACGCTGAGCTCATTATTTCTAGCTAATTAGCATAAAAATCGTAAAAGCTCCAAAGCGGCTGTTAAAATTATAAAACCTATAAAAAATATGGTTGTTCCATAGAAAATGAGTGCTCTACGATTATCAATAATCCCCTCGTAAAATTAAAGTGAAACAAACCTGAAAAGTGACCCAGTGACACAGTTCAAACCATCTTATCAGCAGCCCGTTTTTAATCGAATCTAATACAATCTCTCACCGTACAATAAACAATTGAAACTACAATTAATAAATATTATTCGTCGGCTGTTTGGAAGTACCAAATCACGTGCCTCTAATTGCAATACTTGTCCGCGTTAATTAGTGTTAAATACACTCGCTATCGCAATTGTTTTTCTAGTCGGGCAGAACAATTGTAAATCTGCCCGAATATCATTTTCCCAGCTGTGATTCCCTTACAAATATATGCTCCACTTTCATGTTATGGAATTTTCAATGGACTCCAAAAAAACTAAAAGGTTTGTTTTCCTTCTTTTTTTTACATTAGTTACGACTCGAAACTCAAGAACCTTTTTGCGTACTAAGAAAGCGATAAAAAAATAAAAAATAAATGGGGTGACAAAACATGTATCCAGGAAATGTTTGGTTTACAGACGATAAAAATAAAATGTGATAAACAATCCGAAGGTTTCGACTGTTTGTCGAAGTTCAAGTTTATGTGAATGGAACAAAAATGAAGAATATCGAAAGTTTACATGGTTTTGCTATATAGAGTTATCTTATCGGGGTGATTACGAAATTCTTATAATTTTCATTGTTTTCGCTGTCACTCGCTGGCAGATAATCGAAATGGGAACGGCAAGAAAATAAACTACATAAGGGTTCAAGGGCGCAAGTTGATGGATTAATGGTTTAGATAAGATACAAATTTGATAATCAATAACAAGTTGATTTATGATTCCCATTACTCAGCTACCGAATGTTAGATTCTTTAAAATGTATTATTTTCATTACTCAAAACAAAGGCATTCCTCTAAGATTTGTAGCTTTACATTTATCTTGAGTTTCCGCCAAATTCTGGGAATATTTTTCATTAATGCTGCAACGCCTATTTTTCGAATTATCATCGCTATACTTATCGCCTCTTTTTTTGTATTTGGGGGTCTTGCCAAAAATCTTTGTTTATTATTTTCAACCCATTTTTATTATTCAGCAATATTATTCTTATCTTTCACAATGTTTTTGAATTTAAGCGTGATTTCCTATCAATTAACCATAAATCAATTTGTTAAACCGTTTTTCATGCCTTTTTCTTTGGACGCTTTTCAAATTTTCAAATAAATAACAAGAGCATTCTTGGAAAGGGGAAAAACAACAAGTGAAAATGTATGGCATACTCAAAATGCTCAACAGCGACATAAAAAAGCACCTAAAAATATTTCCATGCGCCAAACTATAGATATATATCTTTTCCAACGAAATCGAATTTGTTAATAGAATAAAAGGGAATAGGTAAGGTATGATAGACGAGGGTCTGTATGGGGTTTTTGTTTTAGAATGTTAATAGGTAATATAATAAAGAAACTAGGTAAGGTAAGGTATGATAGACGAGATTCTATAAAGAGTGCAATATATTAAAAAAATCTTCCAATAATGGGTCACAATACTTTTTGATAAGAAGGTTTCATAACCGAACTACAAATTCCATCCTGGTCATTATTTAAATTCCAGAAAACGATGACTAATTGGTATCTCTGGGTCGAACCCCGACCTTCCTGCCCCTGTTGCAGTTTTTATTTAAAACTTTTTACGTTTTATTTTGGATTTGTGTTGGCCCAGTGCGATGGATCAATCGGTTGGCAGAGAGATATTTGTTCGGGTTCGTCGAACATCTTATAAGTGGCGTGGAATCGTGTTGTTCGCGCTTTTGTTGCTGTTGTTATATGACACATCCAGAGAGCTTTTATAAGGCGTACGTTCCGTTTGGAAAGGCGATTCGGGTGAGCGTGTTAATACGGTATTAATAATACGGACGCATATACCATATTGTAGGTACATATGTTTTCGCATTTCGTTTAAGATTTCGTTTCGAACTTTTTTAATTTTCTTCTTCACACACATGTGTTTAGTGAAATGACAAACATTTTCCAAGCCATTATTTATTCCGTCTCTGGTTGCACAAGTCATTTAGTTGCCTGGACTTCGGTGTCTTTGGGCAATTTCCTTGGAGCAGATTTCACGGCTTTCGCTACAAAGTTTTGGATTCAACCTTTGCTGTCCCCGTGAGCCTTCTAAATTGCCTTGTACTTCAACTATATCAATTATTCACGGAAAACGGCGACGGAAACCTTTACCCTGAACTTTAACAGACCTTCGGCCGGAGCTCAAACAGCTGACTGCGATGCATGACACACGGCATATCGTTTGGATTACGTTTGGTAGTGATATCTATTATTCACCGGCCACATACAATAGTACTTGACTTGGTCATAAAGGACACTGGCAATCGTGTCTTGGCCTATTGATTGAATTCGATTTTAAAGGAATTTCGGCCCTGGGGGATGTCCAGGAATAAGTCATGATAATTGATCTAAATAATAGATTGAGGTTTTGCCAGTTAGGCAGAAGGCGGGTAACCTTTGTTTTGGGTGTTTCTTATACATAAGCGACAGCTTACAATTCATTAAAAAATCGTAAGTTCGTCATACATCCATTTTTTAATTGCTAGCTTATCGGAAATAATGTTTATAAATATTGAAGTTATTTTTTGACGTCATCATGCACTTCCTATTTATGTTTCCCAACATTATTTTACTAGAAGAACCATTCCTGCCATAAATATTTCTGGGAAACTTATATTACGCACTTCAGTCAACTTTTTTTAGGTGGTATTTGATTTCTGTTCTTATCGTCGTACCGATAAACAGATATGGGGTGCCAGAAGGAAAACAAAATCATCAATTGTAATTATTATTTTGCATATTCTGCAGACTGCGTACGTTTTTGACAGATGGTTGATGCCATTCCATCCATCAGGCCATGTGGCAATAATAAGTTTACAGTTATTTCCAGGCAATTAAGATATAAAACCAACTTATTGAATGATAACCCGAAACGATACAGCCCCAAAGTCCAGAATTGGGCCCCATAAAGGGAGTTCGTTTCGGTTTCTCTTCCTAATTTGAGTTTTTGGGGCGTGTTTTCTTGCCACACCCCCACACTTGATGATGATTAAATTGTTGATGGTCGCTGATGATAATTTCTATTTACAGATTTCGCTTTATAGGCGTGTCCTAGAACCAAGGTTGGGTAAACAAATAAAACAAGAGATCACAAATCAAAAACTCATACAGTATATATCGCTTAAAGACAAATTTAGGAATGCCAAAACAATAAATAAATGTCATAGCATTTTTGATTTGAAACACACGTGCATATATTTTTAGTTTTCTTGATTCTCTAGCCAAGTTTTTAATTTTATCTTAGGAAGTGGAAAAAAAAAATAGGAATATTCATAATTTAAAAAAGAATTAAATGGAATATAAACAAAAAAAAAAAATTTTACTTTTTTTGTAACTGATGTTTACTGTAATTGATATTATTTATATACAAATGCCAGGTGTTGTTATGATTTTTAAACACACTCGTTTAGTGAATCATTTTTGGGACTCGTCCAGCTATCTGAACATGTAATTCCATACCTATAAATAACTGATAAGTGTAATCCGTTTAATCGTAAAACCGATAATGATAATGGTTTTTGTTCTTTTTTTAACCAGGCACAAATCAAAACCCAAATGAGCAGCACCTGAGCGATCCGGCTGGCTCGCCCTCCACCGCCAGTCCGAGCAACAGCAACACCGCAATTGCCGCAGCAGCAGCAGCAGCAGCAGCAGCAGCAGCAGCAGCAGCAACATCAGCAACTGCGGCGGGAGGAGGAGGAGCGGTGGTGACGCCAACAAAGAGCCCCCAGCGTAACGCTTTCCAGGAAGATGCTTATCAGGCAAACCTGGCTGGCGGCGATAGCGTCGATAACGTGGAATCGGCTCAATTGGACGGCAATCCGAGTGGTGGATCGCCCGGGCAGCGTCACTCGATAAACTCGGCGGAATACACATCCACGCCGAAGACCAGTCGGAATGGTCCGAGCAGCACCAACGCGAGTGGAACAACATCGCCAATTAATTACCAGCTGCCCGGCGATGACTATCCGTATGGCATAGAGTATGAGTCACAGCAACTGCAATATCAACAGCAGCAGCAGCAGCAGCAACAGCAACAGCAGCAACATTTGCCAGAGCAACTGCCGGCGATTAGCTACCAAAGTTTGCCGGCCAGTCGCCAGAGTTACGCTTCACCGCCGGCTCTGATTATTCCCCAGCGGCAGTCGCTGCTGCCGTGGGGAGCTCACTCGAGGAGCTCGATCATCAACGTCCTGCCCAGTTACACCCAGGCCGAGATGCATGCCTTGGCCGCCAGCGTGGCCAGCGTGGAGATATCCGCTCCACGGCCGGGTGAGATTGTGATGCGCAACCTTTTTAGTGACTTCACCGCCCAGGCTGAGAAGAAGATCGAGCTGGTGATGCTGGAGAGTGCCGATAAGAATCTCTCGAAGCTGCTGCAGCGCGGCGAGGATCAGCAATTCGATCAGTTACTATCGGCCTTGGGTTCCGTGGCCGAGCACTGCCTGCCCTCGTTGCTGCACACGCTGCTCGCCTGGCATCGTCGGCAGTTGTCCGACATGGAGATCAAAAACGACCTGAAGAAACCTGCGCCCAGTGGCAGTAATTCCCAGGCGGCGAGCAACAAACCCACAGTGGATTTGGATTTTCAGCTGCAGCGAAGGGAGGCGGCTGTGGAGTTTATTTTCTGCCTGGCTCTCATCGAGATACTCAAGCAGCTGCCCTATCATCCGGGTCACGAGGATCTGGTGCGCAGCATCGAGAACCTGGCCTTTAAGCACTTCAAGTACAAGGATGGACTGCAGAACAATCCGAATGCGCATAATATCCACATGATTGCCGATCTGTATGCAGAGGTCATTGGGGTATTGGCCCAAAGTCGCTTTGCATCGGTGCGCAAGAGGTTCATGAGTGAACTGAAGGAGCTGCGGGGCAAGGAGGTGTCGCCCACGACCACCCAGAGCATCATCAGTCTGCTGATGGGCATGAAGTTCTTCCGGGTCAAGATGGTGCCCATCGAGGAGTTCGAGGCCTCGTTTCAGTTCATGCACGAGTGCGGTCAGTACTTCTTGGAGGTGAAGGATAAGGATATCAAGCATGCTTTGGCAGGACTCTTTGTGGAGATCCTTGTTCCTGTGGCGGCGGTGAGTTAAGAGCATATATATCATTGAAAAATAATACTAATGTTTTACTTTTCAGGCCGTTAAGAACGAGGTGAATGTTCCCTGTGTGAAGAACTTTGTGGAGCTGCTCTATGTGCAGACTCTGGACGCCTCTACCAAGTCTAAGCATCGCTTGGCCCTCTTTCCGCTGGTCACCTGCCTGCTCTGCGTCTCGCAGAAGACCTTCTTCCTGACCAACTGGCACTACTTCCTGGCCATGTGCCTGAGTAACCTCAAGAATCGCGATGCCAAAATGAGTCGCGTGGCCCTGGAGTCGCTGTATCGACTGCTTTGGGTTTACATGATCCGCATCAAGTGCGAGTCTAACTCGGCCACGCACTCCCGTCTTCAGAGCATTGTGAACTCGCTGTTTCCCAAGTGAGTGGTAATCTATTTTATAAATACCAATTACTAATTTATTTTGTACCTTCCAGGGGCTCCAAGGGAGTTGTGCCACGCGACACGCCGCTAAATATCTTCGTCAAGATCATCCAGTTCATCGCCCAGGAGCGCCTAGACTTTGCCATGCGCGAGATCGTCTATGACCTGCTGTGCGTGGGTCGTTCCATCAAGCTGATCCTCAATCCGGAACGCATGAGCATCGGACTGCGAGCCTTCCTGGTCGTCGCCGACTCACTGCAGCAGAAGGCGGGTGAGCCGCCGATGCCCAGGACGGTTCCAGCCCTGCCCTCGGGCAACACACTGCGCGTGAAGAAGACGTACATCAACAAGATGCTAACGGATGACACAGCGAGGAGTATTGGCATGTCCACGTATTTCCCTCATGTGCGCAGGGTTTTTGTTGATATTTTGAGAGCCCTGGATGTTCACTACGGTCGGCCACTCATGATGACGAATACGCAGAACCAAAACAAGGAGCCCGATGAGATGCTGTCCGGTGAGAGAAAGCCGCGCATCGATCTCTTTCGAACGTGCGTGGCCGCCGTGCCGCGACTGATACCCGATACAATGACTGCCCATGAACTCGTGGATCTGCTGTCCCGACTGACGGTCCACATGGACGAGGAGCTGCGCATTCTAACCCACCAGTCGCTGACGACTTTGGTCATAGATTTTCCGGATTGGCGTCAGGATGTCGTGCACGGATACACTCAGTTTTTGGTGCGCGACGTCACCGACACCTATCCGCAGCTGCTGGAGAACTGCACGCGCATTCTGTTCAACTTTCTCAATATCTGGCGGTGCGCTATTAATGTGAATGGCAATAACACCACTATTCCGCCGAGTGGCGGGACAAATGTGGCTAGCACAGCACAGCCCAAAGTGGTCACAACTGCAACTGTGGTGCAGGCTACAGTGGCGCAGGCTGCAGCAGCTCCGGCCAAGGACACCGCCAGCAGTCAGTTGTCCAAGCAGCAGCATCTGAATACCGCCAGCAGTGCTGCCTCCAGCATCACCACCTCCAGCGGCATGTCGAGCATCACCCAGCACACTGTGCTGAATATGGCCAGTGATGTGGCCAAAAAGAATGAGATTCCACTGGCCACAACGCTTCATTTCGTCGAGGGCTTTGCCCTGGTGCTCCTCTGCAACTATCGTCCCTATTTGCGCAAGCTGGCCGCCATGATTCTCAAGGAGGTGAAGAATCTAATGCGGGCACTGGGCATACCGGAAACGGAGCCACCGCTCATCGATGTCATGGATCGCTGTGTGCCGGCCATCGTGGAGAAGTGCCTGCCCATGCTGCCGCAGACGGAGAAGACGGCTATTCTGAATGCCAATTGCATTGACCTGCAGTGGATAGCGGAAAGATCCAGTGGAGTGTGGCTGGCTGGGCTAACAGATGGTAGGAATTCCTTTTAAAACTATTTATTGTACAGAAAATAAATAAATTTTATTTTCCTTGCAGACAACTCAAAGTCCTCCACATCCACGCTCAATCTTTCACAGTCCAGTTCGACGGCAAATGCCTCGGCAACGGTGACGAGCTCCCCACAACCTCCGTTTGATCCCTGGGCCACTTGCTTGTTTGGATTGCTCGAAAGGCAGCGCATCTTGCAGCAGTGCCCCTCGGCAGTGGCACAGGCCTGGCCGATTTGTTTCACGCGCCTAAATGCGCTCTACAGTGTCATAGATCCCACGTAGGTGGAAAGTAGCTTAACCATTTCTAAATATAACAATCAATTACTTTGTACTACTGCAGCCCCGTGAGCGACAATCGAGCTTCGTTGCTCAGGAGTTCGGCGCCCACCAAGAAAGTGCCCACCGAGAGCCAAAAGGATTCGTACTTGCGTCTTTGGAGGAATCAGGTGGCATGTGCCATGCGATTGGTTCCCCAAATTCCCAGTGTAGCCGTTCGTTGTGCCTCGCCTGATTTGAGTTTGAGGTAAGTGAGGCAAGGGAAACACATAGCATTCGACAATCATTTTTACAGAGTCAAAAATAACAAAACTTTCAAATTGCATTCAAACTTGTTTATATTTCGATATAAATTGATGGTTTTGTTATTTTTCTCGGTGCATTTATTGATTCCTATTACTAACACCTCCCCAAAAACAAACAAGACACTTCATTACTTCTGTTTGACTAACATTTCGCATTCAATTTCATTTGGCACGAATTCGCATGCAGTGTTTATACATGTACTAAAATTGACCTGTGCTCTGTTATTAAGAGTGGGTGTACAAAATTTAAAAATCAAGTGTCAAAGTTCAAGCAGCCAAACAGATACAAACATATATGCATGTGTGTATATTTTCATATTTGAAAATGTGTTTTGTCCTACTCAATTTGCATTTTAATGGTCAATGCATATCAGCTTTAATATGTCATTATCTGTGATTGCTTCATCTGCGTTACTCATACGACACGTTGTGTGCTTAGCTGGATTGGTTTACATGCATGCACTCGATTGGATTTGCTAAAATCTCCAGTAAATTTATATAACATTTATGTAGAAGTTAATGTCGTATATCAGCCTGCATAAACACAAACAGTAGGGAACTTTTGTCAATATTTGTTCACATCATCCAAGCGCGATAGTAGTATGTTTATTATTTTAGTGAAGAGAGGTTAAAGAGTAGGGCTTAAATTAAAAGGGTGTTAGGAGTAAATCGGAAATGAAATGTTTTGAATGGCGGAATCAAACTGCATTTAAGCCTCTTGCGAATACAATATAAATAAATTAACAGACAATTTATTCATAATTGAAACTATAACCTGGTTTGTCTATTTAATACTTTGGAAACAATTTTGTGTAGGAATATAGATAAAGCATATTGCTAATTCCAAAAAGTATGTTGACTAAATATGCAAAATAAAATTAACAAAACTTCTTCTAATTTTATTAGTTTTTTGAGAGGTAAATCTAATGAAAATTTAACTTTTTAAGTGGACATGCCAGTTTATTGACACTACAAAAGTTATTATAAACGAAAATTCTTGGAAGTCAATAAATACAAATAGGACTTTATGATTGCTTTTTTGGAATTATATTTGGTTGAATATTATATTTATCTTGCTACCAGTTTTTCCACGTAGTAAATCATTGTTAATCCAGTTTCGGGCACCGTTCGTTGAAAATTTAACTAGATTTAAGTGAATTATATTGCGAAATATTGCAACCCACAACACACGACACACATGCAATGAAATCTACTCGAAACATTTCCATCAAATCAGTGTGTAAATGTTGGCCGACGGGAAATGTCAATAAAAATGGGGATTTCACAAAAAAATCCACATCGACTCCACCCCGCCACCTTTCACCCATGTGCCCGTGATGGGTAGAGTCCACGTCAACCTCCACACCGACAGAACATCCCATGGGAGCTGGGGATTGGCCAACTATTTGCCATGATGAAATCTCCGTGCAAATGCATACATTAAATATTGCTCACATAAATCGTAATCGAATCATCACAAGTCGTTCAAAAACCCACAAAAAATCCCGCTCTTTATCAATATCTATATATGGATTGTAATTTATAGTTTACAAGATCAGTCGGACTCGCGTTCGCTGTCCGATTCCCTGGACAATATACCATCCAATGTGTTTGGGCCCGAGGGAATCGTCACGCGCTTCACGCTGCCACTCTCCTATGGACGCAAAGAGGCGCGCCAAAAGCGACTTGGGTAAAGCAAATAAAACCAAAACCAAACAAAAGTTCCAGCAAAACAATAACTCGATTTACGTTATAATTTGTTGTACAAATACCCAAAAATATGTTCTGAATGCAACCTGAGTATATTTCTGTGTTTATTATATTTCTGTTGCCTGTCTGTGTTTTTTGTGTGTTAAGCTTTGGCATGTAATTATAAATGTTTTGAGTTAGTTGCAAAAGTTTTAATCCTTGCCTACCAATTTGCATTCTTGATTTTGAGAGAGTATCCTTTTTCACTGTGTTTCCTTTATTTATTTAGTTTCAAAGGGTATATTATTATAGCATAATTTTTTTCTTTATTATTTTTCATTTTATTAAAACAATTTTAAGTGCTAAACTGTAATTATAATTCTCCCATAAAACTCTATAAATCAAACATAGTAATTAATGCTTTTTCCACTCAAAGCATTTATGTATATAAATATTTGAATTTATTTCCTGCTGAATTTGAACTTATTTGACTTTGATTTCCTAAGATATTTTCCCATTTTCATTGACCAGATTTTTATTGAGTTAGTTGCTGCCGTTTAATTTGGCAAACAGTTGGCTCGCCTCCTTCTATCTTGTTTTCTGTGGAATACGATTCCGAAACGGTCAGTCCTCCTTGTTTGCAGTGTGCTGAAAATAATTTGAAGACAAGTTTGTTTATTTTTCATATAGCGCATGTCAGCCAGTTCCCCACAATGCCCAAAACCACCCGATTCCTCATTCCCGTGGCCCACAAAAACCCGCAAAAGCTTGATTTGGCTTCGTGTTCGCTTTTCAGCGGCAGAAAAAAATTTATATAAAATTGTTATTTGCTTGCTGTCATTTATTATTATTCGTTGCGACCGGCCCTCGCAAAGGGAAAGGGAAAATTCAGAGCGAACAAAAAAAATATGGGTTTTAATTGAAAGAAGATTTCGAATTTAAAATTCATAATGTTTATCGTTGTTGCACTGCAGAAAAAAGAAAAGGTGGGACCGTGACCCTGTATCCCTGTATGCTAAATAATGTCTGGAATTCGAGGCAGTCGAGTGAGCGAATTTTTACAGACCAGTTTAAATCGCAGTAAACTTTATGGACTTTCGCTAAATGATGACCTTGCCAAGCAAACACCCACAGAAAGCCAGAAAGCGACATTAACAGAAATTACTGCCCCGGAGCGCTCGCTGCTGTTTGACACTAAAATCCATGGCCGTAAATTTGTTTTACAGCTCATCGCCGGACTCCCTGAACGCCGATCGCAGTGACAAGTCGGCGATGGGCAGCGCCTCCCCGCACGCCCTCTACAAGCTGGTGGTCCCGCTGCTCCGGTGCGAGGTCGTCGATGTGCGAGATGCCGCCGTGAATGCTTTGGGCCTGATAAACCACGATGCGCTCAAGTAAGTCTCTAAGCTATTTCGAATTTGATGCATCCCCTCTGACCTGGTTGCGTGCGTTCTGGCAGGGATTTGATGGAGGAGCTGGTGGTCTACATACGCGAGGCGGTGGATCGCAAGCAGGAGAACATGCGCAGGAGGCGGAGACGGGATGCGCTGCGTCTGCAGGTGGTGCGAGTGCTGGAGAAGATTGCCGAGAACGGAACGTTTGGAGTGAGGTAAGACAGCTTTTGCCTATAATTTATTCAGTAGCCTTAATTGAACTGCAAGAAAAAATTTGACATGAAACGATGATCGATTTTACGTTATGTGGTATTAATTTTGACTTGATGTGCTCAAAATGTAATGTTTCTCCGCTATTTCGCTCTATTTCGAATTGAGAGGGTTTGTACTTTTCGTTCCCACTCACATAATTTAATTTGTCACATTGCTTCTTCCGCTCTTTTTTAAAGTCAGAGAATCTGCGAGAGACAAATTTACCATGCGCATATCGATTTGACCGCGACGTGTTATTTTTTTGTGTGTACCATATTTTGTTTATTATATGTGGATTTTCTCTAATGTTTCTAAATAAATAAATAAAAACTTTCCCTCATCCATTTGCAGCACCTGCGTGCTGGAACGCGACACGATGTCGCTGCATCCCACCTTCGTGGAGTACATCGAGGGCGCCGTGGCCTATCTAATGTCTGAGACGGACAAGGACAATCTGAGCATTCGGGAGGTGAAGGCGCACTTTTGCAATTTCATACGCAAGATGATTAAGAACTTCTCACGTAAGTCGTCGAAAGTCCTCCGAAGAGGAGCAGCTGTCATCGCCACAACTTTGGCGGCGCATCCATCTGCTACGACTGATTGCCTGTTCATTTCTCTCAGTCGAATCCTGTGCCACGCTGCTGTCTCGGGTCCTCAAGCGTAATCTGTTCAATTTGTTTGCCGCATGGTGCGGCAGCTTCTCTAAGCCCCTAGGCATCACCGTGCAGATTGGCCAGACCCTCGAGGAGGAGAAGCTGCAGTTCAGCGCCCTGCAGGCAAGTAGAAAAGCCGCCATAGGATTCTGTCTTATCCCAGTTTTTTGCACTAAGAAAAGCTTTCCATATTGGATCGTCTATTTATAATATTTTTAAACTGCCTTGGACTAACCTATAGATTTATTGGAATTATTTTAGATTTTTTACTTAAATTTAGTTATTAAAAAAAAAATACATTATAAATTTAACATAATTTAACTAATTTTTAAATCCAACATCTAACTTATTTTTCTCCGTCTATTCTTGTTCCCTCTTTAGGCCATGTCCGCCCTGCTGTGCTGCGGTCACATCTTCTATGCACCTCATCTGCAAGACGAAGGCATCATATACAAGTGGCTGGATCTGCTGCTGACCTCCAAGGACGAAAAGGTAAAGCACCACCACCCACTTGTCCCTCCTCTTGAACCGCAATTTAAAGGCTAAACTCATTCTCACAGATTTACCAACTGGCCCGGGATACGGTGGTGCTTCTGCTGGAATCGAATCCGGATATGGGACAACTTCTGGAGTGGGTCATAGATCGGTGCTATACGTCGACTCCTCGCGAGGCAGACGCCTGTTTCCTGGCCCTGGCCTCGATCTTCAGCGCCAAGTGAGTGAAAGGAAATGACACTTTAAGCATGAACATGGGTGACGCAGCCTCATATGTAATCGCCTTACGTTCTTGTTCCCTTTTAATTTGTTTCGACAGTCGGGCACTTTATACTCCACTTGCGGCCGTAATCGCTTGGCCCTTATATCCAGGTGGGGATATGGTGGGATAAAGGTCGTGAGTCCCGCTTAAAACCGGTGCTCTTAAGTAGCATTTCACGTGTCTGCCAACAATGGGTTCTCTTTAAATTTACGTACACACACACGAGTGGCAGACAGCCTATTTGTTCAGGCCAAGCACGTTTTTTATTTCCTGTTCCTTTTCCTTTTTTTTGTTGGCCATAATGGCAGCGAACGGCGGCGTTTTCCGTATATATTGCTAGATAAACAGTAGGAGACATGAAGCATAGCATGCATGGCTCATTGCATTTAATGCAATTGTAAACGGGAGACCAATGTTTTACAGGCGATTTCATTTTCAGGTGTGAAAAGAACGGATTTTCTACTGAATGTAATAGCTATTAGCTAATTACTAAAAATGTTTTACAATTTTAATTAATTTCGCGTTATTTGATATTTCTGTTCAACCATCATCGGTAATAATATATTTAAGTGCCAGTTCTAATGGAAAATAATTACCTATGCTAAAACTCAAACCGTCTGTCTCACCGCAGTTTAAGCTTTCCATTTGTCATTTGTCGACATTTGTCGATGTCGTAGGTATTTTAGCCAGGAGCTATAGTTACGAGAGCCCACTAGTTTGCGGTTCATCTTCAGGGGAGTATGTGATTTTGTGGTTTTTCCAAAAACCGAAAATCAAAGACATAATAGAAGCCTCCCAACCACTTGAGACGACCAATTTCTTTGTCGGCTGGACAGCGTCTTAGAGCAGTGCGTTTCTAATGGTTATGGGTTTTTGATACCCTGTAATTGTAGATTTTCATTTAATAATGTGATACCTTTCCAGCGTAGAACTTTGTTTGATTTTTAAAAGGATTTCCTAACATTATTACATTTATTAAAATAATATATAAATAGATATTTGTTATCTAAAATATCGATATATCAATCTAGGATATTTTCGATATAATATTGAGCTCGATATTTTTGGGCAATATATCATATATCTTTATATTCATCTCTGAGTATGTTTATGTTGTTCATTGTACAGAAAACTGATACTACTGAGTATCTTATAGTCGAGTCATGAGACCACAGACATCCCCTTTGCTTTTTTCTAGTGTGACCCAACCACATCTGCTGCATCTGTGCAGCGCGTGGCATTCCGAACTTTATTTTCCGCTTCTCCGGTTTTTTTGTGTCAGGTGGCGTTGGCATGCTGTTGGCACATCGAAGCGAATACCATTTTAATTTTAATGGGCAGCGTGATAAATTCTTTAAATTGCTGACCCGGTTTAAAGGCGCCGACCAGAGCGAAGGAGCTGGCAAAGCAACTTGGCCCGAAAATTGATTGATTGTATCTAAACTGTTTTGGGTCTCGGTTGCTTATCGCAGGCAATTTGCGCCCGGGAATTCGCATTATTTGAATAGCCAGCCATTTGTCCTTGAACTTTGATCTTTACGACCATACAAAGGCTCTAAATTATACACATAAGTTCTGCTTTCCACTTTCTGTATTCTTTCAAACCCCATCTAGAAGATGAGGAAAAAAGAAAAACCACTGCATACTTTGTAGCGCCGAAGACTTGTGTTTGCGGTGATGCAAAGCGAAAATCGATTTGCGTAACTTATTCAATTCAATGCAAGCGTTGGGTAAAGTGGGTGGCTGGTCTTGTCCGAAAGTGCCAACCCCCCAACCCCCAACCCCCCGAAGCGGGGGTAAAAATGCATGTGTGCAAACAAGGAGCTGAAAGTGGGCTACGACATTTTAATGGATCTGTCGGGCTTTGGATGGGGTGATGGCTTTTCTGGTTACCTGGCAGTGCAGGTGGAGCAGCAACTGTTGATTCTTGGCATGTGCTGTTTGCTGATGTGTTGAACAATTCCGGCATTATTTTGAACACAGAACCGCAGAACCACAAGCCAACAACCTCATTAGGTTACTTTGTATACTTTTAACTTTTCTTTTAAGGACCTGGTTTTCCTTCCACCTTTTTAATTACAGGGAATACCCGTGCGACCATTACACATCCGTGATAACCGTGACCCTCCTGATGACGGGCTGTCCTCGAGTGGAAGTGCATGCGACGGCGCTGCAATTGCTGCAAATCCTGGACAAGCGATTCTTTGGCAGCGTGGTGGGCACTCTGCACAGCGACAACGAGAAAGGTATGAGTTTTCCTCCCTACTGACTCGCGAACTAACGCAGGGTGATGGCAATAAAGTGAAAATTAAGTGACAAGGAGAACTCTTTAGTGGAACTGGGGAATCTCCAGGCGGCTATTGATTTCCATAATGTTGCAGTGTCTCTTACCAGTTTTGCAATATTATGCCCCTGTAAAAGATTCTACTTTCTGGGAAACGATTATTTTCGATTGAATTCTGAAAAATATCGATAAAATCGATTTGAAATCAAAAACAAAAAAATTTAAAAAAAGTAATAGGATTTAAAAAGTGAAGAGAAAGCAAGAAATATAGATTTCAAATTAAGATTTATAATTCATTCTTAATTTGAGTTATATCACTTTAAAATAATATTTCCTTCATTAAGGATGCATCGATTCCCATAAAAAAAAATCGATGTAATCGATTTTTAAATCGAATTGTTGACAATTGACAATTGTCGATTTTAAAATCGAATTGTTGACAATTTTACATTTAATGTTTTCAAGTACTTTTCCATTATTTATTTGTTAGTGTTTATTATTCCCTTTAGAAAATCTTGAGTTAAATGATGAGATCATAAATGTCTACATTTTGATCTAAGCAATTTACGGATTACGGGCTAACCGCAATGCACAAGCATTAAATAATGAAACCTCTTTGAGGGAAAATGTAGCTGAAATTAAATCAGCTCTCCGCACTTCCTAATCCCCATTGTTCTTGCAATCCGTCAGAGGCTGAGCTACTTATAAAAGGGCGAAAACAAGCTCACATGACATTGACACCCCCCGTAAAAATACTTACTTCACCTTTCACCTTACCATTTTCATTCGGTAAAATTTCCCAATGCGGCAAGTGTTGTTTATTCTCCTTGTTTGCTGGTGCTTAAATTTTTGCATTTTAATTTCATATACCTACCGTGATGTTATTGTTATTTTTATACCTTGGGTGTGGCTGTAGAATTTTTATTGCATTACATAAGAAGCTTTAACAAGCTTTGTATGCGAAAATCGTTCGCATATTCGATGTTTTCCCATTAAGCCGAAGTTTGTTTACATGTAACGTTTGAACGAGCTAAGAAATTTCCCTTTTCTGAGTGTCTTTTTAATTCCCCAGAGCTTACGGCTAATCCTCAAAGGTATTTGTCTACAAGATTGAACCTTCAAAATTGTTTTCTACTTCTTAGAAGGCCCTTGCTCTACTATTTTCGTAATTAGAACAATTTCAGTGCTTGCACTTGAACTTTTTCATCGGCCTTTGTAAGGTTAGTCGACCCTGCTCGATGGGAAGCTGTTTACCCATCTTTTCACCTTTTTTCTGCCTTTACACTAAGCTGATGAAGTTTTTTGTTGCCCTTTGCCGAGAGGATGCTGCAATACAAGCTTAGTCCTGTAAAGTTAAAAAGATAATAATAAATCCCCGACATTGGGTCAGCAGTTCCGGATGAGTTTGGGATTCAGCCGTATAATTTGGCAAAAAAAATACTGTTTAAAGTTGGTTGATTGGAAAATGATTTAAATGCTTGCTGTGGCGAACTGGCGAATCCAATCAAAACACTCTCTCTTCGGCTTTTCATTTAACGAAATTAACATTTATTACATGTATACATTTTCGCGTCGGCTGGTTAGACAGCAATATATTTTTATTAATTTAATCTGTTTGGGGTTTACGTTTGACGTTTTCAAATTGTGTTTCTGTGGTTCGGTTTCAATTAAGTTAGCGTGCGGATTTGAATTGGATTGGTTTCTATTTAACTGCCTTCTAAATATGCGTACAGTTTCGGAAGCAAAAGAAAATTTAATTATTTTATTTCTACCATGGTTAGTTAAACACTTATATAAATGTAATTCGGTGTATACAATACAATCTTAATTTTGATTTTTCCTTTTCATTCCATTTTGCTTGGCCTTTACATCACAAACAAATACTTCGCTTTTGTTTTTCGTTTCTCGTTTCGATTCTCCTCTTACATTTATGTTTGCTGAAATCTAATTAAAAACGAAATTCCTGCTTATCCCGCGGCGTATTTCGCAATCTCCCATTTTTCCTTGGCCTTTGGAGCCGCTAAGTTTATTATTACTCTGTAAGCTCTGCAGTTCACTTGAGTGGATGCAACTCGTGCATTTCGTTCCAACAATGCTGCGTCATCATCCGACGGCGGGTGGATGTGCCGGTATTACGACAATATTCAGAAACTGAAAAGAAAAAAACCAAACAGCGCGGTTAACATGCGAAAAGGTTGTAAATTTGAACAATTATGTTTGCATCCACGTGTACTTATGTATGTTAATTTATTTTCATTCTCTGGCATTCGAATTGCCATAGCGAAAGTTCTTGAAGTTGATTTCTATATGGAGTGTAAATGGCAAGGTTAAGTAATGAAACATAATTACGAATTGCAAGGGAATAGTTTGGGTTTCAACTGGTTCCTCCACGCCATAAAAATAACTACAGTTAAAAGGAATTTAAGTTAAATTTTTTCGGATTTTTATATTGTATCTAAAAAAATTGACTACCGGAATTAAAGGCTTAAGATCCAAAAGCCCCAATGCTTTTTTGGGATTATGTGGCATAAAAACAGCATTCCAAAGCCTAAAATAAATGGTCGACATTTCATATGATATATGTTTTTTTTTGTATCAAGGCAAATCGTCAATTAATTGTTATACTAAATCCTTATTTACTCATGTTTTTTGTGTGTCATTTGGCGACATTTTTCTATCCCTTTTTTTCACCTGAAAATAACAAAGCCGCGATTTATGTGATGTCAGTCGTATCGAAATCCCAGCAGGGCGCACAAAAGTAGACTATAAATTCGGTACTTTGGGGTTTTCAATGGCTGCTCAGATGGCTTTCGGGCTTATTTGGGGGCCAATTTATTGGCCAGTCGATAGAGCGAAATGTCAGGATTCAAATACCGAACAAATCGGATTTAAACCCCCTGAAAACCAACCGAGTCGTAAGCATTCAGTGGGTTTTTGTTAGCTAATTTAACAAAGAACAGCGCAGAAGCATATTCATTTCGTTTGGTCTCGTCTTTATTTTCTGCCGACATATTGTGTTTCATGGCAATCTGAGCTAATCAATCATCCGTGTTCAAAAAAGCATACAAAGCTGGAAAAAAGTGCCAATAAATTCGGGCCAGCGGCATTTTTCAATGAACACAATGTTTGTCTGTCTTGTTTGCATTTGTTCCTTTATGATCTTTGCGCTCGGCAATTATGGCTATCCTTCAAAGGCGATTGTATTTTCGGGACGCATTGAAATTCACCTCAAATTAAACTTTTATTCATCCGCCTGCCGTGCGACACACTTTGTTTCCTTTTAATTATTTTAAATGTCTTTCCGGCAAGTCAACAAAGAAGATGTATAAATAGCATTTTGCCACTTCAGCTCCTTGAGAAGGATTCCATCCCCCTATGGATTTGCCTCAAAATTTTTGTTGATTGCCATGTGTGGATATTTGTGGCCTGGAAAGATTAATGATGACGTTCTTCGACTGTCCTTGAACCATGCCTGATGCTTCCTTGGCTTTTGTGCGAGTCGCTTTCTTTATTCCTCTTCCAGTAAGTTATTAAATAAATTATACAGTCAGCCACAAAAGAACAGAGACTACCCGCGTCATCTTTCCACCGCCACTTTCAAACGGAAGCCATCGAAATCCTAAGTGAATTGTTCAGTTGAGTTGTTTTGTGAATGAATAGACAGAGCGTCGAAAATTTGTAAGAATGCTTAAATTTTGGGGGTCTTCAAGTGTATAAGGTTGCTGCATTGGGCCATCCACTTGATATTCTGACCTAGCACAATCATTTCCTGGTCAAACTTAAGCTTCTTGTGAGATAAATCATTATAAATGAGTCCCAGTTAACACAGTGCAGCAGTGAGAGGTCACGAACAGATGATAGTCGTTAGTTTTTCTAGCTTAAGATGTTTGGAAAAAGTACTCTGAAATACGTCTTAACCATAAAGAAGTTAAGATGCTTAAGTTGTTATAACAGAATCATGGTATTAAAAGCGGAAACTTCCTCTAAAATTCATAAGTTCATTCACGCACTTTATAGGCAAGCAAGTAAAGTCATTGGAAAATATTAAAAATAATAAGTTAATTTGCTAAAGTTGATATAACAGAATTATGATATTGAAAGCAGAACCTTTCTTTAAAATTCATAAATTCATTCACACACTTTATAAGCAAACTTCTAATCCAAATCACTTTAAATCCAAGTAAAGTCAATGCAGCATTTCTAGTTTCTTTTCTAAGCTTGAATAAAGGACAGCGAATGGCCTGTTTTTTCCAGAGCAAAGCACTGATTGACTCGCCCAGGAAAATTCCGGAGGGCATAGGTTTTGGCCCTTACCACGAGGCATCCTGGATGGCTTGGTAATTTATGGCCAATAAGCAACACCGTAATGAGGCAGCGGGCGGATCCCGAGAGGCGCGCCAATTGCCAATGCATTCAGCGCACGTACCACATTGCGTATGAGTAATGCTGCGCGAAAAAAAAGGAAAATGTATTTGCGAAACTGAACCTTCGCACTTGCCGCAGGCCGTGATTAGGCGGGATTGGCTGGATTGGCTGGGCAACCGATGTGCGAACGCAACGCTTTTCTCATTAACTGCCGGTGTTTGATTTTCGGATTATCCAGACCGATTTTCGAGTTCAATAAAGGCATTTTTAGCATGGAAATTGGATTGACGGATTAATTAGTGTGAAATGTGGAAATTTTCGAACTTCACTCGATTTGAATTGAATACGAATTAAAGAATCGATAGATAATTTATTTACTACGTTTATTATGGACTTATAAAATAAAAGACAAGGAAATTTGAAATTCAAGTCGGAATAACTTAGAATTCCTATCAATGAAACGATTTAACTTTTAAAGACATTTAAGGTGTCTGCTTCAGGCTAATATTCATGAGAGACAGCGATAAATAAGAAAGCGTAATGTAAGCATTTTAAAATCTCTTCCGTTCCTGACAGTGTTAAATGTAATTGCAATTGTTGCTAAAGTGAAAATCTTTCCCTTCCTGTTTTCCCTTCCAGGCATGCAAACAAAACAAGGACACCTCTTGTATTTGCATGGTGTCAATATTTGCATGGAGCACACTCCTTCATCCCGTTTGATCCTCTGTCGCTCGCAGCCTCTACCGTAGAATCCTTGCCGTCAGCTGAAGCTTTCGTTTCGTTTTTCCTTTCACTCTCCCCAGTTTTCCCTTTTCATTTTCATTTCCATTTGAATTGTAGCGTAACCCCGGGTTTTGTTCTTGGGCGCGTTGACAGGATTTGTGTGGCGCAATTGCTGAAACTGGCTTGAATTTTCCGGTTGCTCTATTCGCCGCTTTTAACGAATTGGCAAACACTTTTAATTAAGAAGTGGAAAACCATACTGTAAAATAAATATGCTCCCTGACATTTTTATGGCTTCCAATATGCCACCAGAGGTTCGAAGAAAAATGCCTGTTCAAAAATGCTCTTGGCTTTAGTAAGAAATTAAAAATTGATGTGCCCCAAAGGTAAGCCGGAAAATCGTAAAACTAAATTTTACGGCAGGTGAATGATGGTTGAGTGAAAAGGGGGAGGGAAAATCCCGTTGTCTGCTTAGGGACCGAGTAGAAAAGCCAACTTAAGCCATAAAAGAATGAATTTAAATTTATATTGAATCCATATTAAGCCACAAAACTATACTTCCTTTTCAGGTAGAGTTTTCAACATGTAACATAATACATTTTTTAAACTAATATTCATGAATAATTTCTAAACAACATTGATTTGGTTAAATTGAAGCCATGGACTGAATTACATTTATTGCCGAAAGGCTTTAAGTTTGTTAGCCTGAAGGCATTTCATTCAGCTTTCGTTGAACGCTTGAAAAAGTTCCAAGAAAACCCAGGAGCGTAATGGAAAATCATTTAGCACTCGATTAGCATTTGCCCCAGTTTACTCTCTTGTCTACCAAATTGCATGCTTCAATTGCTCTGGCTTCGCATTCAAAACCAAACTGAGCAATTCAATTACGATTTGCATTCATGACTTAAAGACCTGGTTAATCGCCTAAAGATTGAAATTGACCCAGGGAAGTCAAGTTCTTCAAACTGAATAATTTCTTAAAATTAAAGAAAATATATCTTAAGAGCTATTTTTTTCCTGTGCACTTAATAAACCTTTTTCATTCCCGATTAACGCTTACATCCGGCTTCTTTCGGCCCTCCGAATTTCCCGCTTTCCCTGCTGCTGCTTTTCCCCGGTGACATTGCTAACCGCTTTTCATTAACAGAAAGCACGACGTCAGATGCTGATTTGTTTGCCTCCACTGTCAGAGCGTTTATAGGAAAAGTTTTCCCCGACTCTGCAGCAGCAACAGCAACAAAACAACAATTAGTGCTACGGCTTTTGGCAGAGGAAAAATGCAGTGCCTGCTGGGATTTAATTCCAGAGAAGAAACTTGAGTGGTCACTTTAATCCGAAAGAATCTCTGCTATAGACATCTGTTTGTGCCGGGTTGAGCAGAGTTTATCCGGGTTTTTGTCCAGCTTGAAGAGTCAGCCGACCGACTGGAGCGTTGAAAATGTTTAATATGCATAGCTGGATGTCAAAGCTTCTCTAATCAGCAAGGCGTCCAATTTAACTGGGGGTCCCTTGTAATAATCAACAAAAATATTTTAGATTTTTTGATATCAGCTAGAGCTTGAAAATTGTCGATATTTTGTCAATATCGATTTTTCCTTTAAGTTCTATTATGATAATAGTATTATCAGCCCATTCAATTGAGTATTTTAAGACGAGCAACTAAAAACTAAAAAGAAGGCACCAAATTTAAATAGAACCGCGCTGCGTAATTTCTTCCAAGTGCAGATGTCAAGTGCAGTCATAGAAACCGCAGCCCTGTTGGCATTTTGTACTAGCTTTGGCCAGCTTTAAATTTTCTCTCAAGTTTAGTTAAGACCAGTAAAGTTCCGAGTTTTGGCTGCCAGGAGCCACTGAAGTTGCAAAAGTTTTACTCTCAACCCAAGGAAATGTTCTGCCTTTTGTGTTATCGAAATAAATATTTGAAAAAAGTATTTGCATTTGAAATTTAAAAGCTTCTTGAGCAAATTGTGTTTTGTGCCATGTGAAAGTAAGTCTTTTGGTTATGTACCATAAGAGTTTTTGGTAAACCATTTATTTATACATATAATATTTTAATCTCAGTTAAGTCGGAAATAATTGGACATAATCCATTTAAAATGTCTAGATGCAGATTTAGATGTATATTCATAAAAACCAACTAGTCTTTGATATTTCCAAATATTAAATGGACTTCTTGAGATTAAATTATTTCGAAAACCAGCCATGCAGACAGTTTATGGTTATTAAATGTATCAAGACATCTTTTCCAAGACAACAAATTAAATTTTCAAGCTTTTTGAGCACATAAAATCGCATTTGTCATATGAAATTTCCACATGCTGCTTTGAATGCATTATGTGCCCTTATTATTGGAGAAAAATCCCCTCCCCCACTCACCTGTCACTTGGGTGTTTCCTGCCTCCCGTTGGGCGGATGAAACCCTCCTGAAGATGCTCAATACGGCTTTGCTGTGAATTCGGAAGAAAATGAACGAGAATGGAAAGAATAAAATGTATTTAAACAGTCCCATAAACATGCGTTATTGGGGTAATTTGTGCCGGATTACTTACCGGAAATTCTGTCCGCTGACGCAGTAAAGCACGAAATTGATGCCGAAATTTGTGATGAAGAAAGCGTGAAAAATATATTGAAGGGCAATTGTTGAATTCTCGTTTCTGGCCGATTCCGTCTGTGGATGAGTGAATAACAAAAAAGGAAGGAGGCGGCATTAATAAGAATTTCGTCTGCCAATTAGGAAGCTGCACGTTGTCGTGGCAACAGCTCTCGGCATTAACAGCTTGCCTTGGGCCTTTGAGCTCCTAATATGGATATCGATACTATTAATGCGAAATTTTACATAACTCACTAATGGCTAAATAATTTCTGGAACAAGACACCTCTCCCTTTCGCCCCAGAAACCCATGTGTAATGGGCACGTGCCGCCCTTGTTGACCTGTTGATCTTCGAGGAAAAGGCCGAATAATAATTCAGCTCTTGTCCGTCATCCGTCGTCCTTCCTTTTCCACTCAATTAATTTTGTGTCGCAATGGAAATTTGATTTTTAAATTGACATGTGAACTTGGGTGTAAAAATCAATTTCTATATATCCATTTATGAAAATCATGATGGGTTTTTGCAATAATCTAAAAATTTGTATTAAAATGTGCCTCTTGATGTTTTATAGGGCATTTTTAAGTCCTCACTTTTTGTTCTCTGTTTCTATAAAATCTATTCATTTATATGGCAGCTTTAACGATTCGTTTTGCACACAAAAAATTATGTCACAATGTTGACAGCTGAAGGCATGTATTAAATTCTGTGTAATTTAGAATACCCCTATTTCGCAGAATTTTCAGAAACCCAACTTGTAAAAATAAAAGAGTAATTACCATGAAAATGTTTGTGGACAAAGGCAAATTTAATTAACTTGTATACACACGATGCATTACACAGGTGTATTTTCAAAGGAAAACCATCATTTTCAATTTTAAAAAATGATGTCATTATCAGTTTCAGCTTAATTAACTGGCATTGAATGTAATTTGAATAGGAATATCATTTTTATAGTTTCCCTTTGTTGGAAATGCTAAAAATATACAACTCATGCTATTTTGCGATAATCATTTTATGATTACCCTTGCAGTTGACACCTGGCCCATTTATTGTAACAAGAAACTGATTTTATTTTTACGATTTAGCACCAAAGTGCACAAACTAATTAAAGCCTAATTAACACCTATGTGTCTTTCACCACGGCAACCGGTCTGTGCTCACTTGGCGAGGATATTAAAATGTTTTGCCCTTTGATGTATGTATGTATGTGCGATGTACTACATGTAAGCGAGCGGGAAGTCGAAGGATTTCAACTGGGGAGCAGGAGGTGGCCCCCAAGAGCCGAAGCATCCGAAATAGTTTATGTTGTCATGACAACTTTACGACTGTTGTCCTGCCCAGTTCAGATATGAGCAGGATCAGGAATTGAAACGAGTTTCAACGCCATCTCCCGCATTTGTGGGCAGATAATTAGTAACGGACAGCTGACGGTCGAAGTTATAAGACTACTTATTCCGCATTGTTTTGGGCAGGCATCAAAGAAGTATGCACTGTAAAAAAAATATTTGAACACTTTGCAATGCAAAAAAAAAACAGGAAGATGGTTAAATGTGAAAGAGATCTATCGATCTATGCATTATATCTCATAACATATTAATGAATGGTCCGATTTAAAATTTTTTTTTACATTTCGACAAGTATTATTAAAAATGAATAATAATATATTTAAAATCCGTTCAAAGTTGAATCCCATTTTGTTCCGTGTATATTTGCTCTGTTTACTTAACCAACCGCACTAAATTTAGAAGCTTGCCAAGGGCTGCTGATCCAATTACTTGGGTCAAGCCCAAGTAGAGTCCCATCATTGTTCTGGGCATCACAATGCACTGTCTTTGTGCTTGTCTCAATATAGTAGAAGAGGAGGGTTTCAACTCAACCGATTGGCCGAGAAGAGCGCCATTATGTTTGCATTACTTACCTCCCAATAGGCTTCAATGCGCAGCAGGCAGCTGGGCAAGTTGAGGCAGACAAAAACCGTTGAGACAATTAGCAGCATTTTGGTAACCTTGATCTGCGATGAGTTTTGTACCTTGCGGCGTGCTGAAAGAAAGTAAATAAATAAAGGAAAACAGGAAAGGAGTTAAGATGAGACGCATCCTTCACACTCCCGTTGACTTCATAATTAGTTGGAATTTATAATTGTAATAGTTTGCAAATTGTTTGACAATTTGTCAGTGTCGCAAACTTGGCTGAGACTGCAGCTGTCAGAAAGTTGCTCATACATTTTCCCAGCTGCTTTCATCATCTTTTGTTTTGTCATTTTTAATGTCAGACGCGGCTGGAAAATGGCTGCAAACAAATTCACAGATTCACGAGTCAACTTAAATGGCTTTAGAGAAAGTTTGAGCTTGCTTTTCTTGTGCCAAGTTTTCCAGCAAATGTCACCGAAGAAAGAGTTTCCCGCCTTGGATGTCAAGTAACCGAAGCACTGACATTTTCCGAATGAAAACTCACCTGGTTTCTGTGTGATCGCACAGTGGTGTTGGCAATTGTTTATTTGCTGCTGCTGCGGCTGCTGTTGTTCCTGCTCATCCGGCTGCCTGATGGCAACATTGTGCTGTCCGCTTGGATGCGTTCCCGTTGACTTTTGGCGCTTCAGCGATGCCGAAATGCGGTAAGAGGTCACTGCAGAAGACGCTCCTCCGGAAGAGTTCGATGAGTTCGAGGGCATGCTGTTTGTTTGAGGTTTCCTGAATGAGAAAGCAGAAGAAACATCCAATTATATTTGGGGTTTTGGATGAACATGAACCAAAAGATGACACTTGAACATTTTCAACAAAGAAAATTAATCAAGAAAATGCTGAACCTTTAAATAATATTTAATAAATACATATATTCACAAAAAGGCATATTTTAAAGAACCCTAATTTTAGCAATGCAATATGTAAAGTAATTTGTAGCTTAAATATTTTACTTGGCTAAAAACTTCTTATCATTTCTCCTCAATTTATATTTCTTTATTTAAATAATTTAAATCAACCATTTAAATTAAACGCTTGGATTACTGTGCCTATAATAAGATTATTTGAAATTACATTTATTAGGAATTGCTATTTAGTTAGCTTTTTGTTTGAATAGCGGCGTGAATAAACGCATGTTTCAAATTAAATGAAATTAATACAACAACATAACCCTTTCCTAACTTCATATTCACATTCTAACAAAATCAGCTCACGGCTACTTAAGTTTACAAGTGTTTTAAGATTTTCCTTCGGCATAGGCATGTGCAACAATTTAAATGTAATCCCAGAAGCACTTAGACAAATAATGAAAATGTTTCTCCAGGGCGAGCCATGCTAATCGCCTTAGTGCGATTTCCTGTCAAAAATCAATGAGTCGAATAGCGAATATCCCGGGGTTTAGTACTCACATCTTGTGCATGGTCAGCGTTCGGCGAACGGTGGCGAATTTCCACACCGTGCAACCTGTACAGGTGTTCAGAACGGCGATGGTGGTGAAGGGCACCGCATAAACGACAATCGAGTCCCAGTAGTTGAAGAGGGCCAGTTGTTCCTGCGAATGTGGAGAACATGTTTTTATTATTATTGCGCTGGTTGGTTCCAATTCAATTGGTTTTTGTTTGTGGTTACGCCAACGTGGCGTATACGAAATGTGTGTATAAAATTGAGTATACGCCACGTTGCAACCCCAACTAGCTTTAATCTTGTTTGGACCAAATTCAATTTGTGTGGCGTTTTTGTCTCAGCATCGCCAAAACTCTTTGCCAAAAGCTGAAAGTAATTAAATTCCAAACAAAATTGCGGAAAAAGTGGACTTAATCCATTTGCATGTCACGCAGAGCGCTGGGGAAATTAGTTGTTGAGTTGTCGAGTCGTCGAATATATTTTTGAAAACAAAATAGAAACTTGGAATTTAAATGGCTTCTCCAAAGCACCGGTGCAACTTAAAACCTCATTTCCCCTGATAATATAATCTACGGGTTAGCACGGAAAACAAGAGAATCCCGTTTTAATTTGCATAATTCGCTTGGCCAGAAATATAATGGAATTAATATCCAGCTGAACCGATAGGTTTATGCTCTAAACAACCAGAGCTGGCTGACCTTCTCTTCTCTGCTCGTCTGCTTCTTTAATCTCGGCATACTTCTCGGCATTTTACGCTCGGCCAAACTCCTTTTCTGCCCCCGGGACCCTTTTGAAGGGGTAAACTATTTTCGCATAGTCTTGTGCATTTATTTTCCACTTTCCCTGGGGTGAAAACCTCTCAACCGGGCAAATTCCGAACTGCCTGCATATTTTCATGTCCGAAATGTTCAATCTGAAATGTTCCAGGACGCTCGAATTAATCTCTGCGAACAGATGTGGGTAGCCATTTGGCCTGGCTAATTTCGGGCAAGGCAATCCCATTTGTTTCAATCACAATTAACCAAAAATGGAAGTCCATAAGCGCATTATCGTCCATTAAGGTCCATCCAACTGTTTACCCGTATTTAGTAGTATTCTAGTAGAACCAGCTGGCTAGTCAGCCTCCCATTAAAGTTCAAAACACTTTAAAGAGCAAGTGTAATTCCCACTCTATGTCCTTAGGTATGCAATCATCATCAGTGGGTTTTGTCGTAATTTCTAGCGGCTGCCTTCAATTTACATAATTTGAAGTGTTGGCATTCATCAAAATGTATTACACAACCATTGAAATTATGTTAATCACCAACTGGCAAAATCAAAATTGTTCATCAAGTAATTCAATGCCCAGACGTTTTTTTTTCTATATCTGCATTACAGAATCTGTGCCCAAAAGTATTTCCGAAAATAAATTTAAATTTTCCCCCATCGGCGCGATTTATTCGCCCACGTTATATTTAGTGATTTGATTACATTTTCTATGGGGATAAAAAAAACCGCGAAAGGGTTGATCCGTAATGGTGTATTGTTTCTCAATTTAATTGCTAAATACATTGTCTTCTTAATTCATTATTTATGCCTTCTTAAGTAGCGAGGCAAACCCATAATCTATTGATCGGCCATTCTATTTGTCGACTGGCCACTTGGGTCCAGGTGCCTTTGGACAGTAAACACCGCAGGAAGCGCCCTGGAAAATCCCCCGAATGGCCGCCATAACCGTAAAAGCTGTCCTGCTTGACCAGACCATTCAATTTATTTGCTTTTGCTATTTACTTTATATGCCCCTCTCAATTCGTTCATAGGTTTTTGGCGCCCGTGTGTGTGTCAAGTGGATCAAAGTGTAATAGCTCGTAAATTTTCAATCAACTGCCGATGATGATGATGTCTGGCCTTTGATGCTACTCATACACGAAATTGTTATGAAAGTATAATTAATTCTCGAGGAAATGTATTTCATGTTGGTTTTTATACTTTAAAACGTAACATAGAATTTTTCCAGTTGTATAACTACGTTTTCATGTTACTTTTTTATACATGTGGAATAATTTTAAATATTATTTCATTTGTTTTTAATATGTCGTAACAAAATGAAAAGAATAGAAAAGAAACAAAAGCTTGTAAAGTTGCATAAACCAAAGTGAATGTTTAATTTTAAAGTTTCCCCTGCATATTCCAAGCAAGTTAAATCCGCAGCTTTAGTGAGTGCTTTGCCCATCGGCATCCTTTGGCTCAAACTATTTCCATGCATATGGTATTTGCACTTTACTATATTCTTGGACACTTCCTGTTGCGGCCCCATGCTGACACATGGAGATTTCCATGAGCTTAGTCGATTTCAATTTGACTTCACATCTGCTTCCCAGTTACATCAAAGGGCGTCTTCTGTATTGATGACTGCCGGCCATAATATCGAACTTAATTAATTACCAAGAAAAGCTTTAAATAGAATGCCCTTTAGAGAGAGCTCTCACTTTCAGCGAATGCTAAAATTTAGGTAATACTTCTGCCGTAATTTGTCTATTCATTAGAGGTCTGCAATGCCAGAATCGACTTGCGGAGCTTCTTGAGGAACATCTGGCTGCCTTTTCCCGAGGAACTGCCTTCTGGTGTTCCCTCTCATCCAGGGGAGGGCTATTACACAATGATTTGTTTCTTTCAATATGCCAACCGCCGAGTACAAAACGTCTATTTACAGCTTAGAACTCGCTGTCTGTTTCAAAATTTATGTCGTCTACCCCTCGAGGCTCAATGTTCGTTGCCATTTTGCAATATTGTTCACCGCACGTTGCACAGCGTACATTCCGCCAACTTCACTGGATCCTCTAAATCATTTGGTTTGCCTGCCAGCGGAATTCGTGCATAATTTCCCAGCCGCTAGCCATCTGTGCCATCTGGTTGACGCTGGCATCAACGTCGTGGTTCCCATCGCTCAAACGAAATTGTTGTCAAACGAAATTGCTGACAATTCGCAGGTACACTTGAAAGAATATTATAATACGTCGAAAAATTTCTAAAGGATTGTTTTGCTTTTCCCTAAGACCATTACAACTGATGGTCTTTAAGATTGATTTATCATCGAATTTTAAAAGAGAAGTCATCGAAAATAACGAATAAGGTTGTAGGGTTTTTTACTTTTAAGTATTAAAAAACAAATTTTAGAAATAAAACGAAATTTGTTTTTAAAAATGTTTTCAGTGTGCCTGAATTGGCGGTATTTACAATATTTGTTTTAACAAATAGTAGACTAGTCCATTTAACTTTTATTTTCTTAGAATTTTGTTTTAAGAATAAAAACCTTTTGTGCTGAATCGCATGTAAGGAAGAATAGTTCTTAATTCAAGGAACATGTGCCCTAATATTTTTTTCTGTGCAGTTTCAAGTACATTTTTCTCGGTATATCAGCTCTGCTGATTGAAAGCGAGTTTTTCCGTTTGAGTTCCATCAATCATTTGAGCAATCGAATCGAGAAGTACACGTAGGCGCGACACTTAACGCTTCATTGGGGCCAATTTGGCTAATAGGCGGGCTGGCTGGCAGTCAAATTCACCTGGCGTCCTTTTGTTTGCATTGCATTGCGTCCGCCCACATATAGTGAAAAATTAGCATTGAATTTCAGGCCCCGAAAAGCGTCGCCTACCAACTAAGCAAAAGGTAAACAGTTGAAAAGCAAGTGAAATATGAGATTTATTGGGACCTGAGAATTGGAATTGTCATCCTTGAGACGCACGGGACACACCCATCAGGTCCACGTGTCTGGCGGTGGGTTCGGTGTTTTTTTTTTACTACCATGTCCTTTTGTCCTGTTTGTGCTGCGGGCCCAGAAAAAATATTTGCTTTGGTTTACGAGTCGGCAGTGCCCTTTTGTTTTTTAGTCATCCTTGTTTACCCAGCGTTTTGAGAGAGTTCTATAGTTTCGCCTTGAATTTTGCAACGCAGTTAACGCTATGGATGTGAAATCCATTAATTCAATTAATCCTATGACACAGCAAGAGAAAAAAATTATGACGAGGTCTTCCAAAAAATCGTAAAACCACTGAAATCACTTACTGTAAAATTTGGAAGTTTTTATTTATAGAGCATAAAGCTCTTCGTTGCTTCAAACATTTAACTTATTTCCCCCTTTTTTTATCTGGTTAACCTTTTTGCCATTTTTGGCTTTGTACTGTTATTTTTTGTGTGCAGTTCTTTGACCCATTCGTTAGCCAATTTGTGGCGGCCTTTTTTTCCTGTCCAATAAATGCTTAATTTGCTCGCTTAGCCCACACAGCGGTTGGCTTTGCGCCTTTCGGGACCCAATTAATTGACTAATTGCTCTACACTCAGAAAAAAAATCGCCCTAAATTTTAGAAAATCGCCATACTTTGAAAATCGCCTTGAAATTCAGAAAATATTTCTATTTTTCAGAAATATTTTTCTAAATAATAAGAAAAACTTACCCTGATTAAATCAACTCCTCTTGTTATCCACTTTTAGAAAAATTTTCTGTTATTCAGAAATTTTTCTTTCAAACTAAGAAAAAATCGCCTTACATTTTAGAAAATTGGCCCAATCGGTAGCCTAGGGGTCTAATGCGAGCGGATTATTTGTTTTCTACGCTTATATTCGGAAGCGTGTGTTCGATCCCACGTCGAGGCGGACATTTTTTGCGTCTTTTTTTTTTTTTTTTTGCGCATTAAAATGTATACTTTAATACAAATAAGGATTTAGGTAAGCTAACACACACATAATGGATAAATAAGAGTATAAACCTAGAACCCAGGAGAACAGAATGAGAATGTACTTTGTACAGCGCCTCTCGTGATGCTTCCCTGGCGCAGCTAGTAGAGTGTTTGACTGCAAACTGTGAGGTAAGGGGTTCGAATCCCGCGAGCGACCAAAATGTTTTCCTCAAGATAGTAAGTTATTTGATTTTTATGTTTATCATTAATAAATAATATAATAATTTCAGTTATTATTTCAGTTACAATTAAAGATTAAAAGTGTGTTTGTGTACAAGCATCGTGACGTCATCCATGTGTTTAATTAGAGGAGAGAAAAATAAGTTGAAAAACGAGAACCCCAACAACAACACCCCACACCGACAGACTCCACCCAGTCGGCATAACTCCCGATTCCCCGATTTTTTTCTTCTTCTTCTTATTCAATTTTGCAAAAACTAACCCTAAATTTAAGAAATTTTTTTTCTAATTTTTAGAAATATTTTTTCTAAAAGGCAAGGCGAGCTGCCTTTGGCTTAAAAAGTATGGCGATTTTCTAAAATTCAGGGCGATTTTTTTTCTGAGTGTAGTTTTGGCCAAATTAGTGGCTACTTCGTCTTGCGGCCGGGCGCATGATCGGCATATCCTGGCGGTATTTATTGGGCTTAATTGACTGGGTGTCAATACCAAGTCGAGTGAAAGTGACGAAGGATTCGGGAACTCAAGAGCTGTCAAGTCAGAGTTTACTTGCGAAACAGCTGTAAGTGCCGGTGACAGATTCTTCAGATAATCCCTCGTCCTCTGGGTTTTTTTTGCCCACTCACCGAAATCATATGCTTCAAACATGTTTTCAAAATATTTGACAACAATGTTGCTGGCCATTTGCCAGAGTAAACATACAATGCCATTCAAATTCCAATAACGATATATGAATGGCAGACAAGAATTCTAAAATGCCAGCACTTCCACGTATGGGTTACCTTTTTGAAAAACCCAAAGTTAGGTGCGGGAAATGGCAAATAAATTTTCGTTGTGTCGCTGGTTACCGAAGGCAACCGAAATGAAAAATTCAAGGCACCGGAAGAATGCGTTTGATGAAGTTGGATTTTGATGTGTGAGATTTTTTGGGTGAGAGTGCTACAACTAAAAAACAAGAGAGAACTCTATAGTTGGTTGCCCCGACTACCTGATACCCTTTACTCAGTTAAGCAGTAAACTGCTTGCACCGCTTGCATTCCATTATTTGCTCATAACTTTTTAATGCGTGGTCCGATTTTAAGATTTTCTTCCACTTTTCGAAAGGTACACCCAAAAAAAAATCCGAAAGTTTACAGTTAATACGCGTTGTATTAAAAGTATACTACAGCTAGTATCAAACTGTCAGTATTAATTCAAAACTAAATAATGTAAGGAGCAGACTCAATAGTGTTAAGTTAAGACTAAATAGTGTTAAGTTTATGTCCTGAGTTTAATTTCTATACCGAAGTTTTCGGTTTTCGTTCCTGGTGTGAAGCCAGGATGCTCTGGTTTGGAACCTGGACATTTCGAACAGAAAAAGTGTTACCGCTTTTTAATGCTATTCGGACGCGTTAGTATTTTAAGGGTTTTACATTAGTGTATTTTGTAAACGACGCTGCGGTCTGTTTAAGGTTGTTTGTGAAAATTACTTGTGAAAATTTTAATATTTGCTTATTTTGGGCTTATTTGAAATGTAAGTACATTTAAATTGTGTCTTAGTCCATAACTAATGAGTGAATTCTTTTCTTTTTACTGACACCACCTTGAATTGCGCTCCAGATGCCGGGAAACTAAGGATCTTGCTATTGGCTTGCATTTTTTCTGACCGCGGCCAGCGCAATGTTTACTTCAATATCAGCGTCCCCGACCAAACTCCGGTGTTCATCTGGACGGCGACCACTCTGGAGATGATCAGCGACATAAGCGGTAAAACGGCTGCATTTGCCCAAATATGCATACACACGTACATATTTTGTACATGTATTGTATTTATGTTTATTTGTTAAATTAAAAATTACCTTCAGTAATTTATAAAAATGTAAAAAATATTTGTAATAATATATGAAAAGTACAGAACAACATTTTTTGAATTTTGTCTCTTTTATACGGGGTATAATATTTATACTGGCATTATACTAAATAGTATACAAAATAAACTAGCACCCTAAATTTCAGTACACTGAGTGAGTATAAACTGTACACTCGTTAGTTTAAACTTGACAACTTCGAAAGTTTCATTTTTATACTTTCGAAGTCCATTAGTTTAATACTCAGAGTATCGAGAAATTTTTGACACTCAATAGTTTACCTTTAATGTAGAAATAGTTTAGTTTCTATGATCATTTTTTTTTGGGTGTATAATAAACTCAACAAAATCACATTTACAGTTTTACAAAATCTGTAAAATTGTGGGCGCCAGTCTTGTTCTAAAGGTCTGTTAAAGTTTTAAAAACATTAAAGAGTATTGTGTACTAGCCAAATAGCCATTGATATTTCGTTAATGGTGTTCAAGAGAAAATATTCTCAGATCAATAGGAGATCTCTATTAATAACAGAAAATATTTGTTTGGAAAACCATAACAATGGAATAAATTGCTCTTTTTGTGGGCATAATTTGTTTGTTTCAAGTATAAGCAATATAATTTTTTTGTTTGGCCCACTCACCTTGTATTCCGAGTTGAGATCGCAGATGGTTGTGTTCAGTTTGGGCATAAAGACCGGCTTGGCAATCACTATATAGGGCAGACAGTGCAGACAGCCGACGAGGGTGAGACAGAAGAGCACGATTTTAGCCCGGCGCACGGTGCACATGGTCTGTCGCTTCAGCGGATAGATGACCGCAATGAAGCGCTCCACGGTGAAGGCCACCACAAACCAAACGGAGCAGAAGCTGGCCAAGTAGCTGAAGAAGGTGAAGAACTGGCAGAAGTAGTTCCTATTGTAGATGTCCACATTGAGGAAGTTCAGCCACTGGGCGAAGAGGCCGGCCAGAAAGCAAGTATCGCTGACGGCCAGAGCAGCTAGGTAAAAGCTCGAGGATAACTTTCGTAACTTGGTCCTGAAGAAGACGAAGACGGAAAGGATATTCCCAATGCCGCCCGTGCAGCAGAGTACGGGGATATAGTAATGGTGTACGATGTCCCCTATAAAGAAGGCTATCCGCAGCATCTCCTCATCCTCATCATCGCCAAGTGTGCCATTCGTGTCCATCTGTGTGGCATCCGTGACATTTGCTTCACTTGTGGTTGGACCAAAGTCCGCCTCCGTAGTCGCTGATATATTGCCACTGGTGGTGGCCATAAAGTCCATGTCCATTTTTTTTAGCTTTATTTTATTTTTAAAAATCTAAATATAATAAACACACTTAATATTCCAATTTCAAGCGTACACTTTGCTAACTTTTTCTCTGACACACTATTTTAATTGATCCATTTGAAACGCCAGACTTAATTGCCTCGCTTTTGACAAATGTTTGCCCATTTCAATGGAAAGGTAAAAAGTTTTTATTTATTTTTCGTTGGCCAACCAAACTATTTCACTCGACGGCACACATGTCAACAATCAAAAGTTTCGATTGGTGGTCGAATTTTTCACACGAATCCCTGTTTCCGCTTAACTTAATCTTAATTAAGATTTTGTATTTCAAACTTTTCTTTTGGCAAACTTATTGTTATTACCGATTGCTGCTCGCCAAGGTGTTTTAAGTTCATTATGGGCCAAACATTTTTTGCCCACCATTCGTAATGATGTAAACAAAGAAGAAACGCCAGGTAAATTTAAAAACTTTTGCCGCACATAAAAAGTTTTTTCTTTCGTTCCCAAAACTTCTGAGGGTTCTTGTTTTCAACAAAAGCAGCGTTTACCTGTGGTCTAGTTTTATTTTGAATTTTTTTCGAAAGCCAAAAACTTCTGTGATTGCGCTCTGAATGGAGGCAATATTTTTCTCGATTAATTAGTAATTCTCGGAATGGAATTCGTTTGTTTACTTCGAGAGGTGCTGGGTGCAATTGATTAAGAAAAATATTTTCCAACTATCCCGCCGGTTTTCTTTAAATGGCCTGGTGAACTTGGCTATTCGTTTTCTTTTTTTTGTTTTGCCGGTTCGTCCAACCAGCAGGACAATGAGCGCGCAACTAAGCCGAGACAATGGACGTGGCAGCCTTTTAAACCACTTTCAATTGACTCTTGGAAGGCGCCAAGTGAAAGCTTTTCCACGGCGATATTGCGCCGGCGCCGGTTCATTCATAAAATCAACAGGTGACAAGGTCAGGGTTTTTGGAGGAGCAGCAACAAGTGGTGTTCGCGATTGTCAAGGGATTAGCCCAGCAGGATTTGCAGAAGGAGAACGACGCCACTGGGTCGTAGACAATGGGCCGCTAAACAGTTCTTTTGAAACGCAATTGTTGCGGTCACATTGTCATTGGGCGGTAAGGAAAACAATAACAAACCGCGGCGCTTTTCCAAATGCCGGAAAAGCTCTTTTCTCTTGGAAAGGCTAGTCTGTACTTTATTCACAGTCCTCATTGGGACTTGCTCGAGTGCGGAGCTTCGAAATGGCTGCGCATCCTGGTTGGACTTGAATATATTCAATATATATTACTCCGAATTTAACGAGTCATTTTATTAACTTCCTCTTTTGTTTTCTTTATTTTCAGAGGATGACAAGGTGGGCACCCTGGATGTCGTGCTGAGCAGTGCTTACTGTCGATCCCAGCGCTTCCTGTCCAAACAACTGGCCCAACTGCGTCCGGAGCTTACCATGTCCATCTTTTCGGGTGAGTAACTTAACCGTAACTTAACTCTAACTTAACCGTAACTTGACCGTAACTTGACCGTAACTTGACCGTAACTTGACCGTAACTTGACCGTAACTTGACCGTAACTTGACCGTAACTTGACCGTAACTTGACCGTAACTTGACCGTAACTTGACCGTAACTTGACCGTAACTTGACCGTAACTTGACCGTAACTTGACCGTAACTTGACCGTAACTTGACCGTAACTTGACCGTAACTTGACCGTAACTTGACCGTAACTTGACCGTAACTTGACCGTAACTTGACCGTAACTTAACCGTAAGTTAACCTATAGTCAACTAATTTATGGTTTATTGAAATTTATTTTCATTTTTCACTAACCGTAACCTACCCGTAACTTAACCATAACTTAAACTCTAGTCAAGTAATTTATGGTTTATTAAAATTTCTTTTTATTTTTTAGAAATCACCCATCGTTTCCAGAGCGCTCGAGAGGATGTGCGCGCGCTGCTGCTGCAGTGTCTCCTTCCCTGGCTGCAGAATATGGAACTGGTGGCCACAAGTGTGCCGCCTGCCACGCCCCTTTCGTACATTATGGTAAGCGATGCGCGAAATAGCCTTCCGTTTGTTTTTTCTTCCGGCAAACGGATTGTAACCTTTGCTTTTTCGCAGTATTTTCCGGATTCGGGGACGCGAGGACGTCGCGAGGGAACTGGTTCGACAGAGGCAACGGAAATGATTCTGAACAATCTCTTCTACATCACAGCCAAGGTATATAGAAATATATGCTCATCGTTTGGAAAGGATGTATTTAAATTTTAAATTGTTTCCACTGCAGTTCTCTGACGCCCATCCACGCGACATCGAGGAGTTGTGGGGCACACTCTGCCAGTTTTGGCCCAATAACCTGAAGGTTATACTGCGCTACTTGGTAATCATGAGTGGCATGGCCCCCACCGAACTGCTGCCCTATGTAAGTGCTGGTTTACAAGGGTTATCCGGTGTAGTAATAATGATTTTCTTTAACACACTTTAAACAGGCCAAGCGGGTGGCTCTTTATCTGGTAAGGAGCTGTCCGGATCGATTGCTAGACGAGCTAATGGCCGAGCTGCAGACTGTGGAGACGCTCAACTGTCTGATTGAGCGCACGGAAACGCCACCTTTCTATCGATTGACCAGCATGCGAAAGGCCTCCAGTCACAGTGCCGATGGTAGGGGAAATAATTATACATTAAAATATTTTACAAATGAAATTTAAACGTTATTTTATTATTTTGTAACAGGCCAAGCTGTGGGCGGCATTAATGACTCGAGAATTCAGGACTTGGCTGTCGAGAAGGGCACCATTCACACCAAGCGTCACAGCGGAGAGGATCCCATTAAAATTGGGTAAGTTTTAAAGGCTTCTTATAAAGGTAATATTAACGTAAAAATATTTCCCCTCAGAACCTGCAAATCGGACAGCGGTATTAGGGCCTATACCCAAGCAGCTGCTGCTGCTGCTGCCGCTGCCGTCACTCCCGGATCAAGTGGCAATCGTCCACCGCGTGGAGCCGATAAGATTCGCGCCGCCTCAGGGCCTTCCATTCTGCCCCGGCCAGAGGATATTCTCATCAACGATCCAGAACTGCGGCAGGAGGAGAATGTTGAGCTGCGCGGAACATCGGATGCCCCGCCAAATGCCCACCCACATCCACTGCCCATGCCGGAATATGGTGGTTACTTTGCTCCGCTCACCGAGTTTCTACCGGATGTCAGTTTGCCCATCAGCGGATTCCACAGGTGAGTTAATGAAAAGTGGTGAATAAGTTTATGAGATTATCTTTTGTAAAAGTTTTCAAACTTTTAGTAGACATTTAAAATATTTAAGTTTTCAAATTAATTTATTAAGAAAAACTCTCTGCGAAAGAATTCCTATCTAAAACAAGTTTAGTAGGAAATGCCAGTGTTGTCGCGAATCCATCCCAGATAGTCGGAGACGCGGGTTCCTCCAGAGGGACCGCTGTGGCAGTCACCAGAGCCGAAGGTGATCACTCCCACGAGGCGGGGATTGTCCTGGGTAACCATGGGACCACCGGAGTCGCCTCCACAGGTGGATCTGCCACCGACGGGGCGGGTGCACAAGTCAGTGCTGGCCACCGAGCCGTAGGACTGCTCGCACTCGCTGTTGCTGATGATCTGGACGTCCATGCACTGCAGCAATTCGGCCAGGTTTCCGTTGTCCATACCGCCCCATCCGCAGACCAAGACCCAAGTGTCCTGGAAACGATCGCTCTGCTCGCTCATGCTGGGCAGGGCGACCTTGTTGATCAGATCAGTGAAGGTAACGGGATCAGTGCGAATCAGACCGATGTCAGTGCCGGCCCGGGAGCCAAAGTCGGGATAGCTGATGAAGTTCTCTCGACGGACGATTTGCTTCAATGCTCCGTTCCAGGCCTTGTTGGAACCGTAGTTGATTTCCACGTAGTCGGTGGTCAGGCAATGGGCGGCGGTCAGGATCCAGTTGTTGGCAATGATTGTGCCAGCTCCAACAGCACCACTGTTGCTTCCATCGTTTCGGAGGAACAGACCCACAATGTAGGGAGCCTTGCCCTCGTCGGCTGTGTAGCCATTGACAATGCGACCCTCGGGACCCTCGGAGAAAGTCACCTGGGGCAGGTGGCTGGTGCGGTTGAGCCCAGTTGGGGAGGCGGCGACCAAGGCCAAGACCACGGAAAGAGTTAGCAAGAACAGTTTCATGTCTGGGAAAATACTTAGCCTCTTGGTCGGAACGCCTTGCTTTTATACGATTCGCAAGGCTTGATAAGCAGGTCAACAGTCAATCATGGCATCTTATCGCACCCATACTTTCACTGAAAATCGAAATACCCCTTTGTAATTGTTATAGATTTCGCATCTCCGGGGGGGATTTTGCCACTCAACATCACGGTTATCAGAAAAGTTAGGAAATGCAAAATATACTGGATTTCATAGGACCTCATAAATCTATTGATCCTCTTAAGTACCAGGTACTGATAAGCGGCAAGCCATCGATCAATAAATTATTGCAAATTGAGCCCACTGCCAACTCGCTAAAATGATATGGTAAACTTTCGCCAGTCAATATGCCAGCAACAACATAAGAAAACAGGTCGTACATTTTTCATTTTTTTAATTTAAATGAAATAAATTGTTTGATAAATCGACTTAAAAACTAGAAAATCATTAAACAAGAGTCCAAAGGCTATTACACTGTGCTACTAAATAAATTCTTAATTTATTTACGTTGATGGCTGCTTAGGGATCTTATTCGCTTTTAATCGCCTTTTTCAAATGTGCTCGCAAAAAAATCCCCATACAAAAAATTCTGAGAAAAACAACCAAAGTGCTAAAAATTCGGTTTTTGAAATTTGTTTAATAGATATTAAAGGCGATTCTTGGTTGGTTAGTTAATTCCGACATTTTGCAAAATAAATTCCTTACCTTTTGAGTCTTAAACTTTGAGTAATATATAACGAAGTTATAACCGAAGGAATAAATTGTCATTGTCGTTCAGATGAAGAAAAATTCTTGGTGTTTGTAGCTCGAAAGGTAAAGAGTTCATCTTGTTATTTGTTTTGTTTTAAAACAGTGGTGGCCAGCAGAAGCAGCGCGCTCGATCCATGGGATAGGCAATTTCTCTGCCGCTGCGCTGCCAGCGTTCCGGTGCACACGTACGCTGTAAAGCAGAAAAACGGCAAACACAAAGCCAGCTTCTTGATTGCAAGCTCTCACGCAAACGCAATTCGTGCTCTCATTGTATGTGTGCTGCTTCTGCTGGCCACCACTGTTTTAAAATAATAGGATGTTGACTAAATTTTAAAAACTTGGGTTTAGAAAAATATTTATTGCATTCGCTTTGAATATTCACCCTAGTGGATGGTGCTATCCCCCAAACCACCCCACGTAAATTAGCCCTTTTCCCACCAGTTGAACAAGTTTACAAAGTATTGCATTTTAGAAAACAGTTTATTAAAAATAAACAGAAGAATCCTCGCGGAATTAGTAGGAGATGCCAGTGTGGTCGCGGATCCATCCGACGTAGTCGGAGACGCGGGTGCCGCCACCGGGACCGCTGTGGCAGTCGCCAGAGCTGAAGGTGATCACTCCCACAATACGGGCATTGTCGTGTGTCACCATGGGGCCGCCGGAGTCGCCTCCGCAGGTGGACTTGCCATCGGAGTTGCGGACGCACATGTCAGTGCTGGCCACCGATCCGTAGGACTGCTCGCACTCGCTGTTGCTGATGATCTGGACGTCAGCGCACTGCAGCCAATCGGCCAGGTTTCCGTTGTCCATACCTCCCCATCCGCAGGCGACGACCCAGGTGTCCTGGAAGCGATCGTTCTGCTCGTTCATGCTGGGCAGGGCAACCTTGTTGATCAGACCATTGAAATCCACATGGGGAGTGCGGATCAGACCGATGTCAGTGCCGCCACGGTTGGGCCAGTCGGGATGGCTGATGAAGTTGTCGCGACGGACGGTCTGCCTGTAGGCTCCGTTCCAGCCCCAGTTGGATCCGTAGTGGATCTCGGCGTAGTCGGTGGTCAGGCAATGGGCGGCGGTCAGGATCCAGTCGTTGGCAATGATGGTACCAGCACCAACAGCTCCGCTGTTGCTTCCGTCGTTCAGGAGGAAGAGACCCACAATGTAGGGGGCCTTGCCCTCGGGAGCTGGGTAGCCGTTGACGATGCGACCCTGGGGACTGTCGGAGAAAGTCACCTGGGGCAGCAGGCTGGTGCGGTTAAGACGGGCCGGGGAGCCGGCCACCAAGGCCAGGGCCACGGAAAGAATTAGCAGAAACAGTTTCATGGCTAGGAAGAAACTTAGCCTTCTGGTTGGGGCGCCCTTCTTTTATACCATTCGCGGCTGCTTGCTAACAGTATATTATGGCATCTTATCGCACCCATACTGGCTGAATTCATTCATGACTTGTACATAAAATCGCTGAGCCCCTTTCTAATCACTTGTTATGAAGTTGGCATCTCAGGGGGGGATTGGGCCACTCCACATCACGGCTATCAGAACAGTTCGGAAATGCAAAATATACTGTGTCCCATAGGGCCTCATAAATCTATTGTACCTCTTAAGTATCAGGCAGCGATAAGAGCCAAGCAACTGATCAATAAATTAGTCTTAATAGAGCCCACTGTCAGCTCGCAAACATGATAGGGTAAACTTTCGCTAAACAACATAGGAAAACAAACCGTTTATTTTCTTTTATTTTGCTTTAAATTAACTACTGAACATGTTTGATATCTAAAAGTAGGAAATTTTTACTAGCTTTGGAACATAAAACTCTTTAACAGTGTCTTTCCTTGCTACAAATATTAAATCTGTTGTTGGCCACACTCTTATAAGTACTCGTAAGTTTATTTGTTTACTTAATTAAGCAAGTGCTTCAAAGTAAAGTAATACTGAATCGTACTCAAGTGAGATATCAATAAAACATTATCAGGCCTGTTCCCGATTTCGCTTTCGATCGTTTTACTCAAATTACATTTGGGAGAACAGGGTACCTGTTCCGGTTTACCCAATTTGAGTGATTTACTCAACTTTAGTTAGTTTTGCTTGGAACTATGGAATTTGGCTTTTTTTAGTTTATCTTAAAACTAATTGTTGAAAATTAGTTTTTATCTTTAATAAAAATACTTCATTACTGTATCAACCACAAAATAATTTGCCGAAGCTGTTTGGATTTTTACGTGACCCTGAGATTGGAAAGGATACTCGATAAAAAACAAGAGAGAACGCTATAGTCGAGTACTCAGCTACTTTATAGCTTCAGCTGTTACATACCTTTAAACAAACAGAATATACCCTTTTAGTCTTTTAGTGTAAAAACACAAGAAGTTATTTCTTAATTTAAATAATGAATCATTTTTTAAGAAGCTTTTTTGATGTTGAATCATATATATACTCTAAGGTGTTAAGCCCCCCTCCTTTCAGATGAAATCTCATACCAATTATGGTTAAAAGAAGTACAATACACAAATTTTGTATTTGTGATATGATTTCACACATTTTCTAAAATTTTTTATTCGGTATTTTTTTATAGATCGAGAACCGGGTTTATATAGAGGGATGATGATGAAAAATATAGCATTGCATTTTTAAAAAGAGTTTATTAAAAACACTTGAGAATCCTTTCAAACCTTTCGGAATTAGTAGGAAATGCCAGTGTTGTCGCGGATCCATCCCAGGTAGTCGGAGACGCGGGTTCCTCCAGAGGGACCGCTGTGGCAATCAGCAGAGCCGAAGGTGATCACTCCCACGAGGCGGGGATTGTCGTGGGTAACCATGGGACCACCGGAGTCTCCTCCGCAGGAGGACTTGCCGTCCGTGTTGCGGACGCACATGTCATTGCTGGCCACCGAGCCGAAGTACTGCTCGCACTCGCTGTTGCTGATGACCTGGACATCCGCGCACTGCAGCCACTCGGCAAAGTTTCCGTTGTCCATACCGCCCCATCCGCAGGCCACGACCCAGGTGTTCTGGAAGCGATCGTTCTGCTCGTTCATGCTGGGCAGAGCGACCTTGTTGATCAGACTGCTGAAGTCCACGTGGGGAGTGCGGATCAGACCGATGTCAGCGCCTCCACGGTTGGGCCAGTCGGGATGGCGGATGAAGTTGTCGCTACGAACGTGTTGCCTGTAGGCGCCGTTCCAGCTCCAGTTGGATCCGTAGTGGATTTCCACATAGTCGGTGGTCAGGCAATGGGCGGCGGTCAGGATCCAGTCGTTGGCAATGATGGAACCAGCACCAAAGGCATCGCCGCCTCCATCGCTTCCGAGGTACAGGCCCACAATATAGGGAGCCTTGCCCTCGTAAGCTGGGTAGCCGTTGACGATGCGACTCTCGGGAGTCTCGGTGCGGTTAAGATGGGCTGGGGAGCCGGCGACCAAGGCCAAGGCCACGGAGAGTGTTAGAAGGAACAGTTTCATGGCTGAAAAAGAACTAAGTCTTCGTTCTGAGAAGTCGGGTCTTTATACGATTCGGCGGAGGCCAATTTAAAGTGTCTGCGAGTGCGCCTTATCGCTATCACTTTTGGCAGTCCACTTTGATTGATTCAAAAGTTTCAAAAAGTTTTTATCAACTCAATCACTTTTTTTTGCCAAGAAGCATTCAAAATAATCAGCTTATTCACTAATGAAAATTTGAATTCACACTCCTAATCTGACATGAATGAAACCCAAATTGTTGTTTTATAGTGGAAAAATATTTTGATATGTACTTTTATACTCCGGAAATTAATTTTAGCAGGGGGTAGGCAGGGGCGTAGGCACCCCCTCGGGTGAAAGCCTATGCAAAATATGGTTTACAGAAGTATGCTTCAGAAAATTCGTACGGTAAACCCCCCTCAACATAATCTTGCCTACGCCGCTGCTAAGGTGAATATGAAATAAAATGGGAATAAAAACATTCGACTTAAAAATAGGAAGTTATTTGATCGCTTAACTAAATTAAAAGAATTCCTGAATTACAAATATAACTGGCATGTACTTTTATACATGATTTAAAGCTCAGTAATACCAGCTGTAAAATTGCAGATATTACATTTAAAAGAAATCTTTTTTTTTTTGTGATACGAAAAACCTAATTCCTTGAAATAATTTTTTTTTATCTTTATGTTCGGAGAACTGAAGAACGGATATTCATATCACAATCGCTATAAACAATTTTAAAAGGTGTCTGAGGCCCACATCTTTAAAGATTTCGGAAAATTATAATTGAAATTTTGTTATGCCTGTTAATACCTATCGTAATGTAGAACAAATTTTTAAAATCGGACCATTCTTTAAAGAGTTATGAGCAAATTAGAATTCAAGCAGTGCAAGCAGTCGCTTTGCTGCATGCATATCTTCATCGCACTTCCTTTAGCTGAGTATCTGATAGTGGAAATAGTCGACTATAGCGTTTTCTCTTATTTTTTGGAAAAATATAATGTTTAAGGGTCTTATAGTTTTACTTGTCATATTGATAACTTCTCATAGTTAAAAGACTAATAAAAATTGTTAGTGACTAATAACGATTACCCTTTGTAAAATTTTCTCATTCGGTTTTCTTGTGTATATTAAGAACCGGGTTATTTAGAGAAATGCTGATGAAAAATATATAATCTTCCAATAGATCAATACAGTCACAGAACTTTGCATTTTTGAAAAGAATTTATTAGGAATGAACAAGATAATCCTTGCGGAATTAGTAGGAGATGCCGGTGTGGTCACGGATCCATCCCAGGTAGTCGGAGACGCGGGTGCCTCCAGAGGGACCGCTGTGGCAATCAGCAGAGCCGAAGGTGATCACTCCCACGAGACGGGCATTGTCGTGGGTAACCAGAGGACCGCCGGAGTCTCCTCCGCAGGTGCCCTTGCTGTCGGTGTTGCGGACGCACATGTCAGTGCTGGCCACCGATCCGTAGTACTGCTCGCACTCGCTGTTGCCGATGATCTGGACGTCAGCGCACTGCAGCCATTCGGCCAGGTTTCCGTCGTCCATACCGCCCCATCCGCAGGCCACGACCCAGGTGTTCTGGAAGCGATCGTTCTGCTCGTTCATGCTGGGCAGGGCAACCTTGTTGATCAGGCCGGTGAAGTCGACGTGGGGAGTGCGGATCAGACCGATGTCGGTGCCGCCACGGTTGGGCCAGTCGGGATGGCTGATGAAGTTGTCGCGACGGACGGTCTGCCTGTAGGCTCCGTTCCAGCCCCAGTTGGATCCGTAGTGGATCACCACGTAGTCGGTGGTCAGGCAATGGGCGGCGGTCAGGATCCAGTCGTTGGCAATGATGGAACCAGCACCAACGGCACCACTGTTGCTTCCATCGTTCATGAGGAACAGACCCACAATGTAGGGGGCCTTGCCCTCGGGAGCTGGGTAGCCGTTGACGATGCGACCCTCGGGAATCTCGGTGAAGGTCACCTGGCGCAGCAGGCTGGTGCGGTTAAGGCGGGCCGGGGTGCCGGACACCAAGGCCAGGGCCACGGAGAGAGTTAGCAGGAACAGTTTCATGGCTGACAAAAAACTGAATATTCGTACTAAGACGTCGGACTTTTATACGATTCGGCGGGCCCCCTGTAAAGTGTCTGCGAGTGCACCTTATCGCTATCACTTTCGACAGTCCACTTTGATTGATTCCAGAGTTGGCTATCAACTCAATGACCCTTCTGGCCAATAATCAGCATATTCACTAATGAAATTTTGAATTCACACTCTTAATCTGTCATGAATGAAACCCTGAGTGTTTGTATACAGTGGAAAAATCTTTTGATATGTATTTTTATACTCCGGAAATTAATTTTAGCAGGGGGGTAGGCAGGGGCGTAGGCACCCTGAAAGCCTATGCAAACTATGGTTTTCAGAATTATGCTACACAATATATGTACTCAACAATTTTTTGGGGAGATCTATAAGAATAGTTTGCTGTGGTCATATACAAATTCAACAGCCATTGCTTCGTTGTCATGTTAAAAATTGAGTATATTTACATTGCATCGGTTTCTCGCTTTCATAGGAGAAAATGTTACATTAAGGTTTATTGCTTGGGGTAATTAGTTTTTTAAATCTGGAGAATGATCAGTTTTCTCGATACTTAATGGGTGGTGTCATTAGCTAAGATATGGAACGGTAATATAATAAAGGAAGCTATGAATATTTTGCATTATATTTATAATTCCTATGTATTAAATTGTTTCGAATTTATATTATTTCAATAAAGACAAATAAGTAAATTTGTTTTCGGACTTCTTGTGCTTTTTCCAAATCGGATCATTCGATTTTATAGCTGTAATACTTTGCATAGTCAATCTAGGCATTGTAATCGCTTAGTATTCAAGTTATTAACCTAGAATGGTCCTAACCAATTTTTTTTATTGATTAAACAAACTTTCCAAAATTAGTTCATTTTTACAGCTGCAAGGGTATAACAACATAAATATTTTTAGGTAACTTACCTATGATTCCTTAAAAGATCATGAAGTAAAATCGAAAATTTGTATTCAAGCATTTAAGTTGTCCTTCACAAAAACAGCTAAACATTAATTTTTTGCAGCTTTCAGAGTGATTATATATTTATATAGATAGGTACATTTACATTGCAATATATCTGAATATATAGGTTGGATGTAGAATTCATTTCAATTTAGCCATGGTCCAGTTTCCAAGTTAGTAGTAGGCTATTCCCGACTTTTCGCGGATCCAGTCCAAGTGATCGGAGACACGGGTGTAGCCCGAGGGTCCACTCTTGCAGCCGCTGGAAGCGAACGTGATGACGCCCACTTGGATGGGGTTGTCGTGTGTGACCAGTGCGCCGCCAGAGTCGCCGCCGCACACGGATTTTCCATCGGTGGCCCGGGTGCACATATCCGTGGCGGCCACCGATCCGTAGGACCTGGCACATTCGCTGTTGCTAATGACCTGCACGTCCATGCACTGCAGCCAGTCGGCCAGCCTTCCATTGGCCATTCCTCCCCAGCCGCAGGCCACGCACCACCAGTTCTCGAATCGCTCTCCTTGCTGGCTGAACTTGGGCAGGGAGACCTTGTTGATCAGGTTGGTGAAGCCCACGTAGGGAGTGCGGATGAGTCCGATGTCATGGCCAGCACTGTTTCCGAATCCCGGGTGCCGGAAGAAGTTATCCTTGTTCACCGTGTGCTGGATCTGACCATTCCAGGCTCGATTCGAGCCGTAGTGAATGGTCACCGAGTCGGTGGTCAGGCAGTGGGCGGCGGTCAGGACCCAGGTGTTGCCAATTATGGTTCCTCCGCCCACGGCTCCGTTGTTCATCCGAAGACCCACGGCATAGGGAGCCTTGCCCTCGTAGGCTGGATATCCGTTTACAATGATGTCCTGCGGACCATCGTGATGAGCCGAGCGATTCCTGTGGGCACAAGTGGTAACCACAAAGAGTAACAACAACAGAAGCTTCACGGTCATGTTGGAAATTGAACGCCGTTTGGTGTTGGTTCTGGGTTTTATTGAAAAAATTCTACCGATTTTACTGGGGGTAATTACTTTCGCAACTCTGGAGAGTCATCAGAGCTATCGAAACCTAATGAGTGTCGTAATTAGCTAAGATATTCTTGTAATGGGTAATACGAAGAAGTAAGGAAATACTTTTTGGTTTCCAAATCTAGTATGTAAAAATTTACGTAAGTCGTTTAGGGGTAACAAAATAGGTACTATATTATATTATTAAGTATATAATATCTTTTTAATTAATACATTAATATTACGTATAAAATACTTTCAACTCCCTAATCTAATTTTTCAAAATATACATAAGTCGTTTAGGAATATTACGAAATATTTCTTTATATCGGCATAGATATAAAAATTATAGAAATTAACAGAACTAATTACTTAAGAAATTGTTTTCATTAAATCATCAATAATGGAGTCCCACAAAATCTCTTAAACTTAATACTTCCGTACTGCCTATCTTGAATCTATAAATAATAAATATTCCCCTTCCTTTACAGATGCAACGTGGCCGTGATGCTGCTCACGGACATTGTGGTGGACGGAATTCCTGGGATCGACTGGACGCTGCACCTGCCGCTGATGCTGCACATCCTATTCCTCGGACTGGACCACACGCGCATCATTGTGCGGGAGCACTGCAAGCAGCTGTGCGTCAACCTGCTCATCGTGCTGGCCGAGCACAACGATCACCTGACGGTGGCCCGCATCCTGCTGAACAGCGAGACGAGTAAACTGGATCTGGGACTCACGGTTCCCGCTCTGCCGGTGATTGATAACAATTTCACGGAGCTGCACCAGCAATTCGATAGCTATCTGCTGCACGTCAGTCCCCAGGCGGCGGCCTATGCCCTGCAGCACAATCTCTCCAGCTCCACGATCATAGCGGCGCATCAGCAGAATCTCTCGCAGACGCCGCAGCAGAATCAGCAGCAAGCGGGCTCGCAGAACGGGCAGAATACCACGCCGCCTGGTTTGACCACCACGCCGGCTGCCCTGCAAATAAATCCGAATAATTCGGAGAACTCGGAGGTGCCGCTGATCCATCCGGACGAGCATGCTCCTCCGCAGCCAGGACCCAGTATGCCCATTGCCCATGTGATCAAGAGCCTGTTGAAGTTCCTCGCCCAGGACACCTGCCAGCCGCTTTGGAACTACGAGGATATTACGGCCAAAGTGTGGGCGGTAAAATCCGCGGAGCAACTGAGCTGCTTCCTCAAGCACATGGTCAAGGTTTTCGCAGATAGCTATCCACAGGCTCGCATCGCCGAGCGCTGGGCACAGACTGCTCTTCAGTTGGGCCTCTCCTGCTCATCCCGCCACTACGCAGGACGCTGCCTGCAGATCTTCCGGGCTTTGAATGTGCCCATTAACTCGAGGATGCTGTCGGATATCCTCTCCCGCCTGGTGGAAACGGTGGCCGAGCAGGGCGAGGATATGCAGGGATATGTCACGGAACTGCTGCTCACTCTGGAGGCGGCTGTCGATAGCTTGGACTCGGACTTCCGGCCGCTCGACGTGATGAAGGATATCTTCAAGAGTACGCCCAATCTGAACAACAAGGACGGGGGACCCAACTCGATTTTGCCCGGCAAGAAGTCGCCTTCGGGCATGACGCCGCAGTCCTCGAACTACTCGATACCCAGTCACGGGAGGAGCACCAGCTACTCGGTTTCGTATTGCGGTCGGAAGGCCAATAACTCGCCGTGCGACAAGCAGGTGGAGCTAAGGAATCGATCCTCGGGCATCGATCTGGAACGGAGTGTCGTCTGCAAGTTCGGCGTGGGCAGTGGTGGCGTGCTGGGAGCTGGATCTGCGCTCTCCCGTTCCCGCAGCGCCCAGAGCCTCAAGATGCTGGGCGATACGGCCACGCAGGACGACAAGATGACCATCTTGGCGCAGCTCTTTTGGCTCTCCGTTTCCCTTCTGGAATCGGACTACGAGCACGAGTTCATGCTGGCGCTACGCCTGCTGACCAGGGTGCTGCATCGCCTGCCACTGGATCGTCCGGATGCACGGGACAAGGTGGAGAAGCTGCAGCAGCAGCTCAAGTGGACGGCTTATCCGGGTGTGCATGCGTTGCTCTTGAAGGTGAGTCTTTGTTTTAACTAAAATGTCTTCAAAACAAGAAAGAACGGTATAGTGGGGTGACCCGACTCATTAAACTTTAATCAGGTATAACTTTTTAACGAATGGTCCGATTTGAAAAATTTCTTCTACATTTCGATAGGTATAAATAAACGCAACAAGATTGCATTTATACCTTTCCGAAATTTTTAATCATGTGGGCACTTAAAATCGTTTGTGAGCGATTGTTGGCGTTAGAGGGGGCGTGGCGCCCAGCTGAAATAAGCTTGCGCTGCTTAGGAAGCCCAAGAATATGAGTGGGAAATCTCAACCTTCTAGCTTTTGTAGTTTCCGAGATCTTAGCGTTCATACGGGCAAACAGACAGGCAGACGGACAGACGGACATGGCTATACCGATTTGGCTAGTGACCCTGATCAAGAAATGCTTCCTTCTCCCTGTTTCATACTTTTGCACGAATACAATATACCCTTTTACTCTACGAGAAACGGGTGTAAATATTAATGTTCTTTGGTTCTCCTTTTTTTTAGGGCTGCACCCACAGTGCCACCTATGAACCCACCATCACCCTGCTCTCCCAGTTCGCCCCCCTGCTGACCCTGCCCGTCTGTGATCCCACCCAGAGCTGCGCCTTCCCCATGAACGTCATCGCCCTGCTGCCCTACATGCTGCTGCACTACGAGGACGCCAATGAGATCTGCATTCGCAGTGCGGAGAACATAGCCCAGGTGTCCACGGAGCTCGGGGCTAAACTGGAGAACCTGGGCACCGTGATGACGCTCTACAGCCGCAAGACCTTCTGCAAGGAGTCCTTCCAGTGGACCAAGTGTGTGGTCAAGTATCTGCACGACACCTATGCCCACATGGGCCTCCATATGGTGGCCTTCCTCATCGAGGTCCTGGAGAAGGGACCCCAGCAGGTGCAGGTGCCGGTGCTGAATGTGATCCACTGCATGCTGCACTACGTGGATCTGTCGGCTCCGCAGGCTCAGACTATCAATGCAGATTTGCTGCGGGCCATTGGAAAGTATCTGGATGTAAGTTCTAGATTAAAGCTATGGGGTTTCCCCAAGCAAGTGCGTACAAAAAGTTATCTTAGAAAAAATAAACTCTTCCTCAAAGCACTCTGCTCATATATCAGCCAAACAAACGATAAGAAAATTTATTTTTTTGTTTATTATAATTATTTTATTAGTTTAGTCACTCCGTCTGTGGCTAAAATCTAATCTAAATAGCCGTCTGTGGCAGCGTTTTCGATTATTGTGGTAGACCATAAAAGAAATCTTAGGAAAGATAACTTGGTCAAATCAGTTACTTTTATTTATTGTTAATGGAAAGCAAATAGGAATTTTATGTTGATAATAAATTTATTTTATTGTAACATTTTTACAACTAGGGCTATAGTTACTTTTATTTATTGCAACATTTATGTTAATGGATTATAAATAGACATATTACGATGATAATAAATTTAGTTTTTAAATTATATGTAATTAGATAAAAATATCTGTCTATTTTTCGACGGTAAACTGGATCATAAATAGACATTTTATGATGATAGCACTTTTTTTTATTGTACCATTACATAAATTAGGGCTAAATATCTCTCTATCTTTAGATGGTAAACAGGATTATAAATAGACATTTTATGATGATAATAGATTTTTTTTATTGTACCATTGTACCATTACATAAATTAGGGCTATATAGACTTTTAGTTAGATTTAATTAAATAAACATTTAAAAAATAAATTAAGGGGTTATATACCTTTTTTTTTTCAAAAAAACGAAATTTTTTTTTTTGCTGAATCTTAAAGTATATCCCCTAGAGAACATCTTCCCAAATTTTCATACAAATCCGAATAATAGTTCGATAGGAAAACAGCGTTTTGACGCGCTCGACTTCAATAGTTGCAACGTCAACGTAAAACTTTGAATGCGATTATCTCAAAGTCGTGTTTTTCCAAAAGTGCCTTCGCTGTGACCACGATTGCGCAAGAACTATTTGATCGATCTTCTTCAATTTTTTTTTAAATTATTCGTAATGATTGTGCCGAGTTCGTGAACGATTCAGTTTTTATGCGCCAATTTTAATTTCGCAGATCAGAATTTTTTAATAAAATTTTTAGAACTTGAAAAATCAACTTTGTGGAAAAATTGTTACTGTATGCAGAGAAATGCAGGAAATATTCTTAAAAGTAATCGTTCACGAACAGGAAATAATACTATACTAACTAAAAATTTTTGGTTTTTTGATATCAGTTGACCTGCTGGACTTCCATCGTGGTCACCGCAAGCCGCTATAAAAAAAAAAGGGTTCCGAAAGATTTGCCATAACTTCGTAAATTATTCATATTTTTTCAAGAACAAAGGCTTGTTGTTTCGATAAAAACATGTACTATCAATAAATAATAACTTCACTGTCATAAAATAATTGCTACACACAAAAAAAAAAATCCAAAGTTCCCTCAATTTTTTCGCTCAAAAAAGGTATATAACCCCTTAAATAACTCTCTTTTTTCAGACCGTAAACTGGAAGGACTCACTAAAGATTCTGAAGCTGATCGTGACCAGGAGCTCATCCCTGCAGGTGGTGCCACCCAGCGACGGCAGCAGCGCCGGCTTATCGTTCTCTTTCTATGGCGCATATCCGGACTCGGATATGTTCTGTAAAAAGGAACTGGCCGGTCGCACCATGGAGTTCACCTTCGATGTCTCACAGACGCCTCTGATCGGTCGTCGTATCCTGCTGAAGACGGAGGAGCCGGTGGCCACGGGAGCAGCCTCCACCACGGGCAGCTCCTCGTTGAATTCCACTTTGACGAATGCCACCACGGTGACGGTGGCACCAAGTGCTGTGCAACAGCAGACGAATGCGCAGCTGCAACAGCAGCGGACCCACACGAATGTGGCGGCCATGGCAGCCGCAGCAGCGGCGCAGCATCAGCAGCAGCAACATGCCATTGGAGCGGGCAGCAGCGTGGTGGGAACTCCCAATTCTCCGCGACGCAGTGCCAGTCTTTCGCCGGCGGATACGGTGCCGCTGAGCGGATGGAAGCGACCCTGGATGTCGCAGTGTCGCGTGCGTGAGTGCCTGGTCAATCTGCTGACCACCTGTGGGCAGCGGGTCGGACTGCCCAAGTCGCCATCGGTAAGTGAGCCTCTCCAGGATCGTCCCAGCCGGCCGCTTGTACATAGCCAGGTGCATGCCTTAGGCTCCCCTAGAGCAGCTCCCCTCTTCTCATGCATTTTTGCAATTATTTACCTCTAACTCTTTTTCTTTCATGTATACAATACCAAAAAACCAAAATACCAATACCAAATCCAATATCAATACCAAAACCAACCAAAAACTAACACGCATTATCATCATTAACCAATCAATCCGATACCAAAATCGAAACATATCTAGGACGATTTCATAAACTCAATTTGCTCAAAGGTAAAGGACACGTTTCTATGTGCTGCGTCTAGTTTGGCTTTTGTGTGATTTAGGTTCTCGCATGTAGTAGCTTTTTAAAGATATTTTTTAACAAAATTACTTAAAATATTTACTAAGTTACATGATTTGTTAACGTCAAATAGAAATTTAATCTGAAAAATATTTATGATCATCATTTTTTTGTTGGCCTGTGTTCCATTCCACACATTCCAGTCACACAAAAATACCGCCATTTGCTTTCCTATTCCGTTGTTCCGTTTGCATGTTGCATGTTTTGTTTCAACTGTACTTTTCGTTTATACTCTTAAATGCAAACACATTTAGTCGTTGAGCACGTCACTACTAACCGGATCGATTGCGACCAGACAAAGCGTAAGCTTTATCTCTATTACTCTTCTACATATATATTTATCATCTGAATGTTTATCCTTAGTTATTTTGTGAATATAACTAATCTTCTTACCTGTACGTATAGGTGATCTTCAGTCAGTCTTCGGATCTAATGGAGCGCCAGTCCTCGGCCGCTTCTTCCACGGAAGAGACCTCAGGTCCTCAGGGCGACCTGAGCAGTGGCTCGAGGCGCGACGATGGTCAGCCCGATTTCACCGTCTTCAAGGACTTTGATTTCCTGGAGTACGAGGACAGTATTGCTGGCGAGTCCACGGACAACTTCAACTGGGGAGTTCGTCGCCATCAGCTCTTCGAGGGCGATGAGGATCGTTTGAATTGCGGCAGTGGCATCGGTGGCTCCAGCAAGGGAGGACACTCATCTGCCCTGGAGGACAGCTTCAGTGATAAGACGCCCATTTTGAGCAAGAGGAAACGGCAGATTGCGGACGATTCATCCGATGAGGAGGCTGAATCCGAGTCGCCCTTGGACGAGGATCACCGCCAGTCGTTCCTGAAGTCGGGCTACAGTGCCGTGCCGCCCACTTCGCTGAGTCTGCGGGAGCGAAGGCGTCGCAACTCGGTGTCGCGCAGCGATACCAGTGGATCCAGTGCTGGAGACTTGGGTGATCTTACGCCCTGCAATGCTTCGCCTCACCTGCCCGGCATCATTCGCTTTGCCGCCATTCGCGACGAGGCGGAGGAGAACTGGCGTCGCCAGTTGCAGGCCATGCTGGTCAATCAGCCCTCGGCCCACACCTCGGAACTATTGCAGCAGCTCTTCCGGCTGATCAAGGAGCTCACCTTCAAGACCATCAACATTTCCAAGGAGGCCAAGAAGTTCTTCACAGGCATTGGTTCACAGCTGGGCAATAGGATCTCCCTGTTCACGGATCTTCTGAGTTCTCGGGCGGATCCGCCGCAGGTTTGGTGCAGCGAACTGCAGGCCACGACTCCCAAGCTCTTTGAGACGCTGCGTTTTAATGTGCTGGAGGTGCAGGAGCATCTGGAGACCTTCTTCGATCGCAAGGACCAGGTTTTAGAGGTAGAGTAAAATATCATTAAAAAGAATGGGAGTTATTTCACTAAATTTATTTCTTTTTAGTGCCTGGATGCTGTGAAGACCAGTTGTAAACTGTCGCTCTTCAACGAGGCGGATGTGGCTGCTTCTGGCCTGGAGCTGCCCAGCTCCTCCAGCGTGGCCTACATGCCCTTCGATCCTGCCTCCACTGAGGTGGTCCTCGACCTGGGCCGCTCTCTCTACAAGCTGATGTTCCAGCTGCTGCTGCTTATCGAATCGAATCACAAGATATCCTCGAATGTGGTGAATCATTTCCGTATCAACGAAGACGTGAGTGAAGAGATTTTTAGTTTAAATCAGTTATTATAATTTATATTTAATTTATTTACTGCAGATGCATGACATATCCGATCTCTATGCCCTGGTTCGCGATGCCCTGGTGCGCTACACCAGCGAGGCTGAACTGGATTGCCTGGAGTCCTCCACCTCAACGGAGGGCGAGCACACGCCCACGCCTTCACCTGGTTTGCCGATGACCCACGAGGAGTTTGAGGCCGCCCTCGCCGAGCACATCGATCTGCAGAGATGGCCCAGCGCCATAGCCCATGTGCGTCAGTATCGACGGATCTCCACGCTCAACGCCAGCGGCGATCAAAACCTGACCGTATTCAGCTACAGCAGCCTGGACAATCGCCAGAAATGGGATGAGATGTCGGTGATACTGAATGCATATGCGCATGGTATCATGAAGGATCGCACAGGTATATTATAATAGTGCTTTTTAATTTAAAGATAATTAATCCAAAAATGTCTCACCCCTTCAGCAGAAGCCTTCATTGTATCCAAATCGGACTCGGAACTGTTCGAGATCTATGCCATTCTCTCGGAGAACTTGTATCATGTATCCAGCGCCCTGACCAACATGGAGATCAGCATGAAGAGCTACTCGGCGGGCGGCGCATCGGGCAATCTGCATCGCAGCGAACAGGACATTGTGACAAATCTTTAAAGTAATCCGTAGACTAAGCGAAACGCAGAGTTAAGATCCCTTTTATATGTAATCTTTTAGAGTATCTAAGCTGCATTCTAGACACTGCTGTGTGTACGTAAGCGATCATTATTATTGAGTGCGAAAACAAATGTGAGTTAGATACGATCCAATATATTTATCAATTACAGCACAATAATCAGAAATAGCTGTCTGACTGCCTTTTTTTGTTGTGGTAAACCACTGACTGACTGTTGGTAAAACAACAATATTTATTAATAAGTATTTACATGCAATGAAGCCATTCAGAGGTCCGCGTTAAACCAAAAGAAATTCAAAACGATCCAGGAAAATGGTGACTGGCTGCCAGCTAGGCAAAAAGATTTTTAAGCGCATTTCGTTGCTGTCGGTTGTACTGGGCCAGGAGCTGCTTGGTGCTGTTCAGTTCGTTCAGGATCTGTTTGTTCTCGGGCAGCAGATTGTGGGCCTTCTTCAGATCGTTGATGGCCTCCTCGTAGTTGCGCAGACCACGCTGCGCCTGGCCACGCCGGTAGAAGGCTTTGCTGCACTTGGGATCCAGTCGAATGGCCTCGGTGCAATCGTTCCTGGCACTCGCGTAGTTGCCCAGTTTCAGGTCGACGGCGGCCGAGTTAATGTTGTTCACCACCGAGAAGCCGTCGATCTTCAACAGGTCCGTGTCGACCAGGTGCTTTTTGAAGGGGTTAAGCTGCTGCCAGCCAAACTGTTTGCTAAGGTAATGATAGTAGCGATTGGCCTTGCGATATTTGGCGCGGGCCTCGTGATAGCGGCCGAGACTGTAGAAGTGATTGCCCGATTGGCGAATGACCGTGAGCAGCTCCACCGCCGCATCAGCCTGTAGTGTTAGTAGTGGATAGTAAAATTGGGTCAGTAGTGCAGCTCTGATAGAAACTCTTATCTGGACTCACTGTGAACTTGTCGAACTTGCGCGTCCAGTCCATCGGATAGGCGGGCAACTTGTCCGCCGTCTCGTCGCTGCACTCGAGGCCCCAATCCTCGCCAGAAGCTATCTCGCCGCAGTCCCGTATCACGATCTCCGCCGTGGGATCGCCCTCGTCATTGCAGTTTTGTTCCATTTCAGCCACAATGCCCAGGCCGCGTAGGACACGGCCCACGACCACGTTGGTTCCATTCAGATTCTCACAGCCCACGGCCGAGATGAAGAACTGTGAATTGGTGGAGTTGGGCTTGCCGTAGTTGGCCATGCTGACTACGCCCTCTTCGTTGTGCTGGGGATAGATTAGCGGTTATAAAATGGGGTACAAAATAAGGTATATTTATAATCTGTAGATTTTCAAACACTTGAGAGGTCTAACAGACCATCTACTTCAGACTTTTTGAAGTAGTGCCGATCAAGTGCCGATTTCTCCGCCTGTTTAATTCAAAGGAAGCTTTAGGGCCGTTTTCTCGACAGTTTGTTAAATTTAAAGTAAGGAATAAAATCGTACGGAATATAAGATTTTTTAAACCTACTTTAAATTTAACAAATGGACCAGAAAACGGCCCTTAAAGGTTTAAAATCTCTATAGATTTTAAGAACTGTGATTTGCCATACGATTTCAAGGTTAAAACCTTACTTTAAATTTAACAAATGGACGAGAAAACGGCCCTTAATGGTTTAAAATCTTTATAGATTTTATAGAACTCTGATTTGCTATACGATTTCAAGGTTTTAACCCTACTTTAAATTTAACAAATGGACGAGAGCCCTTAATGATTTAAAATCTCTATAGATTTTATAGAACTCTGATTTGCCATACGATTTCAAGGTTAAAACCTTGCTTTAAATTTAACAAACGGACGAGAAAACGGCCCTTAATGGTTTAAAATCTCTATAGATTTTATAGAACTCTTATTTGTCATACGATTTCAAGGTTTTAACCTTACTTTAAATTTAACAAATGGAGCAGAAAACGGCCCTTAATGGTTTAAAATCTCTATAGATTACTGGTGTCCCTGGATAAAAGTAAACCCACTGTGAGTTCAAAGTTCTCATCCTCGAATACTGGACCGTAGATGCTCTCGCCGCTGGATCCGTCGTTCTTGACCACATCCCCGCTCTGGACGGCGAAGACGCGCTTGACCTTGTGGAAGCGGGTTCCCTTGTAGTGGAGCGGTTTGCCCATGGTACCAATGCCACATTCGCCCGTGCAGAGGGCGCGGAAATTTTCCGCTGTCCTCGGCACAACATCCTTGCGCAGTTCAATTATCATGCGACCCGCTGCGAGATTGATACATATATATGAGTAGAAGATTCAACTGGTTGGCATGGCAATGGCCTCAATCTCGGGCAGAATCCACTCACCATCCTCCTTGCCAATGGAAATGTCCAGGTAGACCAGCGGATTGGAGGTTTTCACCGGCCGGAGCAGCTTGCGTTCGTCCATTTCTGCCCTTTCAGGGCGGGCTCTCAGTTACGTGACTTGTCACTGCCCGCCAACTGGACCAGGCTGTTCCAAATTATCACCCGATTTCTAACTTGCGAATAAAATTGTTTACCTTATTTTAGTAGTGTGGCTGTGGGAGGGAAATCGCAAAACACCTGCTGCTGGTGGCGCCTCATAGCCTCTGCACACCATTTACACAGTGAAAAAACTGTGAATTAATTGCAAATATATTAAGTAACAACAATTAAATTAAAATTTATTTGAGACTTGTGCCGAACTTTTTCGTCTTTTTCAAACGCAATTAGGTTTTACGAATTTTGGTCGCTGTTGCAGAATCGCCCTCTGTGTAAAAATACTTTTACAGCAGTCAAATGTATGTAAATTTGATTATGTAAAATGTACATTTCAGATATCTTCTACATTTCATGTAGAAACCATGTATTTTAGTTGATGTCTCGAATAAATGAAGAAAAAATCAAAATAACGGACCAGTTTTTTCAAAATAGACCGGAAAAAGTAATGGTTTTGCCCTTTATCTCTAGTGCTAATTTCTGTAAAATAAATTCGTAATAAAGTTCCAAATGGATTGTCGTTAAATGAATAAATCTTTAAATTTCAACCATTAAAAAAAATTGCATAATAATTTTTATACAAAATTAGAGCTAATAGAGCAAACAGCCCTTCGCTTTGCTGAAGTACTCTCATTACCTAAATGACGTCGAAAAAACATTCAGAAAAATTGTTTTTTTGCAAAAATTATTGTCCTTGTTTTAAAAACCATAAAAAATGGTTATTTTGTCCGGAACAATACATAAAATGGGCAGAATATTGAATGCCACGTCGCGCTTGGATTTCGACCATTCTTTGATAAAAATCGTGATAACCCCTTATAAAAAAAAAAAAAAAAAAAAATTGGAAAGAAAATGTATCTTTTTAAATTTACCCGAAACTTCTGTGGATCGTTAGCATGGGTTATTAGCTGGACAAAACAGAGGTTCTTATTGCTGAGGAACTCTTCCCTTACTTACGTCAAAAAAACACTTAGCAAAATTCTCGTTAAAAAAAAAAAACTTTTGACGATTCTATTTTTAATTTTACTTAAATAATTTGTTATTAACTCTTAATAAAAGTTCGGATATAATTAATGTTGGTCATTTAAATAGTGATGAAATATGAGTCTTTCAGAATAAAATGAATTTATCTTTGATTTATATCTTTGATTTGGTTTTAAGCGTTAATTTTTGAAATATCTTGCCTAGTTTGACTTTTAAAGAGTATTAAAAATCCGAAGACACTAAAAACTCATGATAATAAAACCATTTATAACTAAAGTCAAGGGGATGCTTCCCTTTTCCAGCTATTGCTGGCACTCTTCCCTATGAAGTCTGACTTCAATTTCATTATTGGGCTTTTTTGTGACTTTGGTAGCTATACACCTTCGATGAGTTTTAAATTTTTAATGATTTTAAGACACGCCCATCCAATTTAGGTAATTATTTGTGTCCTCTGTCGAGTTGCACAATAACCAGAGCTTATAGCAAATTATTCCATAGGAACCATATAATTTGTGGCCACTAATTGAGACAAGAAAGCCATTGCAAAAGCCATAAAAGCCTAGGATACGGGTTGTCTTTAAACAGTCTTAAAACCAACTATACGGAATGCAGGACCAACTGGATCAGGAGCTCGAGCGCATCGATAAGTTGCCCAAATTGGGGCTTCTGTGGGTGGAGTACAGTGCCTACGCGCTGGGCGTTAATATTGCACCCAGGAAGCGCAGTTCCCAATACTGTCGATTGTAAGGAGTTCCCTATATTATAGAAATTTATTTAATAGATATTTTAACACAGAACACGCATAGTGGTCTTGGTTGTTAACCTGAGTATCATATACAGCCTCGTCGCTTTCATTATGGAAAACTACACGATCTCTTTTGAGACCTACGTTGAGGTTTGCATGGGCTTTATTCTTTTGGGTTTTTCTTTAATTAATCTATGTTCTATTAGGCTGTTTTACTCACCTTTCAACTGAGCGTTGGTGTGGTCAAGATGTTTCACTTTCAGAGTAAGGTAGAATCTTGTTCAAAATTGGTGTTTTCTACAGAGACAGGACAAGTCCTAAAGTCCCTCGGACTCTTTGATTTGGGTAAGTCATTAACATCCTTAATGATTTTTAATTTATCCTAAAAAATATACCCCAGATTTGCCGAAGAAAAAGGAGCTTCTGAGATCAGTGAGCTTGATCTTGCTTGACAATTGGTTGATAATCGATCGACAGGTCATGTTCTTCTTCAAGATCGTCTGCATGCCTGTGCTTTACTATTGTGTGCGACCCTATTTTCAGTACATTTACGATTGTTATATTGTCAAGGATACCTGTGAAATGACCCTGAGTATGTGAAGTTTTCAATCATTTTGCTTCCTATTTTAACCTTTTTTAACATTTCAGCTTACCCAGCCATTGTTCCATATGTGCAACTAGGAAAGTTCGAATTCCCCTCTTATGTGATTCGCTTCTTTCTACTGCAATCTGGTCCTCTTTGGTGCTTTTTTGGTGGGTAATTAAAGAAATCAGTTTAATAACTAGTTTTATACGTTTTTCTTATAGCTGTTTTTGGATTCAACAGCCTATTTGTGGTCCTCACTAGATATGAGTCTGGTCTTATAAAAGTTTTACGGTTTCTGGTTCAAAATTCTACTTCGGATATCCTGGTTCCCCAGCATCTGCGAGATAAATATCTTCAATGTTGCGTGAGGCTTTTTGCTCGCATATCAAAGTGAATAGTCGTTACTCTATTTAAAAACCCATTTTAATTACATTTCTTTTAGCCATCATAATCAAATTGAAAACCTCTTCAAGTACATAATCCTGGTTCAATGCTCAGTAAGCAGTATTTTGATCTGCATGCTTCTTTACAAGATCAGCACAGTTTTGGTAGGCTGATTGACTAACTATATGGTTTAAGAATATATTAATTTGAAATTTATTTCATTAGGAAGTTGGCTGGGTGTGGATGGGCATGATAATGGTCTACTTTGTAACCATTGCTCTGGAGATCAGCCTGTACAACGTGAGTGCACAGAAGGTAGAAACCCAGGTGAGTTAAATGAATATTATTATTTGTTCTTTTTAAGGAAACATTTCATATTTTAGAGTGAACTTCTATTCTACGATTGGTACAACTGCAGTTGGTATAATGAGTCCAAGGAATTCAAGTTCATGATCAAAATGATGCTGCTTTTCTCACGTCGAACTTTGGTTTTGAGTGTGGGTGGATTTACAAGTCTCTCCCATAAATTCCTGGTTCAGGTATTGTTTTTAAAATATGTTAAATATTTGATTTAATAGGGTATAACCCATTCCAGGTCTTTCGTCTGAGCGCAAACTTCTTTCTGCTACTCCGCAACATGAACAACAAATAGACCAAGTTTGGTTTTTACAAAATTACAACGTTGGAAAAGTTATATTTTGAGGGGAAACTCTTTAAGCGACTTATACACAAAGATACATGGTAATTGTATTGGCACATTAAACGTAGATGACAAATATGTTAATATATAAGTGTTTAGAATAGGTTTCAGGTGGAGCTACGGCAGAGATAGAGAAATGCGATTGGATTATCGGATTGGAGTACAAGTTCGTTTAGTGTTTAGTGTTTTTTGTTTCTTTTAACATATAATACAGTTCGTTGCTGGCTTGAAACTGGTGAAGCTCAGTTGGCAGTTGATTCTCGATGTGGGCATCCCCGTGTATCATTATGGTATATGGCATACAGTATGCGAACGATGATGCGTTAAAGCTTAACGTTGTCTGGTCACTAAACAGAATATTTCGGCTAAGTCACTAAAATTACATAATTTCATTCAACGGCTACGTTCTATCATAAATCTGATTTGTTCGTCTCGTTCTGATCCTCGTTCTCGAACTTAGTGTTAATTGAAGTAGTTGTTATTGGGGGGCTGGGGGATCTCTGGATCTCTACGGTTCGAGGCGATTGCGACTGAAGCAGTTCTCCGGCAGAGCCTTGGAAATAAGGCCAATATTCTTCACCTCCTCCCTGAGCTCCTTCAGCTCGGCGTCGTACTTGTCGATCAGATTCTTCTGGGATGTTCGCTGCTCCCGGTACTTTTCAATGCGTCCCGTCAGATTGACACGATTGATCTCACCCTCCACAGTGGCCAAACGATTCTCTGAGGGATTGATTAAAAAATATTGTTAAGAAATGTTAGTATTCTAGGAGATACCTGAACTCACCCAATTTATCCAAATCGCCCGTGTTAATGTCCTTCAGGTTCTCCAGCTCATCCTTGATGGCCGTCAGCTCGGCATTGGCCTTTTCGATCTGCTTCTGGGCCTCCTGGGTATCGGCCTTGGCCTGGCCCACCTTTCGCTTGGCATCGTCCACCAGGTTGTCGTCCTTGGTTGAGCTCTCCTCCAGCTTGAATATGTCCATTTCGGTGAGCTTCACCCGGTGATTGAGTTGGTCGGCCTCATCGCGCAGATTGCGGGCAGCCACCTTGGTCTCGTTGGCCTTGCGGCGGATCAGCTCGGCATCCTGTAAGGAAATTTTTCAAAATGAATATATCTAATTTTCAGAATTAGTGAGTAGTAATAAGTACCTTTGAAGCCTGTTCGGCATACTTCAACTGCGCCTCCTGGGCGTTCTTCTTGGCCTCGTTGGCATTCTTGTTGGCTCCGTCCAAGGCCGCCTCCGCCTGGCTGATCAGGCTCTCGGCATTCTGGATATCCTTCTCAATGTTGGGCACGGTCTGCAGTGCCTGGTCGGCGCTCTCCGAAGTGCGCTGGACATCCGACTGGAAGCCGGTCAGCTTGTTGTACGTGTTGTTGGCCTCCTTGAGGGTGTTGTCGCCCTGTTCCACCGCCTTGGTGGCCTTGTCGTGGGCGGCCTTGGCCCGCTCCAATAGCTCGATGTCATCCTGTTGCTGCTCTTCGGCTCTAAAAGATAAGTTGAAGTTAAGTTAATGTAAAGTAATGTTAATGTAATGTTAATGTTAAGTTAGGTTACAGTTAGTTTGAAGTTAGGTTGAAGTAAGGATTAAGTTAGGTTAAAGTTGGATTGACGTTAGGTTGAAGTTAGGTTCAAGTTAGGTTGAAATTAGGTTGAAGTTAGGTTGAAGTTAGGTTGAAGTTAGGTTGCAGTTAGGTTAAAGTTAGGTTAAAGTAAGGTTGAAGTTAGGTTGAAGTTAGGTTAAAGTAAGGTTAAAGTTAGGTTGAAGTTAGGCTACAGTTAGGTTGAAGTTAGGCTACAGTTAGGTTGAAGTTAGGTTGAAGTTAGGTTGAAATTAGGTTGAAGTTAGGTTGAAGTTAGGTTGAGGTTAGGTTGAAGTTAGGTTGAAGTAAGGTTGAAGTAAGGTTGAAGTTAGGTTGAAATAAGGTTGAAGTTAGGTGGAAGTTAGGCTACAGATAGGTTAAAGTTAGGTTAAAGTTAGGCTACAGTTAGGTTGAAGTAAGGTTAAAGTTAGGTGGAAGTTATTCTACAGTTAGGTTGAAGTTAAGTCAAAGTTAAGCTAATCTTAATTTAATCTCTAGTTAAGAAGACCTTTAGGAGCACCCACCTCTTCAACAGCGTTTCCGTGAGTTCCTGCTCCGTTTCGAAATCGGCAAAGAGTTCGCCATTGCTGTTGGACAATTCGTTGATCTGCTTGAGCAGCTCATCGGCTCGCTCGTTGGCCGCCACTGCATCCTTCTTCAGCTGGCTGATATCGATGGCCGGCTGGGTCTGACGGTTGACATCATTCAGCAGGGTCAGAGCGGTTTCGTAGACCTCGTTGGCCTTGCGCAGAGCCTCCTTGGAGGTCTGGACCACGGTGCCCAGCGACTGCTTGACATGGCTCAGCTCCAGGCCCACCTCCGTCTGCAGCTCCGTGCCGATCTTCTCCTGCAGATCGATGGCGCTCTTGGCCAGCTGATGGGCCTTCTCCACGGCGTCCTTGGCATCCTTGGCGTTCTTCAGATCGAACTGGGCCTCCGACTCGAGTTTGTCGGCCAAAGCGCGAGCCTCGCGCGAAATGTCCGAGATCTGTTCGGACTGCTGGCCAAACTCCACGGACTTCTCCCTGGCCTTGGCCAACGCCTGGGCACCCTCGTCGTTGAGCAGATCGAAGGCCTGTTGCAGTTCCTTCTTGGCATTCTCGGTGATCTGGTCGAGGATTGTGTAGTTCTGTCGCGCCCTATCGATCTCCCCGTTGGCATCCGACTGGAACTTATCGGCACTTTGCAGATGCTCCCTTACGCTCTCCAAGTGCTTGTGCAGATCATCGATGACCTCGGCGTAGGTCTGACCACCTTGACCCGAGTTATCGCGAGCATCCTGGGCCAAAACGGCCACCTTCTCCTGCACGGCCTTCAGCTTGGCCTCGAACTCATCGTCATTGGTCACCGGCGTGCGGGCAATCTCATCCAGAGTCTGGCTAAGATTAGATAGCTTCTCGCGGTGCAGATCGGCGGCATCTTGAACTAAGTTATAGCAATCGGGGCAGTCGATGCAGCCGCGATGCCTATCGTACTTGTTCTCCTTGCAGCGATCGCAGCGACGACCCTCGACATTGTCGTTGCAGGGACACTGGCCACTCTGGTCGCACTGGAATCCCTTGGAGCCACTCTCATCGCACTCGCAGGGCTTGCAGCCCTCGCCGGAGAAGCCGTAGAAGTAGTTCTCGCACTGGTCGCACCGCTGACCTGTGACCCCAGGTCTACAGTGGCACTGGCCGGAGTAGCGATCGCAGGTGGCATTGTAGCTGCCCACCGGATCGCACAGGCAGTTCTCGCAGCCATTTCCTGATCGAATATTAAAGTAACCCGGCTGACACTCCCCACAATCCCGGCCAATCACATTCGGTTTGCACTGGCACTGGCCAGTCACCTGGTCGCATCGCGTGATGCTCTGCTCATCCTGCTCGGTTCCTGCCTCGTAGCAGGTGCAACGATCGCAGCGTCCATGTGGCAAAGCCAGGGGATCTCCAAAGTGCCCGGACAAACACTGATCGCAGTGATCACCGCCCGTATTGTGGATGCACTTCAAACACTCGCCCGTCGTCCTGTTGCAATTGCCCACCGCATTCGGGTCCACATTTCCATTGCAGTCGCAGCTCTTGCAGGTCTGAACTTCGCCCAGCAGCCCAGTGGGATCGCCAAAGAAGCCATCGCTACACTGTTCGCATCGAGAACCGAAATAACCCTTTGGACACTCTGTACAAATAACCGTATCCTCGTTGATCTGCAGACAGGCACCGTCATTGGGGCAAGGACACCGCTTGCAGTCGCTGGGAGTTCCACCCAAGGCATTCCCGTAGAATCCCTTGGCGCACTGATCGCAGTTATCCCCGTGAGTGTTGTGCTGGCAGATGCACCTGCCCGTCTCGGAGTCGCAGATGTCGGCGTGGCCATGGCAATCGCAGGGTATGCAGGGCATGAAGGGACCTCCGCGGGCGGGACTGTGCCGATAGCCGGGGGCGCAGGACTCGCAGAACTGACCCAGGTAACCCTCGGGGCAGGTGCACTGCTCGATCCAGGTGGCCGGATGACCGGCTGCCCCGCGATGCGCCGTCTGCAGCTCCACGTCGTCCAGAATGGCCTCGCCCTGCACCGAGTACGTGGCCCTGATCTTGATGGCCGTCAGGTTGGACAGAATCGAGAGGAATCCGCGGGCCGACTGGCTGGGCTGCCACTGGTAGTCGTGGTGTTCGTGCAGCCGGAAGGTGAACTCCTTGACCCCCAGATCGGGCAGTCCATTGCCCTGGGCGAAAATGGGCAGCGAGATACGGCTGCCGGCGCCCTCGAGAATCACATCACTCACTCCCGTATTGGCCACCTGACCCACCAACTGCAGCTTGAACTTCAGATCCCTGTTGTAGGAGGCCCTCTGATCGCCGAGGAAGCGATCGGGCGCCTGGAAGTACACGTGCTCGTTGCCCTGGGCGGTGGTTCCTATGCTCCGACTGTACTGGTTGTACTTGATGTCCACCTCGCGCTGGTTCAAGTCGGCAGCCGTCCAGCGCTCCTTGAACTTGTTAAAGTTCGAGGTCACCGAGACAATCGAGTAGCCCGGTGCCGTCATGCACTCGGAGGTGTGGCCGTAGCAGAAGCAGGGGGTGCAGCCGAATCGGTTCGACTTGTCCAGGTTGAAGAAGCCGGGCTTGCATCTAGGTGGAGAAAGGAGGGGAGATTATAGAGGGTGATTTAAATCAGAAAGTTAACCGGAAGTTAAATTCGTTTTCTCAATGTGCTGTTAGTTTTACGAACGACAAATCGCGTTTTAATGGGAATTTTTAGCTGACAAACCTGAATAGATTAGTCTTTTTTCGGCCGACCAATATAACTAGAATTTAACCTTTAGTTAAGAGTTTTCAGTTGGATAAAACCTAAATTGATATCGAGAAGCTACATTTTTCGGAAACATCCATTTAAATCGATGACAAAAATAAACACTACAAACTATCTGTCGGAGAAAGATAACCTGAAGATAAATTCGTTTTCTCAATGTGCTGTTAGTTTTACGAACGTCAAATGGGAAAATGTGAATTTTTAGCTGACAAACCTGAGTACATCAGTCTTTTTTCGGCCGACCAATATAACTAGAATGTAACCTTTAGTTAAGAGTTTTCAGTTAAATAAAACCTAAGCTAATATTAAGAAGCTAAATTTTTCGGAAACATCCATTTAAATCGATGACAAAAATAAACACTACAAACTATCTGTCGGAGTAAGATAACCTGAAGAAAAACTCGTTTTCTCAATGTGATGTTAGTTTTACGAACGACAAATCTTTAGACGATTTAATGGGAATTTTGGGCTGACCAACCTGTATAGATGTCTTTTTTCGGCCGACCAATATAACTAGAATTTAACCTTTAGTTAAGAGTTTTCAGTTAGATAAACCTAAATTGATACTGAGACAAATCCTTACACGATTTAATGGGATTTTTGAACTGACAAACCTGAATAGATGAGTCTTTTTGTCCTTCGACCAACATAACTAGAACATAACCTTTAGTTAAGAGTTTTCTATTAAATACAACCAAAATTGATAACCAAAATTCGGAAAAATCCATTTAAATCGATGTCAAAACTTAACACTACACAGAGAAACTAAACTTTTACGAAACGACAATTAACTCGATGGCTAAAGTTAACTTGACATTGAGAAATCGGCTCCTAAAGCACTAAATGTGAAGCCAACTCATTACTACTCAGCATTACTACTCACTCATTGCATCGCCTGCCCTCCACGTTGCCCTTGCAGAAGCAGATTCCGGTCTCCGCATCGCAGGCGGGGGTGTTCTCGTGGGAGCCCCGTCCGTCGCATCCGCACTGCTGGCAGCCATGGGGGCCGAACTGATAGTAGTTGTTGTCGCAGCGGTCGCACTTGTCGCCCGTCACTCCCGGCTTGCACTGGCACTTGCCGTGGCTGTTGCACTGCAGCGATCGGGAGCCCACGGGATCGCAGGCGCAGTTCACGCAGTAGCCGTCGTCGCGCATATAGAAGTTCTCCTTGCAGCGCTCGCAGTTGGGACCATCGCGATTCTCGCGGCAGTCCAGGCAGTGACCTCCGTGACCCGTGCGGTTGAAGAGCTGCGCGTCGAAGAAGCACTTGTCCGCCAGTCCATTGCAGTTGCAGGCTACGGAGATACAATATAGTTCAGTGGTCTATCTTTTCCTTTCTTGAATATTATTTATACAATTAATCAGGTACCAATTCGGCACTCCTGGCCCTATAAGATTCGTCTCTAGGCCGTAATCTTTTGACCAGCCCTGAACCAAGGCCAGTGGTAAAAGAAAGACTGCTGGCAAGCAAGGCACAAACATGACTGATGGTCGCCTGTCTTCTTTGCTTCTTTCAACTAACACTGCCTCTAACGGCAAAGTGGTCTGTCCTTATATAGAACGCATCGACGGGAAACTCTGTCCAGCTGATCGAAGAAAACCAGAAAACGCATCTCTCCACTCTGGGAAAACTAGTTTAGAGTCTAGACTTTCAGCTTTGGGACTAATTTCTTAAATTAAATTGTAAAATATTTGTTTCTCACTTGCACCCAAAGAAATATCTATTTGAAACAGGGACCGAAAATATTCATTATTTTGTATTTTTTGAACCTAAAAATCAGTCACTTATAATAGTCGGAAAACCAAATGGAATACACCGATTGGTTACTAATTAGATAACCTTTTCAAATCCGCAATGAACATTTTTTTTTTGGTTTTTAATTGATATTGCTCAGAAATATTCATTATTTTTCAGTTGTATAAATATGTATCAGGAATAATCATTATAATCGTTATTTGTGAGCGATATTATTTTGCTTAAAAATATCCCTCAAAGTAAATAATGATTATATTTGAGATTTTTGGTGGAAACCGTTTTGTTTTTAACATATTGGGTTTCCAAATGAATAAGAATTTTGAAAAAAACATATTTTCGCTCTTGGCTGTTTTCTGTGTAGTAGGTAGCCTAATAAATCCTAAATTACCTAACATTTTTTGGTTCTTAGAAGTTAAATTATTATATTTTTACGAGGAAAGGTCAAGTTTCTTCGATTGTGACCTCCTGTTTTTGAATCTCAATTTCCACCTACCTTTGCATTCGTTCACTTCCGTGGAGGTAGACCTCTTCCACTTGAGGTCGTTGTAGAGCGGCAGGCAGCGATCGCAGTCGGGTCCATCGGTATTGTGACGGCACTCGCAGACCACGGCCCTCTCGCCATGCATTCCGGTGCTGGTGATGCACTTGCTGGCATGTCCGTTGCACTTGCAACGTGCTCCGACCGAAATGTCGGTGATGGCATAGAAGTAGGACTGCAGCACCTGGGGATCTCCGAAGACCTCGTCACCGAAGGTGTTCAGGCGATCCAAAGTGATTCGGATATCGGTGGCCGTGACCCATTCCTGGAGCTCAGCACTGCGCTCGAAATTGATGCCACTGGGACGACCCTCCAGCGTGGAGAAGGCGATCTCTCCGTCCCTCAATGGCGAGATATCACTGTACTCGCTGGTGCAGAAGGCATGAGCCTCACCTTCTCCCTTGCGAATGGCCCGCGAATCGGGCAGGGAGTAGGTGTCGCGACAGGTGGCACTGTAGAACTGGTAGGGAATCCAGGGACCATTCTGCGAGGTCCTCTTGTAGATGGTAAAGGATTCGGGACGAGGCGAGCGGAACAGAATGCTCACATATGTGACATCGTAGGACTTTCCTGGGGTTTTGATAAAATTATAAGATAAATATAGGTCTTCTTTAGCTCATCTATGTAAAAAACTTACCGAAGTGCAAAGTCAGATTCACATAGCTCGGGTGCTGGATGCCCTCGTACATGGTCTCCGATTGCCACCAGGTGGGGATCTCCCCCTTATGCGCATCGGTCAAAAAGGTGGTAGTGTGATCATTACGTCTATTGAAAGGGATTTCAATTATTTATAAAGACGTCTTTGCCATAAAGATGATTTTACTCACCCGCACAGCTCGCAATTCTTATGATTTTGATTCATAGTTTGTACGCAGAAGCGGTTGTCTTTCTGCTCACCGCAGGTATTAGTGGACTCAATAGGTAGTTGATAGGCAGCATTGATAAACTCGGGCAGGCATTTCTAATGGGGAATAATATTTGATTTAATTTGTTGGTCCTTATTTCACAAGTTATCTAAGATATATCAGAAAAAAAAAACAATATATACTATATATATTGTCCTGAAACTAAATAATACAAATTCTATACTCAGTAGTTTTATTTTAATATGAAATATTATAAACTTAATACTTTGTAGTTTCGTTTCCATACCGAAAGTTTCAATTTAATACTTTTGAATTTATTAATTTAATACCCCTCTTATTGATCGAATTTGACTCTCAATAGTGTAGAATTCATGACTATTTTTTTGGGTGTACCTAAACTTATAATAAATTAAGTCCCTAATATGAACTACTTCATTTACTTTGAGACAGCATTCCCATCGTTAATTCCCCTAACTTCCTCTAATTTGTTCCATTCTCCCTTAAAAAAAACTGTCGTTATATTGCTCAATTAGTTTGCATCTCTCACTCGAATTGACCCAACCCAAAAGCAACCGCTAATTCTCAATTCTCTTCAATTGGTTTGTAGACAAACAAAGCGGTTCCGAGTTCCCATTCCCCCCAAATAAGCCCCTTACCTGCGGTCTGCCATATGGATCGTAGCACTCCAGGGCCGGCAAGTAGTTGACATTGCGCAACTCGTGGCCTCCCACGGAGTTGATGGGTGGACGCTGGGCGGCTAGGATAACGGTGGTGCAGCTGGCGATCAGGACTCCGATCAGCAGCAGAGGCGCCGTGGAGGAGCCACTGTGGCTCCACCGGCTGCGCTTCATGGTGGGTTTAGTTGGGGCTTAGCTCTCGGGCTACAGGTGGGTGTCCCTGGGATGTGGACAAGTTCTAAGACTATTTGGTTTTCCGCGTGGTTCCTTGGTCTCTGGTGGTGTCGTCTCTCTTCAATTCATTACGGATCACTTCCTACTGTTGGTGCCTGAGCGACTTCATATGCTGAAAAATGAGATTATGAATGTGATTCAGTTAAGATATTGATTAAAGTCCAGAAAACATGTGTGGCACATATTGTGGCGAAGATTTTTAATTAGTTCGGCCAGCAAATCGGTCGAAAAATAAACTTTACTGCCCGGACAGGCCGGCAATGAGTTCATTTGCTTTTGGGTAAACAAAACGAAAAACGAAAACTGGAAACTGAAAAGGCAAAAGGCAAAAACTGCAAATGAAAATTTCAAACAACAAGCAGCCGTGTGAGCGGAGACATAAATAAACTCTCGAGCATGAGTTCCATGTGTATTTGCTATTCGGGAACTCGAAGTAATTCCATGCGATGATTTCATCTACTCCCCTACTCTCATTCATTCTTATTCTCAATTGCGGCGGCCTTTCAGTAATGAGGATTTTCTTAGTCTCACTACGATTTTATGGACTGCAATAGCTGCAAGGTTGGATTCATTTAGATTTTTCAGATCCCAGATTCATATGTGCCTTTTCTATGAATTCAGTAAATTAGAGGCACTAATTAGCAAATATTTGCTTAGTATTCCGGGGAAGATGATATCACATCCTCTGGAACAGAATGCAATATGAGTTTCGCCTGGGATACAGGAAAATACCAGTTCGCGTGGGTGAGATGCGGAATTTTGAGACAGAAATACTCCTCTGGAATTTCATTCAGTGAACTCAATCTCATTCCTAATTTGAATTTCCAGAAGCGCCGGCTCGTTCTATTCCAAAAAAGATATTCTGGCTGGAAATCACAATGCGGATCAGGGTTTCGTTATTTTTAGTCCACAACCAAGATTAGTTTTTTGTCTAACAATTGTTTGCACATAGATTCTAATTATATTTTTGTTTTATCAATGGCACCCATTTATTTCCTTTCCCGGGATCCCGTTTTCGTTCATTGTCTCGGCTTATCAGCCTTTCGAGTTCTTCACGGATCGAAACTACGAGTATACGAAATCTGTTGTCAGGCCGCCCGACTTTCAGATGAACCCTTTGCGCAGAGTTCAGCCGAGTCCACATAACACTGATACCGATACTGGAACTACACACACACACTATATATGGTCGGAACGAACATCCGCTCCATTCAGATTCGAGATTCCCATATGGAATACATATGTAACATAAGGCTGGGTCTTGAGCTGCGACGAGATACGCGCCTATGAACACGAGTTCCTTTGGCGATAAGAATTTGGGGCTACGCTACGAACTAGCTGATATCACACTCTATATAAAGACTACAGCAGTTTTGATTTTTTAGTTTTTTTCTAGGCTCAAATGCGTTTTTGTTTGCACCTTTTGGCCTGTATCTTTATTGCTTGGTTTGTTTTTATCCACTGGTTCAGCCGCACGCACACTCACAAGCCAGCAGGTAGAGGGAAAAACGGAGGAAAGCACTCAAAAATCACTCAGATACTTTTACGAACTCCGTTTCGTATTCGTATCGTATCTCACGGATGCACACAGGGCGCAGCAACTGCGTTATTTTCGTTTATTTATCGCCTATATTTATATGGTAGATACATTTTCCGCTGCGACTGAATGTAGGAGCACAACACATGGCACTTTTCGACTGTGATTTCCAAAATATTTCCCTACTATTTTTTATTTTATTTAAATAATAGGACTGGTCACTGGGCTTTCGATCGACTGCAGTTATGCACACTTTTCCAGCCCTGTTGCATTTCTGCTGACTGGCGTTTTGAACTGGGGATTGTGTTGCCTCGCTTTCGTGTAATTGTATCGGCACCTCGAAGGCAAGAACCTCACGGGTAAACACTGCGCACACATGCAAGATACTTTTTATCTGAACGGGGCTTTTCTTTGCTTCTTGCTGCCTGGCGAGTAGTAAAATAAAAGGTGACCCGAGAAAACTTGAGACTGCGCTGCGACTGATCTCCGTTCCACCAGATGCACTTACTTCGTCGCTCAGAAGACGCTGGCAACCGCTAACGAGGACGTCCAATGCTCAACTGACTCTCGAGGAATGCGAAGCCAGACGAACCGATCGCTCGATCTGCGCTCGTTGAGTGAAACTCGGCGCTCAGTATCTGTATCTGCTGGTGCTTTGGTATACTGTCGGTTGTATCTGAGACTGTGAGAGAGTACTACTTCTGCCCGGGAGTTGGACTAAACAAAGCTCTCCAGTTGTGGTGATCTTCCTCTTGGAAGTACTGCTGCTTAATTGCCTCTCTCCTCGCAAAACCACATCTTGGTTTTTTTGCTACGAATTCCATTAATTGCTCATTTAGGCGGGCAAATATTTGAACAGTATTCAAAATAATTGCCCCGAGTTCTGCCGTCTCGGATGCTGCGACGGGGTGCTCACTGCTCCACTTTCCGCTCAGTTTGTAGTTATTGGACTTAGCAGGTTATCGCTGGCAGTGCTGATAAGGAGGTTATCGACGTCTTACTTTCGGTTTCATTCAAGAAACATTCAAAATGTAGAATTTAATAGTTTTATAGTTTTTTGATTGCTATATTTTGGATTTATAAATTTAAATAAATTAACTGTTGAAAATAAAAAGAAGAAATATTATTGAAATACAAATAATATTATTTAAACAATGCCTTAGTATCACTAAATTAATTTAAGGAAAGAGCCCCCTTAGAAGGCATCGTCTTATGTCATAGAAATGAAATTGAATAAATATTTTTGTTTTGTTTAACAAAGACCAAAAGCACTTTTTATACCCTTGCAGAGGGTATTATGATTTCAGTCAGAAGTTTGCAACGCAGTGAAGGAGACGTTTCCGACCCCATAAAGTATATATATTCTTGATCAGCATCACAAGACGAGTCGATCTAGCCATGTCCGTCTGTCCGTCTGTCCGTCCGTCTGTCCGTCTGTCCGTCTGTCCGTCTATCCGTCTGTCCGTCTGTCTGTTTCTACGCAAACTAGTCTCTCAGTTTTTGAGCTATCGGGACAAAACTTTCGCAAAAGTCTTCTTTCTATTGCAGGTAGTATATATGTCGGAGCCGACCGGATCGGACAACTATATCTTATAGCTCCCATAGGAACAATCGGAAAAAAAAAACTTTAAAAAAATTCTAGCTTCGGTGTTTTTTGAAATATTACCTTCTACTTTTGGGGATAATATTTTTTAAATATTTCTGAATTTCGAATTAATTATTTAAAAAATCGGACTACTATATCATATAGCTGCCATAGGAACGATCAAAAAATTAATGGAAAAGTAATAGGAAATAAATTCTAGCTTCTTTGGTTTTTATTGTATTATCTTCTACTCTAGGATATGACTCTTTTTAAATATTTCCGAATTTCAATTTTAATTTAATCAAAATCGGACGACTATATCATATAGCTGCCATAGGAACGATCGGAAAATTAATGGAAAAGTAATTGGAAATAAATTCTAGCTTCTTTGGTTTTTATTGTATTATCTTCTACTCTAGGATATGACTCTTTTTAAATATTTCCGAATTTCAATTTTAATTTGATCAAAATCAGACGACTATATCATATAGCTGCCATAGGAACGCTCGGAAAATTAATGAGAAATATTAGAAAATTGAACATTTTTGCGATTTGTTAATTAATAGGAATGATCTGCAAGGGTATATAAGCTTCGGCTGGCCGAAGCTAGCTTCCTTTCTTGTTTTAAAAAGCCCTTATCAATAAAAACTCACCTTAGACGTATTTATTTTTGCTAAGCACGCCGCTTTTTGCAGTGTATAAACAAACAATAACTTCTTTGAATAATAAAATATTTTTTTTAGTGCAATATCGAGTGGTTTATTATAACTTCGTATGGAAATAGACTAATGGATGAAATATCTTATGTTATATAGACCAAGAGATTTGTCAAAATGTCGGAGAAGAAGATTGAAGCCAAGTCGTTAGTGGAGTAGGAAGAATGCTAATTTATTTAGTTAAGATGACAATCTGGCGTTAAAGGCACTTCTTCAGTGGGCTCATCATTACTCCTGCTCCTTCTCGATGTCGATCTTAATTATGTTGACCGCGGGTTCCGGCGAGGTACTTCGCGATTCGGGCAGTCCATTTGGTGGAGCAGCTGCATCCACAATGCACTCATCGCTGCCGGTGGTGCTGATCGTGATGGTGGGTATATTATCCGACCAAATGGAGCTCTGCGAATCCTGTCGCATCGTGCGGCGTCGATGGGAATCGCTGCGTTTGGGAAAGGTAATGGGACCGGCCGTGTCCAGTTCCTCCAGGTCATCGTCCACGGTGGCCGTTGGAGCAGTGCCGCCAGTGGAAGGAACTTTGGGAGGCTTGGGTGGTTTAGTCGGCGGACGAGATGAGGAAGTGCTGCTGCCAAAATGCAGTGGAGCACTGGGAGTCGGAGACTCCGGTTCCGGGGTGGGTGGCATTTCCAGGGCCGTGGAGCTGGACACACTGGACAATACTGAGGGCGGCGGTGGCGGCGTGTAGGCCAAATAGGTGGGCGTCGTCGGACCCGGTGACTCATCCGAGCCAGGCTGCTCCGGTTCGTCCTTCTTGAGATTGACTGCTTCGCGAACCAAGGCCAACAGGTTGCCGATCTTCTTGCGACCCTGTCGAGACAGCACCGACAATTGCCGCTGGTGGTGACCCTGACCCTGACCCTGGTGACCCTGACTGGGCGTGGGCGAGGGCAGACTCCGCTCCTGCTCCTGCTCACCTCCAGATAGCTCGCTGGTCAGGTGCTCCGGGGCTGGAGGGGCAGGCACATCCGAGCTCCTCTCCACACTTCGCTCATCGAACTTGAACACTTCGGGATTATTTGACTTGAATTTGTGCTTGCGGAACTTGAACTTGCCCAAACTTCCACCACCACCACTTTCTTTATTTGTCGGTGAGGGTTTATCTTCCTTCTTTTCATCAACTATGTGGAATTTGGGGGTTACGGGTGTGGATTCCTCGGCATTCGGTTCCACTGACTCAACTGGCATGTTGGGTGTTTGTGGTGTTTCTGGTGATTCCTCAACCTCGCCCTCTTCATCCTTCTGCTCCTTGTGGCGCCTCAGCAAACTGGCGCGGCGTTCGCTGACAATCCTTGAATTCGTATCCGGATCATGTTCGTTGTCCTTGTCCTTGGGCGATTCATAGGGAGGCGGCTGTTGCTGTTGCTGCGGCTGCTTGTGTTTGGTGTCCTTTTTCTCCTTTTCCTTTTCCTTCACGCTGCCCCTGTGTTTCTCCACTTTGAAGCGGCTCTTGGGATGGGTTTCCTTGAGAGGGAAATTCGCCGAGGAGCTAGTCCCGGCCACTATAGAACCAGCCCGTGCCCGCTCCTGTTTGGCAATCTGCACGATGTCCACGAGCGAGGGTTTGCGGGTGCGGCGGATTTGCTGCAATCGCGACAGGCCGAAGCGCTTGTCCTTGGCCTCCTCGTCGTGGGGCAGGGAGTCCTGGTGCTCGGTGTCCGTGTCATCGTCATCCCGCCGCACAAAGGAGTCCTCATCGGAGGTGGCGGATCCCTTGCGCAGCGCCTTCTTCATGATGCGTGAGATTAGCTCTGAAAAACAAATGACTTGTGAACTAAACAAGAGAGAACGCTATAGTCGGATGCCCCGACAATCTGATACAATCTGATGATTAATTTTTTTGTGCCAAAAATTGTCTAGGTTTTGAATTTAATTTAATAACGAGTTCAGAAAGGTATAACAATTCATATTTGGATCCATATGGTTTTGGCCAAAAAACCAATTATTTTTCGGTCAAAAAATTATTTTTTTTTGTGCCAAATATTTTGATCTAGGTTTTTGGTAAAAATATGAATTTTTTTCTTTTCGTTTTTTGGCTGTAACTTGGTTAAAAATGGTCATACACCAAAAATACATACTGTTTTGAACAGTTAACAAAAAAATAAATAAATCCATGACACTTTCCGTGTGATTTTGAAAAAATAAAATTTTTGCCACTTTTCATTATTTTTATAAGGGGGTACATCATCATTTTTTGCGAAAAATGGCAAAAAAATAAAATGTCCAGGTTTAAAAGCCAATCGATTGGAAATTTAATAACGAGTTCAGAAAGGTATGGCAATCCATATTTGGATCTATATTTTCATTGTTTCAGCCAAAAAAACAATTATTTTTCGGTCAAAAAAATAATTTTTTTTGTCCAAAAATTGAATTTAGGTTTTTTTTAAAAAAAAATTTTTTTTTTTTTTTTTTTTTTTTGCTATGTTACATACTTTTGCACTAATACAATCTTTTTACTCTACGAGTAAAGGGTATAAATATCTCTCTCTCTAATCCCTTGGATTCACCTACCTTTGCGGGCCTGATTTTTGTACTCCTCCGTGTCGAAATCGGGCGGTTGGGTGGGTGTAACCGGAGAGCTGGCCTCCAGAACTTTGCGCCACCGATTTGTCAGCGTGGTGGCCGTCGGTTCCGCCTGCTTGACCTCCGGTACCTTGAAGATCTTCTTGCGCTCCTCCTCGCGTTCCTTCTGCAGTTGGGTGCGCAAATCCTGGTTGGCCTCTCGCAAAGCGCCAGTCAGGGAGACCAGATAGTAGATGATGAGGATGAGCAGCAGGAGCAGTGGAATCACAGTGCTCGAGGAGGTCAGATAGTCCAGCGGCTCGTGGAGTTGTCTAACAGAAATTGTATCTTTATACCATATCTTTAAAATTTAGTTTTAACAACATCACTTTGGCAGCGCATTCCTGGTGGTGTTGGTGATAAACTCAGCTATCCTGTTGTACTCCGAAAAGGGACCACAATGCCAGGAAGGACGCAGCCAAACGATCGCATATCCCACGGGCAGGACGCAAAGGAAGAGCATGGTCAGTAGCAGCGATAGGTAGAAGTTGTTCGATTTGGACGCCCTGCAAGGATTCGAGATTACCATATCATCATCAACAGTTGAGTCCCAGGACCACTCACTTGAATACCACCTCGTGCGGCACATTGCAGGTGAGCACTATCCACGAACGGAAGTACATCATGATCATCAATTTGACCAGGTTGATGAGCACCAGGCCCGGCGAGAAGAATATGCCCATCCACACTTGGCCCTGGTTATTAATCAACGTCAGGATGTTCTCGGCTATCTTGAAGTCACCGTACTGTGCGATGAAAAGCGACGAAAACAAAGCCTCGCATTAGTCACCTGTGGCCAAGGAAACACCGAAACCGGATGGAGTGCTCAACTCACCTGGGGAAAGGTCTTCTCCATGTCCCAGCACCAGTTTTGATTGACATACCGCACGAAGAGGGCGCGCAGAAAGTCGATGCACAGCGGCGCCACAATGGACATCAGCTTTTTGGTGGAGATGAGGTTGAGGAAAAGTGGGGTTTAATAAGCGCTTTGTAATGAACTTGGATGGTCCGGATGCTGGCGCTTAAAAGTTGCCACACGTAACCCGGGCTGTGCCCGTCTTGAATCCTAGTTTATGGCTGATTTTGTGGTCCCCAATTCATGCACGAACACGTGCCCCAATCCAAGGTTGAATCGAGATGAAGATACCGGTTGCAAGCCCAAACCGCACATGACCAAACTCAATTCCCCATCGCCAGGGTATTTGGTTATGCGTAAAGCATAAATGCGTTTAAGCCCCGGCCCGTAACTTGCCTAATTTATGTGCTTAAATCGTTTAATAGAGATTATGTACGCCATGTCGGAGGGGGCATAATCAAATCGGGACAGCAGACCCATGTCCTTATTTTTTTTTCGCTCGGGATTTCAGATCCCTAGGCCGACACACAGTTTACACGAATGTCGGACAAATGGTAAGTACGGAATAAAAGGGCAAGTAATCCCCGGATTGAGATGTCTTCTGAAAAATCCCCTACGACCAGTAGGGTTATTGACTTGGCCGGATATCTACACCGTTTCCTCATCTCGCCAACAGTCAAAAGTGTCTCGGCGACCTTGAAAACTTTTGGCCATTCCACCAGTTTGTTTACGATTAGACTGAAAGTTCACAGCCCAATGGGATGCCAATCGACACTCGACGTGGCAAATGGCCAAATAAAAGTTGGCATTCGAGGGCAAAAAGTTCACAATCATGCTTATGGCTTATGTAAATTTCTGACTGGAAATCGAAGAGAGCGCGTAGAAATTCCTTTTCCTTTTCCGGCTACCAGCTGCGTTTCACATCAATGGCAAAGGACTCCCGAGAGCGATTATTATGATAAAATGCCCTGCGTTTTGCTTTTAAGTCAAGTGGATTTTGGTTTTGCTAGACGAGGGCAAAAATTTGATTTTCAAAAAACCCAGGGAAAAAAAACCGAGAAGATAAAAGCGGAAGACAAATTTTGCGTTAAATTTTCCGGACAATTTAGCTAAACGGGCTTTTACGCCCAGCTACTCCCTTTTCGAGTTCAATCATATTTAAGGCTAAATAGATTTTGATACAGAAGCAGTTGCTTCCGAGCTGGAAGCCCAGGGAAATTGATAGCAGCTCATGGTGATAAATTTGCTTTTAAACTGCGGCAACTTTGGCAGTGCTTAGCAGTTGAAGGAGCAGAACTCACCCCGTCGAAAACGATGACTTTGGAGAGCTCCTGGCCCAAGGAGGTCTCCCAGCACATGGTAGTCAGATTGGTTTGTATCTGCTTAATCGCCAGCTGCACTTCCTTCAGTCGCTTCTGCTTCCGCTCTAAAGGAGTGAGTTTCACGGTGGTTAGCTGCTTGGAGTCGCTGCTCAGGGTGGTGCCATCGGGACTTTCGGTGGTGCTACCAAAGATACTATTGCCCGTGGGACAAATGGTTACCACACAGTCCTCCAGCTGATCGCTATCCATATAGGTAGTGCTCTTGAACTCCGACACATCCATAATGCCCATGTAGTAGGGTGTCTTTGGAGCTTCCTCGGTGGTCGAAGAGCTCTCATCTTCCTCGGTGGTGCTACTACTGCTTTCATAGGGATTTGTGGTGCTCTCCGAACTGGAAGATTCGGTGGATCCCTCCGTTGTGGATGTTTCCTCCTCGGTGGTGCTGGTTGCCTCTGTTGTCGTTCGGTATCTTCTTCTGGGTCTTCTGGTGGTTGTGGTAGAAGTAGAAGTAGTTGTAGAGGATTGCCTGTTCCTCAGTCGCCTGAGTTTCTCCCACTCCTCCTTGCTGAGAATTCCATTCAGTGGTCTTTTGGTGGTGCCCTGTGTGGTTTGCCTGATAACAGAGGGCCAATTCAGGGGCCATCGACTGGGAATGGCATTTACCGCCTCCGTGGTTTCCCCCGGTTGACCACTGGAAACGGCGGAATCATTGCGATGTCGTCTGCTGTATTTGCTGGTGAAAAAGGGTGAGTCGCCCAATGATCTCTTCCTGCGGCTCTTCGACTCCTCTTTTTCTTCTTCATCCACTTGCTCCAGAACCTTGGCCAATGGATCTTCTGCCTGATCAGTACTCCTCTGTTCATCATAATCTTCAATGTCCGAGGGTTCCGACGAGAAGTCTGTAAAATCGGAGTAGCTATTGTTTTCCGGGGCATCTGACGTGGCATCGCTGCCATAGTCGTAGGAACCCTCATCGTCGCCTGAGGTGTAGGAAAAGTTGTCCTCTGGCTGGGGTTTTTCGGTGGTTGTGGTTGTCGTTAGTTTTGTGGTGCTGCTCGAAGGCAAAATGGTGGTTTTAGCAGTGGTTGCTGCTGTACTCATAGTTGTACTACTGGTAGTTGGTGCTATAGTTGTATTGACAGTGGTGCTAATCAATGTGGTTGTTGTTGGAGCCTCTGTGGTTGTAGTGGCTCTTTCAGTCGTTGTGGTTGTTGTTGCCTCCGTGGTTGTTGTCGTCGGCGGTAAAGTTGTCCAAGGTGTAGTTGTAGTAGCAATAGTAGTGGTGGTTGCCTCCGTGGTTGTCCAAGTACTCGAAGTTGAGGGTGTTGTTGTGGGCAGCGTTGTTGGCATCATGGCTGGTGTGGTGACATTAAGAACCAACAACGCGGTGGCCAAGTTCTTGCCACTGATAATGTTGCCCAAGAACATTCTTTTGCATTTCATAGTCCGGTTGTAGCACTTGAGTCGCTGCATCGAGGTGGCGATTAAGGTGGCAGCAGCTGTGGTCGAGAAGAGACCTCCACTATCCTCGCCCCACGATGAACTCGAGGCGGAGTCATCGAACAGGCCATCCGATGTACTTTCGCTATAAAGCGAGGTCGTGGGGCTCATCGCCCTGAGAGCCTCAATCGAACTGAGCAGATTCTTCAGCTCCATGGTATTCGTTTCGTTCTCCATTTTCAGCGCCTGCAGCGGTTTCTCTTTGCTGTTGATCTTGTAGATGAAGGAGAACATCAGCGAGTACAAATTCAACATATTCAGGATCATAATGCTGCAAAGTAAGAGGGCTTTCGTTATTACCAATAAAATGTAATACATTACCGCTGTTTAACTCACCGAGCCAATTGAAGTCGCAGCTGCTGCCTAGGATGCCAGTTCTCGAATAATCCCAGGGCCTCGAAAATCATGGGCAGGAAGAAGGAGAGCAGGGTCATGGTCACGTTCACCGCATTGCGACTCAGCCAGTTGTCGTGCTTGGCCAGGTCCTCAGAGCTGTAAATAAATTACACAGAGGGGATATAAGTTAAAGAGATTTAAAATTAAATTTAATAAATAAATTATTAATTAAACAAATATTTAATATATTTTTAAAATATTTAAAATCAAAATACAGCTTCTTTAAGGCTCTTCCTTTCCACGTTTACCCATCAAACGTAAATAAGGATGTTTTCCCTACCATTTTCCCATTTCCCCCATCCACTTACTGATTGACCAGCAGCACCACCGTCGCTCCCGACAAACCCAGCAGTCCCATCACCAGGATATTGACCAGTATCCTCTGCAGTATCACCCGCCAGCTGAAAGGACACGGCGCATCGATTATGGTAAGTAAATAGCATCAGTTGGCCGCGACTTACTTGCGATTATCCTTCTTCTTCTCAGCCTCCTCCAGCAGGGCCTCCTTGAAGCCCACGACCACGGATGCGATGCGATTGTGGGCCGTTTCCGCGTGTCCTATGGGAGAAGGATTTAATGGTATGGGATGGGATGGATGGAGGAACTGCAACTGGCCACTTACCAATCATAAAGTCCCAGCCGGTGAAGAGCTTCCACGAGAAGACGCACTCGTCGTCCTTCGAGGAAAGTTTCGAGTTGCGCGAGTTTTCCGCCATTCTGTCGACAGAGCGAAAAAAGTTTTAGTCTTGCCGTAATTTGTGCTGAAAATCCCCGGCAATCCCAGGATAGCTTTTGCCAATTGGAATAATTCACGCTCGCCGAGCACGTGCTAAGCTAAAACAAAAGTGGCCAGCGGAAAGGTCAGTGCCGGCTGCTCACTGTTGACATTGCTACTTTGTTCAATTACGAAATCAACATAATGCCGACAAAGCCATTAAAGCGAGCCAGCCGCCCAACGGTCAAAATGGCGTTTTGCCATTTCCGTTTCCCGTTTGCCACCCCCTTTTGCACGTGTCTGCGTGTCGTGTGCGTGCGTAAATCATAATGGCCAATGCTCTCTGTTCTCTTTCGTTGGGGGCAGAAAGTTTTTCGGCCCCCCAGACCCGCCCCGTGCCAAGATTTGTATTATTTAATCAGCGCTTCAGTGTTGTTTAATTAATTAACGAGCATTCGGACATTTAGTTTGCTTTTTGCGGCTTCGATGGCAAGGGATTTAATGAAGTGCCTGGCCAACACTGGGACCCATGACCCTCTGGAACCTTATTTACTTATATACCCATACTCACTTTCTCAGCGTGGCCACAAAGCTGTAGATATAGACCAGGACGGCGGTGAGGAAATAGGCTAAGGGCAGCTTATATCCGGACGTGCTAATGCCGGATGTGCTTGAATAGTAGCTGGGGGAGAGAAAACGAGAGGATATTGCCAGCAATTAATAGAGATCTCATTCCGCCACTCTAATAATACCATTAAATAATTGCATAAAAATATAAACCAATAGGGTTATTTTCTGTTGAAAAAGCGAGTGAAAGTAATATATTATTTGGGTGTGAAACAGAGTAGGTGTCTAAAAGTATGCAACAATATATTTTTAATCCAAAAGTGATATAAATTCTTACAGTAAGACTACTGTCCTTAATTCACTGCATACTTTTAGGCACATACTTGACATTTAAAAGCGATTTTCTTATTTTGTACTTGAAGAAATAGGGAGTTAAGTTTCTTTATTTATTTATTTATTTATTTGTTCTCACCCATAAAACATCGGTGAATACTTCAGGTATCCCTCAAACTCCCAGAATGTGAAAAGATTGCCGGCCACACGAGCCTCGGGGTCGGACATCCTTTTTCTGGGATCCGTTTCGCCGTGTTTGGTGGCAAAATACTGAAAATGCACGAAACCCGAGTGGAAACATGAGAAGAGTTGTAAAACGAATTGGCCACTTTCGAGGGCACTCACCTCGGGCCCAATGACAAAGGCGACCAGCGGAATGGCAATCATGATGTTGACCCACATGAGCCAGCGCAGGAATGTAAAGTAGGAGGCCACGCCGGAGCCGAAGTGCGACTCGATCTCCTTGATGCGCAGCTCCCAGGGAATGAGGACGGTGAGGAAGCTGGTCGTCTCCCGTTTCCAGTGTCGCCATCGCTGAGGGAGTAGAAAAAACGATTTATATCTCGGAGGAATTGCAGCCTGCAAGTTCGTATTTTAATTGGTTTTCCCCGGGCAACCAAGCTCACATAACTCTGTGAATTATTGAATGTCCGTCCCGAGCCGGAAAAGTGGCCCATAAATTGTGTAAACATAAATATTTTTTGCATGGCTTGGGGCTTGCTCGCCTTGGGCTTGTTGCATTCCGCATTCTGCAGGCGTTTCCTGCCGGGGAAAAAGGGGTAAAATGGGGTACGAAAATCACTTACTGCCGCCATTAAAATTTTAAACCTCGCCCACAAGTCTCTGGTGCTGCGTGACATGGCGAATCGCTCCTGCAGCGCTCCCTCGTGGCGTGCCACATATGTTTTGGCCTGTCAACACATCCGAGGGCCGCAGGATCCCACAGTCCAAGTCCAGAACATCATTAAAAATGCCAGGGTGTAGCGCAAGATGGGAGATAAAGAGTGGTTGATTTTGTGGTGTGAATGAAATCGAAAAGTTTGGAGGAGAGTTTGTCGTAACATTCTCAACGACCTGACAAGCGGCGTGAAAACGAACGCGCCCAGTTTTAGGCTTCCAACTTCTCACCCACCCGAAAAGAAATCCCCGATTCCAATTCCACGCCCATCTTAAAGCCATGGCTTTATATACACCCTCAACCACCCACCTGCCGAACCAACTTGAGCTTCTTGCGGATGGGCCATGGCTGTAGCTTCACCGACTGTATGACCTCCTTGTGCAGGCGGATGTTCTCAAAGATTTGCTCTTGCGTGGACTCCTGATTGGTGCCCTCCTCTGAAAGTCAAGAAGAGGAAAAACAGATTACACATACGCCCCGTATGCCACGCCATCAAAAGCGGAGGCCGCACGTAGCATGAAAAATTACGGAAAACAGGCCCCCAGACGTTGATTAGCTGCCACTGGAGGACCGAGAGCCGCTCGTTAACTAAGCGAAATCTGTTCTGGACACTTATGGGTCCCGCACTTGCCTGAACTTGTCGTATAGACACTGGAGCGTCGCCGCTCCACACTATCCAGCACGTGATCCATGGGACTGGATGCCCGTCGCGAACTCCGGCTGCCTCGTTTGCCCCGATAGCCGCGCACACTGGCACGTCTCTGCATTATTGCCGATACGGAAATTGTGTAGCTCTCCTCATCGTCAATGTCGCCGCCGCCGCCATCCTCGATTCCTCCTGTTATTCCGACTCCTGATGGCGGATACTGCCCCAAGTGGGCTTCGTGGTGGCTGCTCTCGGCGTCGCTGCTTTGGTTTTGCAATGGGAAATCTGCTGGGGAGAAGCAGAGGAGGAGGTCATTAGGTTGTCCACCTATACAACAATCAAAGAAAATTGCAAACTGGCTGGGAAAAAAATATTTTCAATATAAGCTCCCTCTGACTTGCAACTATATTTGTAAACTCCATTTCTCTTATTTATATTTAAATTTTAAAATAATTCTTAAAGGCTCCAAATGTCTGTGTTATTGTATTTGAAAAATTGTTAATGGAAATGTTGTTTCTAAAAAAATGTTTTAAGATTTTATTTCACAAATAACTACATTTATTTTATTTTAATCCAAAACTGGATGAAACAAAAATTTCTCCAAACAAATAAAAAGTGGAAATCTTATTAAAAGAGTTTTAGTAAGAGGAATATTATTTTATAGGTTTCTGAGTGAACTGAAGAAAAGAAAAGTATTTATTAAAATGTTCGTACCAATTCTTACAAATTTTAAAAGAAGTATAACGTTGCTAACAAAATGTACCTGATTTAATACACAATTAAATTTGAAAATAGATTTTTTATTTCAGTTTTATTTGTTAAATTGTTAAAATATTTATACAATTAAAGGGAAATCATTGAACAACATCGCCATTAAAAAAATTCATTTAATGCCGTTTTCTAGTCCAACTGTTTAATTTAAATATTGCTTTTTAGCCATACTTTAAATTTAACATACCGGAAAACCGGATATAAAGTTTTCGTTAAAGAAATTGTACATACCGTTCAGTTCGTAGGATCTGTGGTCCTCCTGTGATGCAGCTCTTTAATGTTGTAGAAGGCAATAAAAAAGCAGAGAGACAGATAGTTGCTCCATGGCCTTAAATTATCCTCAGCGCCGCGGCACTCACCTCCTGCCCCGTTGTCCCTTGTAGAATTCCCTCTTGGCATCGGCGCTGCTCTGCATTTGCCAGCCACCTCTATCCAAGTCGCATGGCGGTGCCCAGGTCACAGATAGTTGATGGGGCGAGGTGACTCCCGAGTTGTTCTACGAATTGAATTGATGGTGGAAGCTTAACTCAACTGGTTTTCAAGTGCTGTTCCGGGACAGCTAATTACTCAAATCACACTGGTACTCTTCTCTTTGCGTGCGGGAGGACCTTCACTCTTAATTGCTTATTTATTAATTTCACTGCAGAGTTATTATATATCTTCTGGTGCCCTCGAAGAAAATCCTTTTAATGGACTAGTAGTCAGCAATTTGTGCTCCTGATTTTGCTAGTTAGCCGCCCGTAGCGCTTTGGAGCAGCCTTGTGCGCAGACTGAACGGCTTAGCTGGCTGGCCGGGCCAGCAAGGCGCAAAAGACCATCCTCCAAAAGGACATCGACCAACACCATTACCAAGGAGCTCACACGGACACAGGTGGAACGAGCGAAAGTTAAATTTTTCTAATAATGAATGAATATGAATGAAGAAGCGAGGGAACCGAGGGACGAACACCACCGGCGATGGGCAACTTATCAAAGCCAAAACGTGCCCAAAACCCACACAAACACTCGATGTGGCGCCAAGGAATTTACACGGACATGGTATAGTATAGAAAAGGACAGGACCTCCTCGCCCAGTTGGAACGAAGACGAATGAGTGTAAAAATCGCCAGCGGCATGTGATAACAACGCCGTATCCGGGCGTAACCAGCCAGGACTTCGAATGTCCATTTAGATGGCGATGTGAATGTGAGTGTAAATGTGAATGCGAGTGGGTGTATGCCTTGTATGATATTGAGTCACCTTGTATTCTTGGCCCGACCATGTAAATGAAAATCAAACATGCAAGGGTTGATAAAGGAAAATCGCGAAATTCCAGGGTTTTCCCCGGGTTTTCTGCCTTTTCAGTCAGGGGAGTGCCCTCTATTGAAATATATGTTTTGGCGCTCTCCGCCGTGTTTTGTGCTTCGCTTTCGCTTTTGCTTTCTCTGATTTCACTTTCGTCCCTTTTAATTAAATGGAGTTCGCCTAGGCTTTCCCGGCTTTAATTAACATCAAATTTATCTCGCACGTGTAGCCTTATTATTCGGCGATTATGGGTTCATTACCCGCTGTGCCAGTGGCCTAGGCCTGAATTTGAGGATTTTCTAGGTTCAGGTCCAGGTAAACTTGAGCCAAAGTTCAATGCCGCACCGATGACCCAGTGAAAAGCCCACGCCTTTTCTTTGGGCCTAAGTGGCTTTCCATGTTCGGCTGCAGTTTTCGCGATTCGCCCATAAATCTTAGGGCCTAACTTGGCCAAAGGCGTTGGTCCTCGAATGTGGGTCAACTACACACAATATATATTAATTTGAAGCCACCTAGAAAGTATAACCAAAATAAATCAAGGGATGCATAATGATCAATTAATGCGACACACGTTGCTCTCGCTTTTGGAGCGCCTCCATTTGCCGCGGAATTCGCGGTGGCGCAACCGCATTGCCTGCACCTCCGAGGAGCTGGAATCCGTGGTGCTGGCCAGGTGGAGGCGTTCCGAGGGGAAGCTCTCCAGGCTGCTGGAGCGCCGGCAGATGTGCATCTTGGGCATGTAGTGCTTGCGGCTGCAACCGGCGTTCTTCTGATTATTCCGGATGATCTCCCGCGCAAACCGGGCCATCACCTTCTGCTTGTGGTGACGATTCCACAGCGGCCCGTGGGCACAGTTCTCCCGGACCCAACGACGCGCCTCCCGACAGCCCACATACAAACTCTGGTGGGCGTACGCACTTGGTGTCCAGCATGAAGCCACGATTGCCCAGGAGACCGAAGCCAAGGTCGAAGACATTGCGGCCCATGGCCAGGGGATGGGGTCCATCTTTGGTCTTGAATAGGTTGGGACCAACTGGCTCCAGGGGTCCCTTGGTTTCCTGGTGAAAGCGACGATCCTCGGGAGAGCAATATGACCAGTTTTCGAAAGATAGCAAACCCTCGTCATTCAACTCAAAGTCCACGGGCAGCGAGTCATTGAATCTCATCTGATCTATCGACTTTAGCTTGCCATGTCTATGGGTTACTTGGTAAGTAACTCCCGCGGGATCCGGTGTCTGAATGGTGCCCCTGCCATGGAATTGATTGTTTTTAAACTCTCCCGTGTAGCGGGTGCCATCGGGATAGATGTAGACACCCAACTCCTGCATGCCCAACTCATCGCTGGGGCCAATATATCTAGATCCCGTCATAAGGATGTCCACCTGTGTAATGGTCGAGGCCTTCGTTGTCCTCTGGTACTGCTCCATTTTCACTTTAACAACTTGGGTATTTTGTGTACCGAAACAGTGAAATTCGAATGTAATGTTGTTGAAAAGTTGAGTGATTATTCAATGAATTTGTCTAAAATATTCTATAACCGTTAATGGCGAGGTAATCAGTAACTTCAGTGATTACACTAATGTTCCCACTAAACTTGGCCTAATTACCCCCGTTCCATTTACTATATAAATAACCCACTGAAAGGCAGACAGTAACAAACTTTTCTTGGCACGATGAAGAAGTTGGTAATTTTCTTGGCCTTCGCTGTGGCCGCTGGAGGAGCTGCCAAGGATGATCCCGATCACATCATCACCAATGGAAGCCCCGCCTACGAGGGACAGGCGCCCTATGTGGTGGGCATGGCCTTCGGGCAGAGCAACCTGTGGTGCAGTGGCACCATCATTGGCGACTCCTGGGTTTTGACATCCGCTCAATGTTTAGCCGGCAGCTCGGGGGTGACCATCTACTTCGGAGCCACCCGGCTGAGTCAGGCCCAATTTGCGGTGACAGTGGGCACTGGATCCTACATCACCGGAAGTCAGCATCTCGCTTTGGTTCGTATACCCCAAATTAGCTTCAGCAACCGGGTCAACAAGGTGGCTCTGCCACCGCTGAGGGATAGATCCCAGCGCTACGAAAACTGGTGGGCCAATGTCTGCGGCTGGGGAGTTACCACTTTTAATAACGGACTAACCGATGCGCTGCAGTGCGTCGACCTGCAGATAATGCCCAACAACGAGTGCTCCGCCTTCTACGGATCCACCACCGTCTCCGATCAGATCCTCTGCACCCGCACTCCCAACGGAAGGTCCACTTGCTACGGCGATGCCGGAAGTCCGCTGGTCACCAAATCGGGATCCACCCTGGTGGGCATTTCCGCCTTCGTGGCCTCCAACGGCTGCACCTTGGGACTGCCTGCCGGCTTTGCCAGGGTCACCAGCGCACTGGACTGGATCCGTCAGCGGACCGGCATTTCTTACTAAGCGGGTCATGTAGTAGAAGTACCAAAATAAACATGTCCTATGCCTGCACAGCAATTTTTGTGATGCTTCTTCTGGGGATCAAAATGATTCATTTCGATTCAAATTGTTGATTAAGTGTTTTTAAGATTTTGTAAAAATTTAGATGCCATTGTGATGTGTTTATACCTATCAAAATGTAGAAGAAAACTTTAAAATCGGACCATTCATTAAAAAGTTATGAGCAAAAATTTAAACAGCCGCTAGATGGCGCCAGTAGCATTGATGAGTAAATAAGGCTTAAAAATTAAGCAGGAATTGCAAACTCTTATATTTAAATAAACTTCGTCATTAAAAAGGGCAGTTCACTTAGTAACGAAGAGATTCACGAAATTGTTGTAGGGATAAAATAATAAAATATTTATTTTGATTTTTTAAAAATTAGAAATTTTAAATAGGAGAATTTAGTGAAATTGCTTTTATGTTCATAACATAGAAAAAGAATTAATTTATTTGAACCTCCAACGCGGCGTTAACTAAAATTTTAAATTGGAAAATACATATAAACAAGACAATCCTCGCGATCTACAGCTCGAAAATGGAGCGCGTCATTTCCAAGTAGCTGTTGTGGCGAATCAGATTGGACTGCACCACATTGATGTTGTCCGCAGGTCGCTTTTGCATCATGGCGAGGGCCGATCGGTAGGTTTCCGGAACCTCCAGGGGCAGTGAGTCCTCGCCAAAGCTATCGGACTGACAGCTGGAGGCGCCGCCCGAGTCGGGATTGCGAACATCCGAGGTGCTCGTCCATTGGCGAGGTCTTTTAACCTCCTCTATTTTGGCACAAGGATGCTTCTTCAGGTACTCTTGCTGATCCTGATGTCGCTTGTCAAGCATCCTGGCGTAGGCCCTCACACACATCTCCGTATCCCAGGCGGGATCATTGGGCGGCATGGACTTCCTGCGAGTGGTTTGCAGCGGCTCCTTCGTCGACTGACCCCGCTTCTTGGTCAGCTTGTGGTAGTACCGCTTGCGATTCACCTCGCCATTGGGCGCATATATGGCAGTCCTTCGGAGCTGAGCCCGTTCCGTGGCCAAATTGTTGGCTATAATGCGGCGGCAAAAGTCGGCGGGTGGTTCAATAACATGCGCGGTTCGAGCCTTCCTACAATGACGCTTGATAAAATCCTTATCCTGCTGACAGCCCACGTACATTCGGCTGCGAAACGGGCCCGGTCGATCCGTCATCCAGCAGGTCTTACTGTTGAACATGCCCTCCTCGACATCGTAGCAATCCGGCGGTATTTCCCTGGGCAGCATTTTGGCCGTAATAAAGGCCGTCGGGCCCACCGGCTGTTGGCCATAACGACGCTCGGCATGATAGCGCCGATCGCCGGGCGTCAAATAGTCCCAATTGTCGCACTCCAGCTTCATCTCGTTGAACCTGCCCTCGACATGCAGGCCGTCGGAGAACCACATGTCCTCCACCGTCACCAGGCGACCATGCTCGAATTCTCCCTTCACCGTGAAGCGATAGGGTTGTGCCAGTCTTAGGTGCCCGAAGCCATGGAACTGACCCTGGTGGAATCTGCCGCGATACTCGCTGCCATCCGGATAGCGATAGCTACCGAATCCGTCCATCACATTCACCAGCCTGTCCCAGGCGCCCTCATAACTGCTCCGGGTGACGAAGTGCCTCTGCTGGGACTCGGCGCATATCGTCGACATTTTGTCAGCTTTTTCGGGGGTAATTTTGTGTGTCTGTGTAGTCGAAGCAACTGAAAACCAACTCGAACGTGCCAACTGACAAACTCCCGGCCTGCCTTGTTGAGATTACGCATCAGCTTTATGACCAAATAAATGTTTGCCCTCCGACCCACTCGACCCACTGTTCTGTCCCAAAAACCACTGGACAAGTGGGCAGAGTCCAGGGTGTGTCTACCGCATCCACATGCCCACTCGCATGTCTGGCCTAATGAACACGGGGATACTCTTGTCTGTACCTGCTGGCCAAATAGCCAAGTGATTTAACTTGTTTATTAACTGCCGTAAACCAGAAAACCTCCAGTGATCTGAGATTTTGCATGCTTATTTCGAGTTGAATGTGTGGAGTTAGTTTGCGAAATTATTCCAATTATGTTAAAGTTTGACCAGGAAAGCCACTCATAATTAGGAGCATTTACAACATACGATAGATAAGTATCAAGGCTTGGTAAAAATAGGTTACCAGAGAAAATTTAGCTCTTAATTATGGCTATTCATAAACATGCAAAGGAAATTAAATAAATGTGCAAAATAAAAACGAAAAAGAATTGTTAACAAAGGAATTCCTAATTTAAAAATTAAATATACAAAATCAAAATAAAACAAAAATTCCACTAAAATCGTCTTAATTAACCAAAAGGAAAGCCAAGGAAGGAAAATTTTAAAATGTAATACCAAAAAACTAAACTAAAACAAATATTCCAATAGAATCATTAATTATTAAAGTGGGGTTTTAAAAAATATGCAAAGTAAATAAATATGTTTAAAAAAATTACGAATTTCAAAATTGAATATATCAATAAACTAAGTGTTAGCAAAAATTCTTAAAAATGTTTAGTAGTAAATCATTTGAAAATCCTTAAAGATTAAGATGAATTCCTTCTTTTAGGAACCCCTACAGAGCATCCTACGTCCACCTTGACCAAAGGAATCTCCCACCTGTCTACTGACGGGTGTAAAAAATGATTTTAACAGCCAACTGGCTGGCGCTGCATTGCTTTTGCTTGACCGAGCCAAAAGCGACGGGCAGTTAAGTGCGATTGGTGTTTATGGCCATTGGCCATTGCTGCAGCTGGGCCATGTCCAGAGCCATTCCATTGACTCGTTCCATGTCTCGTTGGCCTGGCCAAATCGTAAGCACTCCCGGGCGGGCCGTAAATCATGCTCACTTACCTCACTGTTGGCGCCAGTGGCCACGTTGCTGCTGCTGCTGCCCACGCAGCGGAAGTCGACGGAACCACCTGATGAGCGTCGCGGTTTGCCGATGTCCAGGCGCAGGATTCCCGGCTTGGGTCGCCGGGGAGCTGCGGCCGGCGGGCCACTGAGCCCCGCAGCTCCACTGGGCTCCTCGTCGTTCTGCATGGCCAATGTTGAAACGCTTTTATTCACCGCGCTCACACACGTCCGCCGTGCAGCGCCAACGCGAACTGACTACATCCTGGATGTCCTGGCCGAGGACTTTGGAGCAACAATTACGCGCGCAGCCAACGGGCAATGGATATAAAATGTGAATTAAACGCGCCACCCACGCGATAAGTGTCAATGAATGTGCCATGCGAGAGTGTGTTTGTGTCTCCATTTTCCTGTGTCCTGCGTCCTGTGTCCTGTGCTTTGCCAGTTCCCGAGGATGACGTTGGACAGCACAGGACACGCGGCACTTTCAACTGCTTCTCCTGGCTGTCACCGACTGGGCTCAGGCTCACATGACACAAAGTGAACTTCCTGCTTTCAGGGTCACCGCGGCCTACCTCTGTGTAATTATGTCTGCCGCGGCCCCAAAAAGTGTCAACAGCTCGGCCCCCAAAAATACAGGACACAAAATATCGCATGTCGCATTCGCCATGTGAAGGAACGCCATTTTTCATTTTCACTTTCGCTTTTCATTTTTATACCCGTTACTCGAAGAGTAAAAGGGTATACTAGATTCGTGCAAAAGTATGTAACAGCTAGAAGGAAGCGTTTCCGACCCCATAAAGTATATATATTCTTGATCAGGGTCACTAGCCGAGTCGATCTAGCCATGTCCGTCTGTCCGTCTGTCCGTCTGTCCGTCTGTCCGTCTGTCCGTCTGTCCGTCTGTCTGTCCGTCTGTCTGTCTGTATGAACGCTGAGATCTCAGAAACTACAAAAGCTAGAAGGTTGAGATTTCCCACACATATTCTTTGGCTTCCTACGCAGCGCAAGTTTATTTTAGCCGAGCGCCACGCCCCTCTAACGCCCACAATCGCCCACTAACGATTTTAAAATGGGTCCTGCGCCCACATCTTTAAAGATTTCCGAGAAGTATAAATGCAATTTTGTTGTGTATATTTATACCTATCGAAATGTAGAAGACATTTTTCAAATCGGACCATTCATTAAAAAGTTATACGCAATCAAAAATTATATATCTATCTCCCTCGCACTCCCTTTAGCTGAGTTACGATTATTAGTCGGGACACCAACCCGACACAGCGTTCGCACTACCTTTAGCTGAGTGACGGGTATTAGATAGTCGGGACAACAACCCGACTATAGCGTTATATTTTTGCGCCTTCCATTAGTGCGATGCGTTGCCCCGTGTCCTTAATTATGAGCGCACAAAAGGAGCCTTCACTGGGTTTTCTAATTGTGGTGACCAGTTTCGATGGGGTATATACGTTTTGGGGAGCTACTATTGATTCGTAATGAAATGTTCCTAATGAGACTCAAACTTAGGACACAAAAATCTTAAAATATAGTTTTTCTTAAATATATATGGTATTTTATTTCTAAAATTAAAGTCAATGGAATTTTTTTGGGTGGTTCTACATTTAAATAATTAAAATATATTAATAAATAACATAAATAAAATTAAAAATTGTCATCCTGGTAAATAATAAATGTCAAATTTCTTTGAACTAGTATAAAATAATCACAAGCAAATTGCAATCCTATCAAAAACAAATTTATTACTTAACTCATTTTACAAAAAATGTTGTTTAAACAATTTTTAAAACATAAGGAAACCAAAAGAAATGCAAGTTTTGGAATCAGCTGAAAAATAATGCGAATAAAAAGACTGGGTCCTGCTATAGTATCAATTTTCGGCTAATACAACTTGAATTTAGTTTTTATTGGTATAAAAAAGCAATGAAAATATGATTTATAAAACGTATTATTGGCTGCGTTATAAAATGATTATATTTAAGTTGCAACCCCCAGTCGATTGGTAGCAATAAATACTGTTACGCTGTCAGATAAGTTTCCATTTCAAACTCCCCATAAATACTTACTAAAGCTGAAAATACGGGTCCCCCAGTGGGGGGTACTGCCAAGTCGATCCGAATGCGGGCTGCACACATGGATGGTGATGGTATCTCCGCTCCACGACGCTCCCACTTGGCCAGAATGCGCTTGTTAGCTGCCAAGCCCACCTGCTGTTGCTCCATCTCCTCCCCCTGCTCCCCACCAGCGGCATGTCCTCGCACATCCGCATGTCCTGCCCCTGCTGATATGCAATGCCTTTCTATTACATGCAAAGCGCGTTAAATTAATTGAACTGCAAAGTGTCAGCGGCAGAAGGAGCGGAATAGGGAAATGTTGCCCAGCATGTTGCATTTAATTTTTATTCTTTTCACTTTATTCTATTGCGTTGAACCAGAGCAACTAATATTAATTCAACACGGGTATGTTGGTACTCGCTAAAGTAGCTTATAAAAAACTTTTCCTATTTGTCGCAAATGTGTGTGTGTGGAATGCATGGATGTGTGTCAGTGTGATGTATGCTTGTGTTTGTGTCTCCTGGTTTATGCTTAGTACAAATTTCAGTTTCAGTCTCAAAAAACGTTTGCATAAATTAACTAAAACCATTTTACGTAAATTAATTTGTGCTTTTTCTTGCATCTATAAATTTCGTACCTAAATTGAAAATGTCATAAAATCGTTAGGAAAATCGTCTTTTCATTGTGATGCCGGGCAATAAACGGAGGGGCTACCAAATAATGCAATAAAAACCCGACTGAGTTTGATGATGATTGAAAACCATTTGGCCGGCTTTAACTCCCCTCAAATTTGAATTGCAAAATTTCGCCTAGCCCCCCTAAAAAGATTGTCACAGTTTTTCTCGCAGTTGTTTCTGCATATTCAACTAACCCTAAGAGCTATCTGGTTTTACTAACCCTAACTTAACCCATCAAACTTGAAGTGCAATCTGCTGGCCGTACCTGCTAACTAGCATCTAGCTACCTTACGAAACCCACACACTTTATAGCCAGCAAATCCCCATAAATTTCGAGTAAATCGCTTATACGCCACGTATGCCGCAAGTTCGGTTTTGCACTTGCCACAGCATCTGACTTGAATTTATAGAGTTACCCGGAATGAACACAACAAAAAGGGAAAAAGGAAGAGGGAATGGGACTGCCAAGCGTAAAAGTAGAATCGATTTATGCATAAAAACGGTGAAGCCGGCAGAAATTTATGAATATCAAACATTTGATCTTTTTGGTCCTGGTTTTTCCGGCTGCAGGGAAAGCTCTCTCTGTTTTTCCTGTGTTGTCTCCGCTGCCCCCTGTTTGCTTAGCTTAATAACCAGTTTTTCTCGTACACGAAAAGTTGGTCAAGTTAAGCAGTAAATGCTCTTTTGGCTTCTGTCTTCTGGCAGTCGGTGTGTGTGGGTGGGCTACGTGGCGTATGATTAATGTGCGTGGCTTGTTCGCCTAATGAATTGGCTAGCATAACCACGGGCTAACTGGCCAAAATACTGCCATTCAGTTAATACTTAAATACACATTGAGCTTACGTTTGATGCTCGCTAATTGACTTGTGTCTTGTGTGTTGTGTGTTCTATGTGCCTGTTGCATGGCATCTCGATGAGCATGTCGCTTGTTCGTTCGTTAATTTGGTCCTTTAGTCTATTGGTTTTCGTACTAGCTAGCTATGCCTATGGAAATTGGTAAATATATCAAACCTACACTTAGGGCTATGCTAAAAACTCACTTAACAGCTAATAAACGCACACATTACGCAAATGCGAGGGGCGATGGGCTATGGAGCGACCTCAGAAAGTTGTCACTTTGCCCAGCCGCATGCCGAGCAATTTACGGCGCTTTTTGGCGCTCAGCTTTGTCCAAATGGTGCTGCTGCCCTCCACCAGCAGAAATTCGTCGCATAAATCATCCGGCTCCTTGGTGCCTCCGATGCCTCCAATCCCTCCGATGCCGTAGAAATGATCCTCCTGATACTTCTCGGAGCGCGAGTCGCCGGAAACGAAGCCGCTTTCTGGGCGGGACAAGGAGGCGGTGTGCCAGGGAAGCTGCTGGAACCATCGGGCCACTTTCGCCGTCGACGATAGCTGCGGGAAATGGAAAATCGGCGGTTGGTGGGTGGGTGTGTTAAGTAAAGTCAGTGTGTAAATTTATGCAAATGAGTTATGTGCGCAAATTGCTGCTCACCAGCGAAATCCGTTGGCAGTAGGGAAAAAACGAAATAAAAAAAATATTAAAAAAACCAACTACCGAGTAGAGTGAAAAATGGCGACACTTGTTTTTTGCCACTCCTCCTTGGGCCGACGGCATCGTTTTTCATTTATCCAGGGGTGGAAATTCATACACTGACCGTCGAGCGTCCCAAGGGGCGGATGCTTAATGCGCTTAAAAGTGTGCTGCATGTTTTTGTCGGAAAAGTCATTAGGGAAATTGCCCAGTCTGGCGTTAACTTTCAATTATTAACGACAATATACAAGCGGATCGAAAGAGATGCCAAGGGTTTTGTTTTTACATAATTATCCGATTTTTATTATTATTATTTATTCTGTTGTCTGCCGTTCATTGTTGCTCGCCCATTGAATTTCCATATTCAGCCGAATATTTGAAATTTTAATTTACACATAACTCTTTTGCGGGTTGAAGCCTATGCGGGTCACGCATAAATTGAATTAAAATACAACAATTTACAAAAATAACAGTATCCAACTAAAACTAGACTCATTAGCTTAAACACTAGTTGTATAGATATAGATTTCATTTGGGGGAAGAGAAAATACTTTCAAACGATTATGGCAAACTTTTTGAGTAAGTTTCTTCGTTGCTGATATGCTAAGATTATGTTTCACAAATACTTTTACCTAAGTAAACCAAACGCCAAAGGGCTATATACTCTGACTTTGGCACACACTTTGAGCTAGAAGATAACGCTATATAGATTTAGATATATTTTACACTTAAATAGACGTTGAGCTGGGCAAATAATTGGCACATTAAACGCCTAGGACACCTAAAATGCGAAACTAAAGTAGGGTTGTGTTGCTCCTAAATTAATACTGTTCCACCCACTCATTCACTCGATCCTCAGGCTCTCTTTAATATAATTTATTTAGTGGTATGCCTGGCCCAGGTGGTCCTCTGCACCTGGCTCATCATCTGGCTGCGATTGGGCACCTTCTCGCTGGTGCTCCTGGTGATGAAACTGGGCGTGGCCGATAGCTTCCTCTGGTGACCCGCCTCGTCGGTGACCCTCAGCAAAACCGTATTGAATCGCGTCTCCCGACTGCTGTTGCTATTATTGTTCTGATTTTGGCTCTGGTTGCCATTGCTGCTCCCGGGACTTATGTTATTGTTGCTGCTTCTTAAACGAGGTGATGATGGCGAGTCCAGCGTTGAGGAACTGCGACTGGTGTCCCGTGTGCTCGTGGATCCACCACAGGCCAGTCCAGCCAAATTGCCATTCGAAACGGCCGCCTTGAGCTGCTCCTCCAGACTATTCAGATTCTGCTCGATGCTCAGCCGGATATCCTCGTTCAAGGACGAACTGCCGGCGAAGGAGTTCCGATTCATGGTGCCCAACGGCGAGGGCGTCAGCGTTCCCGTGGCCGCCGGCGAGGTGAGGAAATTGAAGGCTCCTCCAGCTCCAGCTCCTCCTCCTCCAGCATTATTATTCGGAGTGGCCGGAGTGCAGGACAATGGATTCACATAGAAGAAGGAGTTGTGGCCCGCGGCGGAGGGCGTCTGCTGGCCCTGGCCAGGATTGGCATTCAGATTCAGGGCCTGCAGGCGATTCAGCAGCTCCTGATTCACCTGGAACAGATCCTTGGACAAGGCATCCTGCTGTTGCTGTTGCTGCAACTGATTGCTGATGCTCTGCAGGGCGCTCATCGAGGGGTAAGGACTACTGCCCCCCGCCACGGGAGGGGGCGTGGCCGGATTGGGAACCGCTTGTTGCTGCTGCTGCTGCTGTTGCTGTTGCAAATTCTGGAGGTGCTGGCTCTGCTGATTGAGGCCACTCAGCTGGTGACTCAGCGAGGTCAACTGCTGATTGATGCTGCCCAAATTGCTGATCTGCTGATTGATCGTGGCCAAATTGTTGTTGTTGCTGGTGGCCTGCAGCAGCATTTGCAGCTGCGATTGCTAATCGAATGGGGTGAAAGGTCACAGGGCATTTAGTACTACAGTTCTCACTCTCAATCAATGAACAACAACGAGAATAACGAGAACGAACAACGAAAAGGGCGAACAACTATAAACACTCGTGCAAAAACAAATGGCAGCCAGGGAAAAACGGAAAATGAAAAATCATGCAAAAAGGAGGCGCAGCTGGGAAAGGCTCGAAATGAGCGCAAATTTACGATCGCATAACTCAAAAGCTTATAGAGTATATATAGTATAGCCCTCACCTGTGGCGCCATTCCGATATTGGCCGACGTGAGGCCCGCACTCTGCTGTTCGTTGTAGGCCCCCAAGGAGGCCAGGTGCTCCAGGAGCTCCCGGTTCTGCTGCAGCAGCTGTTGGGTGCGCGCCTGTAATTTATTTTAAATATATATAAAATCTTTAAATATATATTATAAATCTTTTTGGGAAGAAGGGACATCCACCCACCTGCGCCTCGATGCGCGCATTGGTCTCCGAGATGAGCTGCTCCCGCACCATCATCAGTTGGCCAAGAGCCTGGCGCGTTTGAAGAGCCTGTGCCTCCAGCTGGTCCTTCAGCTGGCTGATCTCAGAGCGCGGAGAGGAAGGTGAGCCTGGAGACTTGTCGTCCACATCGCACTAAAAGAAGAAAGGGGGAAGGTATTGAATTTCATAAGAAATACCAAAGCTAATGGTTAACTGCTTGCACAGCTTGAAGTTAATAATTTCATTTCATTGCTTATAACTTTTAAGAGAATAATCCGATTTAAAATTGTCTTCTACATTTCGATAGGTATTATAAAACACAAAAAGATTGCATTTACACTTTTACAAAATCTGTAAATATGTTGGTGCAATGTTTACTTTAACTGTAAGCGTTAGAAAATAGAAAATTATTTTTTAAATTTTTTCTTCTTTAAGACAATATCCAGTTTTAATTAAATTTTAATAAGGCCAAACACTCAATTAAATGTTGCATGTTTTCTGGGAGAACAAAGACGGTTCAAAGAAAAAATGTGTGTTTTCAAAATATAATAAAAATGTTTATATATTCTTTGAAAACGTATGGTTACTCTAGACAGTTTCTGCAAATTAATTTATGGGCCCATACTTTCGATTAATAGCCGCATTTCACTATCGCACTTTTGAAGCTATCAAAAACAGCATTCATATTTCTCATGTGTTTCCCCCATAAATGAAAACAAACATGAGACCATTAAATTGACATATTTAATTGTGAAACTGGGCCATTTAGCCCCTTTACAACCGATTTTCCTTTTTTTTATTCACCGTTTAGCCTTGACAGTTCTCGGGGGCAACTGGAAATGTTATTGAATCTGAATATTATTGTTTTTCCCCCAATGTTTACCCTCTACTGACCGCCTTGTTAGGTAAACAAATGCGAAATATTACTTTATACATTATGGCCTAAACAGAAACGCCAGCAATGGGCCACATTGTATTTGATTTCATTTCGGAGATTTCATTTCGGCTCATTAAAATTCGCCAGCGCCGGCATTTTAATTGCCCAGCCAGGATATGGCTGTGATTTCGGTTATTATTAGCGGGCAATTGGACGGAATGATTATGATGGACATAAGTTACTCACCAGCAGGCTGTTCGATTTGCGTAGACTCGAATGCGATGGCATCAGCTCCAAGTGGCTTGGACGCTGCGGCTGCGTGCGGTTCAGATCGGGCGATATGGCCAAGTGCTCTATAAATAGTGGAGAATTGGATTTGCGAATTAAATAGCTGGTAAGTGAGGTGTGTAAGGCCGGCCCACCGACCTCCCCAATTAGTCAAGGTCGCGGGACACCCACGCGGCCCACCTGGTGCCCCACGATCTGCGATCTGCTCCGGCGGCCACTTTCGCGCTTAATTTCCCATTAATTACAGCGTCTAGAGTTCGATATTTGTTTTGATTATGCTGTCTGTCCAATAAATAATGAAACTATTATCTCTAGACCCTCGCGCGATCGCTATAAAGATGATGATAATGGTTGTTGTGATAATGAAGATTGGGGCGAGCGAAGTTCACTCCTGCTTTCAGCAGCCATTTCAATTTGATTTGTTGGCAAATATTTAAGAAATTTCTTCCCAGAACTCGGGGATATAAAGGCAGTCGGCTGAATTTTCGTTTCGCACCTGCGGCACGTGTTAATTGCCAATGAAGTGCTACAAGCGCTGTAAAAATCCTTCACAGCATGTAAATTAATTTGCCGTTTCAGATGTTTTTTCACTAATGCCGAGTGTTTTGGCAAATAATTGTTGGAATTTGCCTATCCTATACCCTGCAAAATTGAACAAGGATTCCATACTTGCAAACACATGTTTCTTGAGCTAAATTTAGCCACCATCTTTTGTATAATTTTTACAGCCCAAATGACCCATTTAGCGGAACACATCATACTCAATTAGAGAGCTCGACAAAACAGCTGCAAAGCGATTCTATGACATGGCACAACATTTAGTAATCCAAATGTTCAGCTTTTACTTATAGCCAATCTATATTATATTGTGTTTTGGATATATTCTGGCAAATTTGCTTGGCCAAAGACAATATACGAGGTGTTGATTAACGTAATGGCGTGCTTATTACAAATAAGACCTGTGGTCGCGGCAGTTCAAAAACAATAAACAATTTGGTTCGAGGTCTAATTTTAATTTGTTCAGTATAGTTTAGTAAAATAAATAAAAATTTACAAAGTCACAAAGTTTAGCAAAATTAAGCTTATTATATAAGAATATATTTACAAGGAAAACTAGTTTCCAAATAAATAAATTCCCTTTTGTTTTTTTGTTTAATAGTTATCTTCTCTCACTTAAAAGTATTAAACAAGGGAATATCCTAATACACCTAATTTCATAATTTTTCGTAGGCTAGCCTAGGGTATTGAACTTTGAACCTCTGCCATCTGATCTTCCTAATCTCAGGGGAATGTCGCCCAGACGCAGACAAACACCCATGTTCATAATTTATTATTTCAAAAGTCAGCCAGCACAGGCGGGAAATTACTATATAGCGAAAATTACAAGACCCCAGACTCGGAGGATGAGATATTGAAATAAATAAATTATTTTTGGCACACGACTTCAGGGCACGCCCACACACAGTTTTGGCCACCACGTGAGGGTTTCCGTGGTCTCGAGTGTCGCCTGGTAACAAATTCGGTTTCAGTTTTCCCGAATCCAATGACTCGTGGTGATGCCATGGTTATGATGGAAGGTATCTGCAAATAATCCATCTCCGATAAGTAGCTACCTGGCTCCCCATTCCCATTTTGCCCCACTCGGGGCGTTATTTATATTTATATTCTCAGAATTTCTTGCGAATGATGTCGCTGGATGGTTTTAGACAAAAGATTGCAAAAAGAATTGCTTTTCTCGTGAGGTTTTCAATATTATTCGTTTTTTTTTCATCTTATTTTTGGCAGCAGCAACGCGTTGATGACGTCAAACTACGCCTTGCCTGTGTAAAAGTGTTTGGGGGAGGGGGTGGTAAAGCAAAGAGGGGTGAGAAGGGGGAGGGGCTGGTTGGCAAGATGGAAAACCGCACGAAGATTATTGAAAATTGAAGCAATATGTGGAAATTGCTTAACAGCGTCGAAGTGTATGTCGAAAGCTGCTGCTTCTGTTCTCGGTACTTTTTTTTATTTTTATTTCTGAATTTTATTTTATTTCTTTAATATTTTCTTCTCATATGCGCAGTCATCTTTTGTATTGTATTTTTCACTTTAGCAGGCTGTACTGTGTGTACACTCGAATATTTACAGTATATACATGAGGTCTGCAGTTGCATTTTGTATATTTACGGAAATAAGGAGAAGAAAACAAGGTAAAATGGTAAACCAAATAAACAAGATATTGTAAGAGCCAAAATGTACCCTGTATTTCGTAATAACAAACTATAACTTAATAAAACGTGCTGCCGTTTTGATGATAATTTAAATTTACTTTGTTTTCTCTGGCGGCTAATTTTATAGACTTTAGCACGAAAATCGCTCCCTTTCCCTTGCGAACCTCCACTGGGAATAAAATGCAATTTAAATGCAAATGCCTCCTCGCTCGCCGCATCGAACTGAATTCGAAATTAAAGAGCAGACATTTGCATGGGAATGCAGAAATGAATAGGAAACTAATGCGAGACCAGCGTCCAGGCTCCAGAGATTCAGAGCCTCAACCAGGAAGCAGCTGAAGGCGACGACAGCCAGACAGCCGGGAGCTTTTCATTTATTTATTGGCCAGGCAACGACCATTTTGCCCATTTTTCACCCCATCCCCATGAATTATTTTCCACTCACCTTTCTTGGGCGTCTCGTTGTCGCCACCGCCACCGCGTTCGCCGTCTTCGCTGAGCTGCTGCTCGCTGATTTGCTCCACGTCCAGCAGCTCCGAGGAGGATATGTCGGAGCGTTCGTCATTGGGTTCCAGGGAATTCTTATGAAGATTAAATTTGTGGCACACTTCAAAGGCTTGTCCCACGGTGCGAACGATGCGCATGGCCTGGGACTGCAAGCAGAGGCGGAGGGAGAAACACAGAGAAAAGGGGATTAAAATAATTGCATTATGCCACAGCCCCAACCCCCCATTAAGACATAACCCCCTTATGGCAATTCCATTGACAGCAATTACGCATACGCCATGTTGCTGCACATTGAACCCACCTCCGGATCGCTCGCCGCACAGCCGCAGGAAATTGCATCCTTTGTGCGATTATTGCATAAATTATCACAGTCTGCTCCCGCTGCCAAGCCCCCTCTGCTGCGCTCCAGGGGGGAGCTGCGACGCCTCTGCCTCGCCTGTCGCTGTTCCGAGAGGATGAGTGGTAATATCTGGTCTCCGGCAATGATGGGCTCCCGAAAGGAAAGCTTCTTGCGCGGCTTGTCGGTCTTGGGTCGCTCCAGCATGATGCCACTACCCCCTCCACCGCCGCCGCCACTGCTCAGGCTGGAGCTGCTCTGCTGATCGCTGAGGCTCTTGCGCCGCTGCAGCTGATGCCGCTGCTCGGATCGCTGGTGGAGCAGGTGGGCCCGACGCAGGGCCTCCGGCGAGGCCTCGTAATGATCGCCGGGCAGGCGCTTGAGCTTCAGCCGCGCCTTCAACACATCTCCATTGGCCTGGCCATTAACCTTGTGACTGGACTTGGCCACCGGCTGCTCCTTTTTTATGATATACACCGTATTCTCGTCGTCATTGAAGAGTATGTGCTTTGGTTTGTGGTCCAAGTATGTGTCATCTATAAAGCGAGGTGGCTGAGTTGTAGAACCTACTCCTCCTGCTGTCACTGGAACCAATTCCCTTTCCACACAACCAATGAGCTCCCGGATATCTAGGCTCTTATTCCGCGACAACGGCTTCTGTTTCTTTTTATGCGACGGCACCGGAGATTGTGGTGGCTTGTTCTTCAGTTCGAGATGCTTGTCCCCTACCAAAATATCGCGGATGAGCCCACCGCCGCTGCGAAAGATGTTCTTGTGATAGTGAACCTCCGAGGATTTTTCCACTGATGCAGCCGAGGAAACAGAGGCCTGCTGTTCTTGATTCTGGGCCACCTTGGCCATGTTCACCTTGCTGCGACTCCGCGTCCAGGGCAGAAAGTCAAAGGCCTTGGTTATGGGACTGCGGGGAACGTGGGCGGAGCTGTCCGGATGCCGCTGCTTGTGCGGAGCAGCCATGGCGAGGGTCTTCTCGTGCTTCATGGCCACCACCAGCTGGCCAGAGTTCGGTGATCCGCGAAAAGTATCCGCAATCCGAAATCAGCAATCCACAAGGTCGTTAGCTCGCTGGCCAATTTGTCACTGCTCACTTTAAGTTCAATGCTGTTCAATACCGATTTCACTGCTCTCGAATCGCCCAATTAGTTGGCTATTAATTTCATAATTGCTTAGGGTTCTCCGGCTCGCTCCCTTGATCCAGGTTGTTCACACACCGCCGATGCGCCATTTTTCACACCTGCGAGGTGCTATATATTGTTTATGTTTCTCTTTCGCCCCCAGGCTGTTGTTTTTGTTTTTAATTTTGCTGCTGCTGTTGCTTTTGCGTGTTCATTTATTTGTGTATTGAATTATTTGCAACTCTTCATGTTGCCTACCTATCGGGAGAATATATTTTTCGGTTATTTTCCGAATATTTCTGCCGCCTGCATGCACGATTTTTCTCCTTTTACCCTCGCACCCCTCCGAAAAGCAAAAAAAAACAGAAACTGTCAATCTGATGTGGGTATTGTTATGGTTAGCCAGCAGGCAAAATTTGTGTCAATCAGCAAGCGAATGATTTGCAGGGGCTCTCTGTCAGCGAATTAGTGTATGTAGTTGCATTTCCAAAGGCAATGTAATTTCGAAGGTCCCTAAATATTTATAAATATTTTTAGCGGAATATTGAACTCTCATTTTCCTTCAAAATCAAGCTACAAAATATTTTTTGTACCCTTACAATAATCTGTGTGTACAATTAAATAATTTAAATTTAAGTTACAAAATGTTTTTGCTATTTTCCAAAATGTGTACAGATTTTAAATTATTTTTTATTATCCACCATAATTTATTGCAACTTTAGCTACTCTACAATCGACTTTTTTAAAGGAATATAAATTCTTTTTAAGTAAAAACTCTTTAAAATTAAATTACAACTATTTACAGCTGTTAAAAAACTATACCTATTTCCCCCCCAAATTTTAAATATATTTTTAACATAACAAATAAGAAGACGACGTCGGTTCCAAAAATTGCCGAACACTTTCGTTGCCATTACTAATTAAGGCTAAGCTGGCGAATAACTTTGTGGTTTCCCCTTTCAGGGGTCTCTCGAGCAGAACTTGGCCAGCACTCGAGCACTTTGAAGGGCTACTTCAGTGGCGTCAGGTTGAGCACTCGCCTGAACGACATTAACAACACATCAATTTGAATTATTTTGACAAGCAGTGACAGCACTTGTTGCGCAAGTTGGCAAACAAATCGAAGAGTGAAGGAAGGCATGCTTACAACACTCGTTCAATATTTGAATATATTTCTATGCAACTAACTCGACCATTTAACAGTTCTTTCAGTGTGAATTTACCCGAGGCGTCGAATCGTCTCACTTTGCCGCTTTATCAGCGTTGCGCATACGCCACGTGTGCCGAGAAAATCCGTCTTAGCCAAAGGTGCCAACTGATTGTCTATCTCGACCAAGTCCACACACACTTTTCACATATATCTCCCTCGTGTGGCTTGTGCAATTTCGCATAAATCAAATTGAAAACTATAAAAAGTAAACGGATAAAGTGTGTGGCAATTTACATTCGTTACAGCAAAGCCGAAATGAAAACTTAAATAAATAAAAGCGAGTGGAGTGAAGGAAAATTGCGTGGCATTTCGTGGAAAACTACTTGAAAATTTATGGCGTTAAGAATGACTTTGTTAGCTTTGTTTTATGTATTTATTTGATTTTTAATTTCCATTTGACTCCGCAGCACAGAGCAATCAAATCTGGCAGTTTGTTTGTTTTCCCCGCTCTGCCTGTCATAAGGGAAAATTTTTACACGAAAAATCTTTTGTGTCTGGTCTGGCTTTTTAGCACCGTTTTTAATGGCCTTGCCATTGCCCCGCCAGCCATCTGGCCGGTGTTTACTGTGGCCATAAGTCGTCGGTGGTCAGGATGCCGCATTCGCGCAGCATTCACAGGACCTCCGACCGCAGCGGCCACTTCCGCAGCTGCAGTTGGCCAGTTGGCCACAGTTTACCACAGTTCAGCATGGCAAAACGGCAGATCGTAAATTCTGCACATTGTCACGTGGTCAGAAAGGGTGTTTCCCCACCCCCGGGAAACTAATGAACTTCCCATTAGTCATGCAGGCTGCGCCACTTGAAAATTCGATTTACTTCTCTCGACTGCCTAAGCGAAAATAGCCAAAGAATATAAACCCGAGTATTTATAATTCGCCTCTTGAATAAGCCAAACACCTGCCCGCACTACCTGCTTCTTTTGCCCCAATCGCTTTTCGATTTTCGAAATACTTTAAAGTAGGCTATTAAAATAATGGATCTATTTTGGCTTGCGAATGCGAAAAAAATAAAACACAATCGTAGGAAAACAAAGCGAAACGAATGTCGATGAGGGCAGCCATTTTTGGGAATATGAAAATGGAAAACAAGGCACGTTGCGGTTTTCCCCGAGGCAATGGCTTTGCCAATTCCACAGACAACAGGTAAATTAGAAATATTTCCCCATTTTCTGTGAACTATTCGAAAAACTTGAGAACCAAGTTATGTTCATGAAAATATTTGCAGCAATCTTTTATGTTTATTTGGGATTTTTTCAGCTGTCAAATTAGCTTTAGCTTGTTTATTGTACCAATACGAAATATAGATATAAATAAATAAGCTTAGCAGAGGAGAATCGTAAATATTTCAACCGTATTATCACGTGTTCGTTCGCGTTATTGACCATAATTCTATTTATTTATCCCAGCCTCCTCATTTCCGTGGACTACCTGTGGCGCGAGTAGCTCATTAACAATTAATATGCATAAACAGTGGGTTTTGAGGGAAGAGTGTACGTCACTGAGCTAAGTTTGGCTAAAAGTGAATGAATCTACTTAAAACATAAAATTGTTCTTTCACAAAAAGGGAAGCACTCGAATTTTTGCTTTATTTCCACCAAAGTCGTATTACTGTCCGCACTTTGCAAACTTTTTTCAAGTGGCTTGTGTTGCGGCTTTTCTCTGGTAATTAATTTTCCAGTCAATTTTCTGCTCTCGTGGCTCATTATTCAATCCTTAGCATTGTTTAAAAGTATTATGGTTTCTGTTTTTTTTTATTTCTGCCCACAAGCATTTAATGGCGTCAGCAGTCCGAATGGCTAGAAAAACTGATGACAAAACACTTTTGTGACTTGATTTCTGCAAACGAATTTTTTCCTACACACTTTGAAACATTTAATTGATCTATGGGTGCGTTAACATATTTTTCTTAAAGCTGTGACATGCCATTGCCAGAATTTATTTATTTATTTAGCTGATATCGGATGATGCTGGGGCTTATTTATTGAAGGCACCGCTTGCAGGCGGCAGAAATTTCGTTTTAAAATTAATTAAATTATTTTCTTTTGTTTTTATTTATTTTCTTAAGTTGAAAACACTTCACTTTTTCACGGACACTCACGCACTCATTGCATAATTTTGGGTATTGGGTCTGTGATCGAACTTTGTTTGGTTTTTGATTCGCCACACGTCTGCAAAGGCGCACCGTCTAGAACGCACTGGACAAAGACCGAAATGAGAGAGGAGATGGCCGATCGATGGATCTCGGATCTTGGTCTCGTAGCCGGCAAATGGAAAAGCTTTTCCCAGAGCTTTTCCGCTCAGCTGTTGGCACGATTTTTGGCTACTACATGCTGCGTTTGTTTTGGTTTTCCTAGCCGTTGGCCGTTTGCTGTTTGCTGTTCCAACGAATCCATATACATATATCGAACCCCTGAGGCCGGTCCAACCTGGCGTATGCGTGATTGCAGCTACTGCAGTGACGTCATTGCTTTGTGTTTCGCGGAAGTAAACAAACGGGGCTCTTCGCTTGTTTCGGCCATTTTCCGTTTCGGCCTGGCTCCTGCTTAGCCATTAATCATATACCTTTCATCGCTTTGTCGGCCCGTGTTTGTGTTCATTCAGCTTCCAAATTGCGTTGCATTTGAGTGCTACGTGTAAAACTAATGCCTGAATGGCGATTGTATATCCCATGCCCATGCCTCAGGTGCAACGAAGCTTTCCACTGACGCGCGCGGCGTATGCGCGATTTCCAACACGTGCAGGCGTCGTTGTGGAAGATAATGCCCCCCCTCCCCATTCCCATAAGTCGACCCATCCCTCTGGCCTTAATTTCTTATGTCACTTGTCAGGCATTTCGACAGGCCCCGAAAAAACATCGACTGCCGCCCCTCTGATGTATTGGAATTTTTTTCCCCAGAAGTCCGCTTGTTAATTAGAAAGGAAAAAATAGAAATGCCAACTTGACATTGTCTACAGACTGAAGTTGAAGGCCAGACGATTATACCAAGAAATGGTTGCGTTTATTGCGCTCTTAAAATATAAATTTGGAACACTGCTGACTTGGAATTAATCAAAAGCCGCATTGGGCTCGAAATCAAAGCAAATGCATTTCCCCCAGGCGACCGACCGACCACAAAGTAAAATCTGATTTATTTATTTGGCAAATCTCGGCAATAGCTTAATGGGGAGCGATGTCGCCTGGCGAACGAATGAGAGAATCTGGCCATATAACACGGAAATGGATGTGCCGGCTGGCGGCCCGACTGATGGACAGTTGCGCCTTACTTTTCGCCGGGTTTGTTTAGATCCCCGAGCGCTGTAATGGCCAATGAAAAATTGGTCTAGACCAAACCGAATTGACAATGAAAAATAACCATGGAATCATCGGTTCAATAAATAGAAAGCGAATGGGAAAAGTGTGACTCACTGGTTATAAAGTAAAGTATGAAATTAAGTGAAATTTTTAGAATAGTTTTCTATTTTTCCTTTGACAACATCTAAATTATCGAATCGATAATATGAAAATATCAAAATCATCGATCATATTTAGCTTCAGCTCTCTATTTTAAGTTAACATTTTTAACCCATTTAATACCCAATTCGGCTTCACAACTTATTCCCCCGAATTTTAGTCATTACCAATTAATGGAAACTAGATCAAATAGATCGCAATTTTAGCACATCTAATAAACTACACTTCGCTCTTTATAGCGCGCATATTTTTTTGTTTATTTGCTAGTTGTTTTCGTTTCGGTTTTCCAATGCTGGATACTCGCCAAAATTATGCATGCGAGTAGACATTTTGCACAAGACCAGAGGTTATATTTTTAGCTGCAGTTCGGGGTGCGAGAAGCCGCGGGATTGGGGTAATGTCAAGTAAGTCCAAGTCACATGTAGCCCGCATTATGCGAATTGCGGCCATAAATTTCATTGACCGCAGTAAAAGGAAAAGCCTAAAGCAAACATTGGGATCTCAAATCTGAAACTCACCTTTTTGTGACTTTTGAAGACGGAACACTTAAACGTATCCGTGCTGGCATCGCGCGCAATATAGCTGAATATCTTGAGATCGCTGCTGTCGTGGGACACGTAGAATATTCTATAGATGGGATGATTGAGCAACTCGATTTCCTCGGGGTCATTGGTCCAGTTCTTTTTCTATACGGATAAATAGATAAATTAGTTTCGAAGTAAATATAGTCAACCGGCATTGACTTACTTTTCGACGACGCTTTTTGAGCACAACGCGTACGCCATTTACCGATATGTGGATGGTGACCTTTCGCTTCTTCAGATTTTGAACTTTGCACTCGTACTGAAAAGGAGGGCAAATATCTGTATAAGTTTTTCTGCTATATAAGGGGCCACGTAATTCCAGAATTTTCAATTAACATCTGACTGCCTGTGACGGCTCGCCTAATGGCAAAGACATGACAATAACAAGCGCCGAATTTACCACGTTCCCCGCCTCCTCCTTTCATCCTCCATTTTCATCGGCTGACAGACAAGGCTAATACACAATAACCCACATACTCCCCAAGTCAGCCGGGCTAACACGGTTTAAGCCAGGGCACGCACGACTTCTTTGCAGCCGAGGGAAGGGGCAGAGAATAAACAAGCCTCGTTACTTTTTATGCTACTAGAATGGTTTTTCTTTTTAGCCAGCTTCAGCTTCCCTTTGCCTTTTGGCCATATACGAGAATGTAACTGTAAGCAAAGTATGTGACGCTGGCAAACAGAGAGAGTGTTGCCTGCCTTTCGGGAATGGAAAACCCTACACCATGGGTTTTCGAAATTTAAAACCGCCTTCGGCCCGGATAAAAGTTTCTTTAATTGGCAGCCGGAGATGCGAATATCCAGGGAGCGGGGGGAAATCTGTTAACTTTTCAACTCGACGGGACTCAAAATTCATTTGCGTCCCACGCGTCGTATGCGTAATACTCACCCTTATGCGACGCATGGCCTGGACGATCTCGGCTCGAGTGTTGGGTCGCGGCACCTCCTCCCAGCCGACAAACTGCAACGGAAAAACAAAGATGGGTTATTGGCTGCTGTCGATTGCTCAAACAAAGGCAACAAAGGCTGCTCGAGTGCCCTACACTGCTGGAGTGGCAGACTTTAAATTAAATAAATTAAACAAATTAGTTGCAGTGCCTCTGAAAATTCCCCAAAATATATATGCCAAAATATGCAGCAATAAAATTTAATTCAATTTTAGTTTCCACAAGCGATTCTGTTGCCAACAGCCTCGACACAGTAAGCTGCATTCCTATTTTTAGTTGGTTTTATTTTCTAAATATATACAAGCGACGATCTGCCCTTTGCCAAGTTCTTCAAGGGGAATGATCCATCAATTACTAAACTAAAACACATTTTTCATTTCGCCGTCAGTCAGAAATATGTAAACTTGGGGGATCTGTGAAAATTAATGCCAAAAATGAATGCAAACTGCGGCGACAGCAATTGTTTGAAAATAAAAATTGCAATATTAATGCAAAACTTTAGTCTTGCTGGCGTTTTTGTATTTGTTTTACGGCGAATGCAGCTCAAGGATAACAAATGCGTAGATATGGACCTAGATTTCCGAATTTTATTACAGTGACAACAACAATTTAAATGCGAAATGACATGACAACAACCACAATATGGCGAGAGTGAAAGAGACGCTGATGATGCCATCGTCGACTGACAGTGACAAAATGTGCATGAGATAGCAGCCACGCCCACCGCCCCCCATTCCACCACATGAATATACACACTTTACACTTTTCCGAACAATAAAAATAAATATATAGTGAAGAGGGTTCATTTTTCGCTTGAAAAGCCTTTCGCCTCGCCGAATATCCTTTTCGGGAAAACTTTTAAAATATTTCACCAGAAAGGGGGTGTCTATTTTTAGGATCCAGCATATGTCTGTTCTCTATGATCTATGTCAAGATATGGTAAACAAATCGAAAGTTTTGAGCCACAATGCGATGAATTTCTGCGAATGCTAAATTATTAGATGATTAATGTTCTGCTTTGTGGATATAAGGGATATGGCGTGTGCCGAATTTGTATTTTTCACGACTTCAGACTAGGCCAAAAATAGCACAAGTCGAAAATTGAAATTCGGTAGAAAATAGATTTTTGCACATTAATTCAGAAAATTATTAAAAGAGAACCTGGGGTGGTGGCAGTGCGCTAATTGATTTCCACCTACACCCTGACGAAGGCCATGTGCCCTAAAAGTCTGGAAAGCAGTTCATTAGTCAGAATGGCAAATGTTTACTTCTCCCGAATACACTTATGATTATGCAGATGGTAAAAAAAATATTTTTAAAATACTCGCTAGCCGAAGTTTATGGCCAACGCTGTCAGGACATATAAATAGATATTTGCATGCCATTACCATTCAAAAGGTTATGAAACGAAGCTTTAAATTCCCCACAAAAGCCATCCGGCAGTAAGCCCATAAAAAGCCATTTACAAAGCGGAAAGCAGCCGAAGATGGAGCAGAAAATAAGGAAAATGGAGGGGATGGAGATGGCGAAAAAAAAAATGGAAAAAGGAAACTGGCAGAGGCGAAACTCTCACTCTCGCCCACAAATATTTGGATTGCATTAAATTCATGCAAACACAAAGGATAAAGGATACACAGAGCGCTTATCCTCTCCAGCTAGACAAATCCCCGCGCAAATAAAATAAAGAAAGAAGAAAACCAGCTTCAGACTCGCTCTGAGCTGGCAAAACGTTTCGCTCACTCTTTTGCCTCGCTTTTCCTATTTCCATTTCCATTCCCTTTCCCAGTTTTCAGTTTTCCCCGCCCCAATGCCATTCGCATCCTTTTTTTCACTTAAAAACCATTTCAGTGCGACGGCTCTATGCAAATAGCCACTGGACTTTGTTCGTCGCTTCGTTTAAATTCATTTACTTTGATTAAAACCCTGGCCGAGAGCGGACCCTTTCCAAACTCTGGAGTAGTAAACTTTATATATCTTTCCGTGGGTCTAGACGCCTTTACTCACAGACCAGTTAATATTTTTTATTTTAGGCCATAACTTTACCTATGTACACAACAAAATGAAAGGATTCTTTTTTGAATCCACTGTTAAAATTTACGCACTAAACATTTTACTTTATTTTTTAGAAGTTTTGATATTTAATTTAATAGTAAATTTAAATATCTACTTATTTCTGATGATTTTTATTTTTGCCATATACATTTTGATTTAAGCACCCTCGTATTTATTGCATATTTGCCGATGTTGATGTTTTTTATAAACAAATAACCAATTGTTATAGGTTTTCTTATTTTTCTGTGTAAACATTTTTAAGGCTTCAAAGGTTTATGACCCGCATTACGTTTATTGGTCAATGCTGGAGATTCTGTTTTGATTATGAGTTTTATAAAACAACTCACGTCTTTTCTCCCACTTTCCTGGGCGTTTTTCCCTTCGATTAATTGCGAGCATTGAAATCGATTTTCCCCACTTCGAGTTCTATTTTCATGCATTTGTTTATTTATACTTGATCGTACAGGCGAAAGACAAGTGAAAAGTCAAAAGCTGGCCACGTTTGTTGGACCTCCTCGTCAGCGTGACGTCAGTACGGAGCACGGTGGAAGGTGTTCAAGGTGTTCCCGAGATATATATATTACCTGCCATTTGTCCCGGCAAAAAGCAATTAAGCTTCGCTTAAAGTCATCCCCAAAATCCTGACTAAGATCATCATGAAATTGAATGTTGAATTAAGAGATTTGAAAGGGGGGAAGCAAGACAAAAAATGAGATGGGCTTCAAATGGGTTGTGGGCCACGTTTAGCCGACGGCCAACGACAAACAGATTAGAACAGCTTAGTTGACCGGCAAAAAAATATGCGAAAAATGAATAAAAGAAAGCCCCTTGGCGCAGCGTAAAAAATCTGAAAAAAGGATTTGGTTTTTGGCTCGCCTTTCAGTTTTTCAGCCTTTCGCCAGCGTTTCGGCCACGGCTAATGGCGCTTCAGGCCCGACCAGCTTTCATGTGCGGCTCCCATTGCCCCTTTTGCTCTTTTGGATTTGCCTTTCAACAATGCGAAACATTTGTTTGCACAGCCATCCTTTCCAGCGACGGCGGGCTGAAGCGTTGAAAACATAATTTTTCTCGGTTTATTTAGAAAAAAAATGTATAAAATACATTTTTGTGTACACATGACCTCTGACCCTGCCGGCGCATAAATGCCGCAATTTTTTGTCGCAATGCTGCTGGGTATTACAATTTGTATTTGGCCTTGTTTTTGTGTTTGTCTTGACGAGGGGTATGAGTTTTTGAAAGGGTACGAAATGACCTAAGAATTTTACTTTTACATAAATTTGAGGATTATTCAAACTCCCCTTTTATTCCAAAATATTAGTAAGTAATAAAACTATTATTTCCAAATTATTTACCCATCAAAATAAAACCAAAAGTATATTTACCTTACACTTTACACTTAATTTCACCGAATTAAAAAGTATACTTTTAGGCTGCCAATTAAATTGTATTTTTCCAAAAAAAGCTTTGGAAAAGCCCACAAGTAACACCTCGAAATGGTGGAAATTTTTAATCTAATGAATTATGAAACGCAAAAAGCAAATTTCAGTAATGGCTGTAATCCACTTACTCGCTTTTATGTTAAACATTTGCAGTACACATGTATGAAATTAAAAATAAGCATTGCATATTTTTCAGGGGAAAAGCAAGAGAGTACGAGAAAAGTGGGGAAAAGTGTCGGAAAGCTCTTTTCACCCTCCTCGAATCGTGTTGGCCACTAATTCAACATGTGTAAGAAATTTAAAAATTAATTACGAAACTATAACGAACAATTTAAAGCGAAATGAAATGTGGAAGACAAAGCGAAAATAGATCAAGACGAACAGTATTTTAAGCACTAAATTGACGCTGTTTATGGAAACATTTAATTGGCCACTTTAAAAACTCTTCAATGGAAATTCGTTTTAAAATTGTTGTTTGGGAATTTGATGTCTTCATTTGTTTATCGATGCCGCATGGCTAAAAAGTGCATATGTGTATGTGTTGGAATTTTTCTGATGAATGTTATTCATTTTGCAGACAGGGATTCTTAGTAATTCAAAAACTTTAATTTAAATATTTGTGATCAATATTTCAGTTAATAAGTTTTAAATAAATTAAACTTTTCAAATAACTTGTGCTGTAATTACCTAAAAGGAATTACTGCTTGATAAATGTAGTACCCACAGTCTTTAAGTAAAACTTGTTGGAAACATTTAAAAAGGAAACACAACGAGGCAAAGTTAAACGCGAAACTGCAGAAACGAAGAGGAAAGCGGCAACAAGAATTTTCGCTAATAATGTTAATTCCATTGCCACCTTCTCCACCACCCAGCAGCCACTTTACCCAACTCCCACTAAACCACCGCAGATAATCAGCATCTCTGGCCTGTTCTGCACTTCCACTTGCCTTTTGTTTTGCTTTCATCTCGGGTTTTAGTTTTGTGCTGTCTCGGCCATCCTGTCTTCCTTCCTTCCTTTCTGGCTGTTGCGCAACTTAACTTCCTTTTGGGTTTCCTCCCCCTAACAAGCAACAACCACCTCCTCACCAACCACCCATCAGCCCTCTTTTCAGGCCATTTCATTAGCATCATCCAGCCAGGAGCCAACTTAATGAGATGGCGGGCAAAACTTTGAGCTGTCTTTCTGGTTTCTGTGTTATGCATAACTTTGGGCATTTGGCTTGTGCTTAATTTAAAACAATTATTTGACGAGCTGTAAGTGGCCAAGGCCGCAGGCCAACTTGGCTCAAACCAAATCAAAGGTTGGCCCAACCTGAAAATAACCCAGGGGCTAAAAGAGGAGATGCAAGTTTTCTCCATCATCTCCAAATTGCAGTTGGCCAAAATGCAAATCGTTTGGCCAATGCCACGCCCATCCCTATTATATCTCAACCATGATAATTTGCTGGCCGTTAAGCGGGGGAAAATGCGCAGCTCAAATGCAAACTGCAAACAAATGAGTTTGTCTGGTCGAATAAATCATG